GCCAAGTCACCTGAGACATACACACACGTTGATTCCCCGTTCCTCGATGCTCCATCATTTTCCACCTTTCGCGGCTCAACCTCTACGATCGTTCTTTTTTCTTCGACAAGCCACACCACACCGTCCTTCGCCACTCAGCCATCTGTCGTCAATTTTCGTCCGCCTTGGCCGTCACCACGTTTGTTGTCCATTCCAGCTGTGATCTGAATTTGTTCGGCTTCCTTTTCATTGCGAAATTCTCAAGCTTTGCTTCTTAAAAGAAAAGTGACGAACGGGATCGGATTCCGACCGTATTTTTCCTTTGCTGGACCGCTACTTATCTCTGTCCCCACTTGGTCGCATTTTTTCCTCTCCTGTGTGCCCCAAATCCATTATCCCCTCCAGTTCCGTTCGCAGTGTCAACTCCATCAATCCATCCACAATTCAGCTATCTTCTCAAAGACCACCTTGGGCCGTCCCTGAGCGTTCCAACTCCTGTGATCCGTTCTTCTCCCACTGTACCCGCACGGACCTGGCATATAGTACGGAGGATCCCCAGCTCCAAATTCTCCGCCATTTTCCAGGTGCCGATTACGCCACGGCCAGTCGCAAAGTGATCTGCTTCCCGCACTTACGGCCTTGGATGGGTTACCAGATCACTCTTTTTGCCAATAAGACGTACTCTTCGCCATTGTCTGGACATGCCCTCAGTCACCGACCAGACCGGTCTTTCTGGTCTTGATTTTGATGGTAGGTTCCTTTCTTGGTTAACTTCCCGTCAACCCATTCCCCCTTTCCTTGGGCGCCCACAACCCCGTAGTCGTAGGTTCTCCGAGGCTCTGCTTCCGGGTCAAATGATCTCATAGCCCACTGCGACTGCTGGTATTCGATCAACCGTCCTAAACCTCTCCCTTTTGCGGTCTTTTAACCTTCCCTGTCTGGACTACCCCCTTAAAGTGTTGATGGATTCTGACCTGTCATCTAAAGGACCACAACCTATTCTGGGGACTGGTTTGAATGTCTCTCCCCAGAGACATCACCACACAAATGGACACGAAACTTCTGCAATTGGGTCAGAAGGGAATGCCTTCAGACATCGTGTGCCCGCACCCAAGAAATCGGCAGCCAGATTGCCCACTCACCAGCCGGCTTCTCTAAGTAGTCAAACATCCAGCGTTATTACTGAACCCGCGCATCGCCTTGAAAAAGATGGCATGTCGAAAAATGGCGAGGAAGACCCGCAGAATAGCCTTTTCGCACAAGTCTACGAATGGCTTCAGCGCGAAAAATCCAAACGGAGGTCTCACAAGGCTACAGATTTAGCCATGGACGGTGTCGCCAGTGATGGTGACGACGATGATGATGACGGTGCTAGCGTCCTCGTGGAAAGACCTTTGACTTCTGGTGCCGACGCCGCAATGGCACTCGACAAGCTGGAAAAGATTCTCATTCAGTACGCCACTTCCCGCCAGGGAACGGACTCTGTACACCTCGCTCGACGATCCGGTCGCCGGCGTCAATATTCCAAAGGGTTGCGTAGGGGTTCTGCGTCCGAATCCGACTTTTCGGACCACGAGGCGGCCGCCCCTAGCGTGGATGCGGTGCTGGATAATTCAAAAACTCTCGCTTACAGCGGTGGTGGTGCCGAAGATGACGACAACGAGAACAGTGTCAATGCGAGACGCGCAAAGGATAAAGAAGCCTGGGCGCTGTTCAAGAGTGAAATCCTTCGGCTGACTCATACCATGCAGCTGAAAGGATGGCGAAAGCTTCCCATGGAACTTGCAACTGATATAGGCGTCGTTCGACTGAGTGGTGCCTTAACCAATGCCGTATATGTAGTTACACCGCCACAGAATATCCCTGTGCCCAAGGCGGAAGATGGATCATACTCATTGGTACCCAGAAAACCCCCACCGTAAGTTTCCTTACCTAAATCACACACACAACCCTGAAGCTAACTCTTTGTAGGAAGCTACTGCTGCGTATCTATGGGCCACAAGTAGATCACTTGATTGACCGAGATAACGAGCTTCAAATCCTCCGCCGCCTAGGCCGAAAGAATATTGGCCCGAAGGTGTTGGGTATATTCAACAACGGAAGGTTTGAAGAGTACTTCGAAGCTCGCCCACTTACACCCAAGGAGCTCCGCGATCCTCCGACTATGAAACAAATTGCGAAGCGAATGAGGGAATTGCACGACGGAATCGATCTCCTTGTAGATGAGAGGGAAGGAGGGCCCATGGTGTTCAAGAATTGGGATAAGTGGGTGGACCGCTGCGAGCAAGTTATCAATTGGCTGGACAAGGAGATCCGATCTGAGCACAACAAGAGCAAAGCAGCATCCGAAGCTTGGCGCCGGCGAGGCTTTGTCTGCGGTGTTCCCTGGCCCTCCTTCAGAAAGGCAGTTGAAGGATATCGTAAGTGGCTTTTGTCCAGCTGTGGAGGCATGGACGGAATAAAGCGACAGTTGGTATTTGCGCACAATGATGTAGGTGCTTCATTCCCAATCCTCAGGGACTGTGCTGATTATCTAGACTCAATATGGCAATCTGCTTCGGATGGAGCCCAGCCACGAATCACCACTTCTTCGGCCCGAGAACGTGCATAAGCAGCTAGTCGTTATTGACTTCGAGTATGCATCAGCCAACACTCCAGGAATCGAGTTTGCCAACCACTTCGTGAGTCAATATTTTCTCAATGATTGAAAGTCCCTTACTGACCCCAATAGACTGAATGGTGTTACAACTATCATGATCCGGAGCGGCCGTGGGCATGCGACACCAGCCGCTATCCTAACCCAGAACAGCAGCATCAGTTCATTGAAGCGTATCTGAGCCATCGACCCGGATTGCGCGAGCAAGCCTCCCCTTCCATCACTCCTCTCATGCGAGGCCTCTCTACCAACACTTCATCACTAGCTCCATTGAGCCTAGATGACGGTCCGGATGTGGACGTGTCTTCTCGGTTCGACATCGAGAAAGCGCACGAGGACAGCACCAGCGCTAAGATCCAGTTTTACGCGCGACAAACCAGGCTGTGGCGAGTACTCAACTCCGCGCAGTGGGTAGCCTGGGGCATTGTGCAGGCCAAGGTGCCTGGCATGGAGGAGGGTATCGCAGCAGATGAAGCCGCAGCTAAGGCCCAAAACGGCCACCATGGTACCAATGGCAACGGAGTGCATTCAGGCGTGACAGCTGAAGTGAATCATTCCACCGGAACTCCGCCAGTCGATGCTGATGTGGACGAAGCTGAAGAGTTCGACTACCTGGGCTATGCGCAGGACCGTGCAATGTTCTTCTGGTCCGATTTGCTGGCGCTGAAAATCATCCGGGAGGATGAGCTGCCCGAATCTCTGGTACAAGTGATCAAGTCTCGCATGATCGACTACTAAGCCTATTTTATAATAATATCTTGCCTTTTACGATTATGAGTCGGATGACATGAATGACGAAGCGATTCTTCAACAGACATCGGCCTTGCCACTGTACATAGATATGTCATAGTTATGAATCTCAACGGATTTACTAGGTAGAATCTTGATTTCCGGAGCTATGTAGACAGCATAAGGATAGTAGGCATGAATTTACCTCCTCATCAACTTCCTCTGCGTCTCCCCCTTCGCCTTCTCCACCCACTCCTCATACTTCCCCTCCCCCTGCTTCTCCTTCATCCCCACCACCCCCTTCAACACCTCCCCAATGAACCCCACGAAATTCGACCGTCTCAACGTATTCTCCCAAGCCCACGCCCTCCTCTTCCTCTCCTCCCTCTCCAACGCCTCCACATCTCCAATCTCCTTCGCCGTAACCCTCAGATCCCTCACCACAGCCATCAAATTAAACCTCGTCTCCCCCTCCGGATACCGCGCAATCCTCTGCCTCAACACCTCAATCACCTTCTCCGGGAACTCCTCCGCCGTACACCCCCCATGCGAAATCGGATGCGGCTGCAACCCATCCAACTCATACAACTTCCCATCAACAGGCGTGTACGCAATGAAATGGTATACATCCCCTTCCTCGTCCTGGTTATTCCGCACGGTCTCGTCGACGAATGGCGAGGCGCGCGCGAACGCGTTGTGTGCGCTGCGGATCAGTTCCGAGTTGGAGAGCGCTTCGCCGCGTAGGTCCGGTGGGAATCCCGCTGTGAAGTCCTTGAAGGAGTGGAGTTCCGGGCCGATGTTGATGGGATAGGGGTTGTTGGAGGAAGAGGAGGAGGAGGAGTCGTTGTTCAGGATCACGGAAAGGATGGCTTGTGTGCCGCAGGCGTTTTGGATCGTTTGGTTCGCGAAGAAGAGGTTGGGGGATGGGTCGGTGTCGTAGGTGCCGGAGGGGGGTGAGGTCGTTGAGGATGTTGAGGTCGATGGTTGTTGCGTTTCGCGGATCCATTTGAAAAGGAAGATTACGCCGTAGACGGGGCTGGGTTTTGGGTGGGAGGTAGTGTTAGTGGGTGTGGTGGATGAGATGGGGAGTTGGTGTTGGTGGAAGGTGGTATGGGGGTTACCTTAGTGAGCGGATTGTGTCTGCATCTAGGGAAATCAATTCTTCGAATTGGACGTCCTTGACGCCGAGGTTCTCGATGAGGGAGGTGAAAACGCCCTGATTGATGGTTTGCTTGTTAGTTTGATGCTTTGGTTCTATGTATTGGTTGCGTACCTCGTCGGACTCGATTGTGCTCCAGCCTCCGCCGTCGGCCATGGTGTGTGTTATAGGATGGGTGCGCTGCGCAAGAAGGGTTATATATAGTATATAGTGCAGCAGGGAGGTATATAGCGACGGGGGTATGATGTCTATGCTGTACTGGTGGGCAGGATGTGATGTGATGTGATGGTGGATACCTTTGGAGCTGTTGTTTGGTGATGATGCAAACAGTACACATGTGCAAACATCCTCGGCCAAATCTATCCATGTTGTAGCCTGAATAGTCAGGTGTCATTTACATGCAAGAGCCACTACTTTGCTATTAATAGAGATGAATTGTCGATCTCATGCTCAAATGTCAACCATTGCCCTTGGCAGCTAAAATCCACGATGGGTTGTTCATACAAGCCAAGAAATCTTATGGATCAGGCCTCCAAGGGTCTACTCAGCCTTGTCCACATTGCAGATCGATCTACCCACGCTTATCCACCCTCACCAATCGACTCGTGAACAGCGCAGCAGACTTCGTATATCCCGGTCTATCATTGACTTTGATGGGTGAACAATGTTGCTATTTTCAGTTTAGGCGTCAGACATTTGGAACATGTCTATCTTGGACTTACTTCGTTGGCTAACTGACTGGACGCCTTACGGGCCTAAATGTCGATCATCCAGTAAGCCTTCAGCTACAGCTACCACGGAGGAGTCAGAAGACAATATATAATCTGCAGAAATGCCCGCAGAGCTATTCACAGACTCACAGACAATTAACGGAGAATTTACAAGTCCACTTCCATTCATTGGCAGACTCCACACCTTCATCTCTAAACCAAAGAATATCATCACCATGCAGCTCCTCTCCATCCTCCCTATCGCGGCCTTGGCTAGTACTTCCCTCGCAGTACACTGGAACGTGACCCTCTATACCGACACCGAGTGCACCGAATATAAGTGGTCATACGCCGGAAACCAGAGTTACGGGTGCTACTCGCTTGAGACATACAACCCAACCATTCAGTCTATCAGGGCTGAGATTCCCGAGGATTGGGTTTTCGATGGAGCGAGCGGCGGTGCTTGCAATAACTTTCACACTTTTGGGGGCTCGGGATGCTGGACTCAGGGTCAGGGATTTAAGTCTTTCCAAGTATACCCGCAGGCAAGCTGAGGTGATGGTGAGTGTATGTTCGTCTACTTGGTGGTTTGCATGTCGCTGATTATTGCTTCTCCAGTTACCCAACGTCGATGGAATAAAAATGACTCTTTGTTCATGGTATACATGCCACTTATATGATATATGCTTCAATTGTATCTAGCTTTTTTGCCATGCGCTCAGCACTAGGGATATACTAGTCATGAGCATTTGGTTTTCTATAACATAACCACGAGACGAGGTTTCTGTTGTACTTAGACCAGTTACTATGGGATCTTTCGCTCTTATCTTTTCTGGAACGCAATGGTATGTGTAAAAAGTGTTCAGATAGACTTTATATTATACTCGGGTTGATTTGGGCGGTAGCTATTCGAGACTGAAAGCCTTGGAATCTATGCATCAATTGCTGATCGAAACCGGTTATCATATGGCCACGTATATTTCTCATTCTACGAATTCGACGGACCACTTCTCCTGAATCCTAAAAACGAGGTCCATCACTAATCGTAGACTTGTTTTCATCCGAGTTTGATAATACTCATGCCAACTTGATAGCCCTTGACTGCGATCCTACCTTCGAAAGCAGCCACCCACCGTTCTGCAGCTTCTGAAACACCCCGTCAGGGTCATACTTCGCAGCAATGCTCTTGAGCCTTGCTACATTCTCAGCACCATAGCTGGATAGTGGATCTTGATCGCGAGACGCATAGTTGGAGTACCGGTATGGAAGATACGCGCCAGCCTGCTTTGCAGTCGCTTCGGCAACATCCACAATTTTACGGACTGCTTCTCGGACGCGATCCTCGTCTTTCGCATGTTTCCAGTCGGCCATTGACAAGAACCCTATCTTGTTAGTTTCGTAAGGATACCATAAGAAGGGCAACATACATTGCTGGCCTACTGCTTCTAATCCAAGAGGCGTTCCACCGTTCTTCTGACTCTGTTTCATGGCCAAGGAAGACATGGGCTGGAATACGTTGGTCAGGACAAGGCCTTCAACGTCACTCAAGGCCTCCTGCTGTTCTCGGCGGACCCTCTCTGTTGCTTCATACAACTCTAAACACGGCCGACTGGACATGGTTCGGAACTCATGACTAAGGGTCTGTTAGCATCCCACACACTTTGAAGTATCGTTACAACCTACTGCAAAATCTCAGGTGAGATGACGGAGGCAACTGCCTGAACAAGCTCATAGATTGAGCGAGTGCCAGGAGGCACAAAGTCCATCAAGAAGGGGATATCATAGAATGACTGGAATGCAGCAGGCTTCTCGACAGGGGCACAGTAGAAGAATACTAGAAGGATTGCCTGGCTGGTAGCATGCCAGACGAGAGATGCCTTGCTGTCAACTTCAATTGCTTCATGGTACTTCATGAGACCCTTGACGAGCTCGGGGTACGCTGTTGGAGGGTAAACACGAGCTTCAGCCCACGACTCGGTAGGCACTGTCACTAGGTCCATCTTGGTTACGATACCTTGGGGTTTGGTCAGTAATCAAACCATTTTACTTCCGAGAAAAGGCTTACCGAAGTTAGGACCGCCTCCCTTGAGGGCCCAAAATAAGTCGGGATTTTCTTGCGCATTGGCATTGACAATGCTTGAGTCCGCGAGGACAACCTGTGATCTAGTTAGCGAGCATTTGGAAGGAGTGCAGTACATGCAAGTCTACCTCATAATTAGTTACACCCATTGCACCCACTCCATACTGGCTGTTTTGAAAGGAGATTCCTCCTCCCAGGAGAAGACCAGGAACGCCAACAGTTGGAATCCGACCTCCTGCCACTGCGAGGCCATGGAGATCGAGAGCCTTATAGACATCAAGCCATCTTAGCCCAAGTCCTACATCAGCGGTAGACTTGTCTTCCGACAGCTTGACATGGTTGAATTTGCTAAGGGATATGACTACTCCGTCATTATTGCTGGTGAACCCCGGGTTCTGTAGGTGGCCGCCGCCTCGAACAGAGAACTTAATGTTGAAGAAACGACAAAGAGAAAGAGCAGTTGCGACTTCCTGTGCTGACGTTGCTGTGACCACAACTAATGGCTGGAGCCAGCAATTGATTGACCTGTGTAACAGAATTAGTTCAATTGCACATGTGCCTCGAGGGTGTGTCATCGTCATACCATGGTACTTGACGTTGGGTATCATACCCATCCGATTCCCGGAAGATGGCATTTTCTCCGAAAAAGAGAGGGAAGACTTGGGCAAGATAGGATGCCCGTACAGAGCCCTTCTCATCATCCGAAAGTGCTGCATACTTGGACAGTAGGTCCTCGATTGTTGGGGTTGTGGAAGTGTCAACGTTCGCTCCCTGAACGATCGCTGCAATGACTGCTGCACAGCTCATTATGGCTTGTGTGTGAGGCTGCAATGACAGGGTTGCTTACCAGATACCCCGGTCAATAAAGGAGAAGAAATGAGGATGTTCACGAAAAGGAGAAACCACGTACGGTATCCACTGTGCTCATTAAATAGGTCACATTGGCGATGGTCAAGGGAGCCGGCACGCGGAACAAAGCCCAGGATTTGCGGGGCTCGAACAGCCCTAGTCTGATAGTCACACACGCTATCCTACGCCAACGTTTTTCTTGCCTTTCATGTTGTCTATTATAGTACAGGGATTTGATTCCTTCTTTATCAGAGATTTTCAACTCAATCCTGGCTAAATGCAATAACGGGGGACTTTATCCTCGACATGATCCCCCCTCTGGACTCGACATTTCTACCATGGCACACAAGCAATGACCGGTGTGGGACATTAGATTAATTGCAGGATGGACTGGACGGTCATACCGCGAGATGGTGGTCTACCTACGATGACTACTACTGTCCGTATCATAGTCCTCGTCCTTGCTATCCCAACTACCCTGGTTTGCGGTCTGCGGGTATGTACCTGACGCCTGATAAGGATGAAAAGCACAACTCATGCAATGACATGTCTCTTAGCTCTACCTACGGAAAACTGTTCTAAATTCATGGGGACTGGATGACTGGATGGTAATGGTCGCGCTTGTTAGTCTCCCCAAATGCTCGAGCGGTGTGAGACAAATTACTGAAGCGACAACAGATCATGGTGAACGGATTCTCGGCGCTTGCATATACCATCACCTACTATGGTCTCGGAAAAAAGACCAAGGATGTTTCAGATGCGGACCTGCTGGTTTGGTGGAAGGTACGCTGAGCTAACACACCCTCTAGATTGGACAGCGACTGAGGTCACAGGCAATACTTAGATCTACTATGCTGCGCTCTGCAGCTATTTGCTCGTTGCTGCATCGGTCAAGACAAGTTTAACTGTCTTTATAATGCGGCTTTTCCCCACCCGCAGCATTAGCATCGCTGGCAGATGCATATTGGGATTTCTAGCGGCCTTCACACTCGCAGGAACTTTGGCTCTCGCATTTCAATGTCGACCTGTTCGCGCTGGATTCGACAAAACCATCCTTGATGCTAAATGCTACAGTGTTGACACTTCCTTTGCCATCCTCATGGCGCAAGGCGTTATTATGTTTGTGATGGATCTGACCATCCTCGCACTTCCGATCCGTCGCGTGTGGCAGCTTCAGATGCCACTTGGGCGAAGGGTCTTGGTACTTGGACTATTTTGTCTTGGTATGCGAAAGCCTCACCTGGACCAAATAGTAACTGACTGATATGTCCGCTCAGGTTTCACAGCGTGCATCGCGGCACTGGTTCGCTTCAGCACTTTGACCTATGCCAGGGACGAAAGAGACTACACCTGTAAGTATAATGGTATCAGTGGTTTGATGAGGATATTCAGATCGCTTACACATATTTACCAATAACAGACACGGCCGCTAATTCACTCATCTGGATGGAACTTGAGTTCAACCTTGGTCTCATGTCCGGCTCCCTTTCGTCCCTGCGCAAACTCATTAGGCTTCGATCGCCTTTCGGGTCGCGACAAACCTCATCTTTCACGGGAAGCCGCTCCGCCAATGTCGAATTGGGGAGATATAAAGGCTGGGGTGGGGGTATAAGCAAGCAAACGGAAATCAACAGGGTTTTTGAGATCGTAGACAGCAGCCAGGAGCACATTGCCCCAATTTACGGTCAGGGTGAATTATGCACCACCACCAATGCATTCTCCAATGGGAAGCTCGGCCGTTAGACTTTATCTTCGCTCAGGATAGAGATCTGTTAACTCTGTGCTAAAATCAATTTCAAATGCAATTACCTTCGCTCAATCACGCAGCAGCGGTAGAAATACACACGAACCGTTGCTGCTAAGGGGGAGGGGCCGCTGTCAAATGAGCACAGCTCCACTAATGCCACCGGCACAGACGCTAGATCGACCGGCCGTTGGACGGCGCGGTTTTATCATTCCCGCTGACTGGTCTGGACCTGCTTTCGCTGCCACTAACTAACCATTTACATTTTACACAACTAGCTAGGCTGAACTAGGCGTGAGCAAGGAAATCAGTGAGCATCCGGGTTCCGGTCGGCGTTACTGTTCCAAACAGCCGTTGGACAGCCACTCATCATGCCATCTTCCCTACCATCACAACAAATCTGTATTCCGCTCTTCCGAGTAGTAGGAGCGATTCTACCGGCAAAATATTTAGTAAATACTTCTTCACATGCTAGAGCCTGTAACATAGGTCACTATTGCACAAGGCCTGAATATACTGCCTGAGGCCCCTTAAGTAAACCAGGGGGTTGCGTAAAACTTCCGCAGCCATATTGCGAAGCAGCCCTTGAAGAGAGGCAGTGGATGGACCTACAGGTTCTACAGGATGAATTTTTTGTGACACCCTACGAAGGCTCTTTATAGAAGACGTTGCGAGAGCCAGCGTGCGCTGGAAAATATAGTGCTATGTTATAAGCGGAACCAAGATGACTATGTGAGGAAGCCTGGACAACATGGCGGTAGCGCCTATCTACACATCCTACACATCCTATATTAACTATATACATTATACCTTGTTCCTTTCATGGCAACTCGCACAGTTGCTCCTAAGCTGTCTGGTACATGTGCTATCAACGGTCAGTCATGGAAAGCCAACCCAGGAATTTCTGCCGACTGGACAGGATCCTGTCGGAACCTTTGGGGTATACTTTGATAATGATTTGTACCTGGTGGTAATTAGTACATGTCTTGAGCATCAATTCTGATTGATGCTATTCAATTTATTTCAATGGTAGTAAAGTATCATCATGAGTTGAAGTGATAGGGAATTTAACGCTGATATCACCTACCTAGATCTTGACCTAGTGCTTTCATTAAGCACTAGCTGCAATATAAACACTCTTTATGGTCATTGTAATCACGTGAAATTACAATACGCGTGTTTTTGTGGCCCAGATCCAACTTATACCTTACTATAAGTGACTCTTGGGGTGCCAGAGCAGATCCACAGGAGCTAGATCTACCCAAGTTCGCAAAATAATCATGTCCATTCTACTGACTTATTGGCATAGTTACTACCACCGCCAGGTTACTGGTAGTGGAAGAATGGCGGGCTTAGTCTGAACAGAGGTACTTCGGTCTACACCACAGGCGAGCCGGGTGAGTGCTTCATAATCTCGGTGCTGGGAAGCTGAGGCACGAATATGAGCTTCACTCTAGACATATGTTCGTCTAGCATGTAATAGCGTTTGCCAAGCCTGTTTTGACTCCGATGACGCGTAACCAGCGGCATTTTGGACACGCTCCTGTGGTTGCTTGACGTCAAGATGCCATATAGTACTTACCATAGTCATTAACTATCAAGTGGTCACAGGCTGACTTCGCTTGAGCTCGGGAGCGTTGGATGATTTTATTGGCTGAATGGTTGTTTCCCCCAACCCGTATCAGGATCCATTAGTCACGTCGCGACCTGTATCGTGCAATGTGAATGAACGTTCACCAACCGTGCTCGGTCTCCTTAATGATTGTCAACTTTTGAACAACAACTCATAAATAACACAAGTGTCATTTGGCTTGAAGGAAAGTTCTGTGTAATGAATCCTCTGAGGTTATCCGTTCCTCGTTTGACTGCCTTGCTTCGCAAGAAACCGTTCCCCATGCCTTCTGCCGGGCCACCTTTACCGCCCGACATACTCGTTGACGAGGAGATCTCGCCAGTATACAATTCCAAGTACTTCTATCCAGCGAAGCCGGGAGAGGTACTCGGCGACCGTTACCAGACTCTGGTAAAGGTTGGCTGGGGCGTGTCTTCAACGGTATGGCTTGCGTGTGATCTGCAAAGGTAGCCTTCAATAAAATCTCCGCCATTCGAGACTTGCTGTCGCTGACCAACATACAGGCAGATTGAGGAGCCCGGGAGCATTGTGGCACTAAAAATTGCTAATTACAATGCAAGCTTTGCTGGTCATGAGTGTGAAGTTGAAGAGCACATCTCTACGGCAGACCCATCGCATCGCGGCCGCTCACTCATCCGAACATTACTGGACTCTTTCCAAGTTGAAGGCCCAGAAGGTTCTCATTCATGTCTTGTGTATTCGCCAATGAGGGAGCCACTATCGATGTATCAACGGCGTTTTGATGAGAAAAAGATGCCATTGCCGCTCGTCATAACATACATCCGTGCCCTTCTTACGGGCCTCGATTATCTTCACAAAGATTGCAGGACTGTTCATACAGGTAAGTCCATCACGCCCCTTTCAAGGCTTCTCATCGATGGTACTGAACTCAGGTGATTGTGTAGATATAAAGCTCGAAAAATATCATGGTCTCATTTGAGGACCCAACTGTTCTTGCTGAATTTATTGAATCTCAGCTTGAAAAGCCAATGGCCTTTAAGGTCGATTCGACAGGGCGACCAGTGTATCAGTCTCGTAGTGACTTCGGGCCACTCAAAAGCTTGAGAAGTATACCACAGCTTGTTGACTTTGGCTTGGCAACGAGACTCGAAGAAGATGATGATTGGGGTGTCTGGCCTATTCAGCCGGACCACTATCGGGCACCAGAGGTCATATTGGGTATTGGGTGGCAAATGCCTGCAGATATCTGGGATTTTGGTGTTCTGGTATGTTCCGTTATTCCCTAAGTCTGTTGCATCCACTAACTTGGGACAAGCTATGGGATTTGATTGAAGGCACAGAGCTATTTCAGCATATCCATGATAAACAAGGTCGCTACAATGCTAAACTACACATGGCTGAAATGGTGGCTTTACTCGGCCCACCCCCTCCAGAGATCTTGCAAAGGTATCAATACATGCGAGAATACCCGTGGCCGGAACCTGTTAGACGAGAAGATGACAGACTATGTGAGACCGCAGAGGAGTACTTCGATGGGCCATTCTTTGACAACAATGGTATTATGTGGTTCTTTATCCGGAGATTTCCAGTTTACTTACTTAGTTTAGGTCGCTTTATATGCGAAGACTTAATTCCCAACCGAACATTAGACAACGCGGTTTCCTTTCTTGATGAAGAGGAGAGAGATAGTTTCGTTGACCTTGTCAAGAGAATTCTGGTTTGGCACCCAAATAAGAGACGAACGGCAGGCGAACTGGCCGCACATCCTTTTCTACAACCCAAGCAAACGATTACTTGATTTTCTGCGAGCGCTTGCTGGTGGACAGTTCGACGGTGGCATCAAACAGCCGGTTCAGACGTTAGCACAGTTGTCATTCCGAATGGCATGTACAGCTGGTCCGTTTATGTATGCCAATAATACAACTAGACTTTGGACTGACTTCATGATTGCATGCGCCACGTCACCGTGGACATCATTCTGATAGCTTTTCACAGGCCCCCCTAGCCTGGTAGGTACTTTACTTCGTATTCTCACCACCCCCGCCTTATCGCCGAGGAAAGTCTCTAATATTGGAGTAGGTGAAAACACACCCATCTCATTTTATGTTTAGAAAGTTAGTTCAGAAAATAGGCTCGCACGAGGCATCTTTCTGTGGCTCATCGTCGGCAAATGGCATGGCGTTGACGGTCCTTTTCTCTACGATTGCATCACCAGGAACTGTTATGTTGTCGCTGATCACAAGGTCGCGGAATTTTCTTTTCTTCATATCATCATGTCGATTGGTGTAAACGGAGCGTGTGCCATAAAGAAGCGTAGAAGAGTCTATAACTGCCATAGACGGTGACTATGCCGATGGGGATTCAGTAGCGTTGTTATGCTTCATGTAGGCTGTCAGCCACTTACAGGTTAGACATCGCTAGAAACTTGAGAATTTCCGAAATCTTACCTTTTTATAGCGATACCAATGAAAAATGTCTGAATGCTATAATGGTAATTGAATTCTGCCGAGATTCTTACCAAGAAGAATGATGAAACTATTTTTTATGTAGGCTAGGACGGTCAAGGCCTTGCTAAACTTCAGTAAGGTGTCACAATTGATTCAGCTTCGCCGCCCCAAGGGCAACTAATATTGTGAACAACGGCAAATGGGTCACGACAGACCTTGACAAAGCTCCAAGTTTATCCTCAAAATGTGAGCCCCCCGTACCAGGGTTATCTACGTCATGTGACCCAAGCCTGTATCGGTAACGGTAACAGTGTAATATATAGTCCTGTATCTTTCGATTTCGACATCAAGTCTCAGACGCACCATATGCCCAAAAGGCACACCAACAAAGTTCACTATGCATGTCAAACTTTAGTAGCCACATTGGCCACCGAGGGGTGATTGATGACATTCAATGATCTGCAAGATTCAAGATCTATAAAGCAATGCTACGTCCAGAGTGGAAACGGCAATAGTATTTCCACCACACATTTGTTGCAATAGACGCTGGGAGCTTTTGAATCCGTTGATTTCTCGGACTGTGCAGTTCACATATTGACATCATCCAAGGCACTTCAAAATGGGCCTAGATTATCTCATGGTGTAAGTATACTAAGTAACATGTTATGCTAGCCATGCTTATTATCTAGGCATTTGACATACAACATCCCACTCGCAGTGGTGATGACATTGGCTTACTGGCCTTTCTATACAAAGCTGGATTTATACAGAAATAGCAACACTTATTACGGTCTACCCTCTTCATCCAATGTACGACACCTTCTGATACCTCTAGATTGCGGTTATATCAAACATTCCCTGGGACTCCTATCTTATCAGGACTCGGATCTTGACATATCCACCATATGCGATACTAGGACCAAGCATATGCTTGATCCCCATCGAGGAGGTTTCCTTCTTCGTCATTCAGACATACAATACAAGCCTGTTGTACATTATTCCAACAAAGCGCTTTGTTATGCCTATGTACCTTGGACCGCAAGATGCACTGAAAAGAAATCTAGGGATTGTCATTATTGGCTCGAGTCAATTTTCGGGACTGGCTAGTGTATATCATGGTGGACGGTATACCTACCTAGGACTCATTCTAGCTTGGATCTGCCCATTCATGATGATTCAATGGTAAGCATACACGATCGATGAATGGTGCACGCTAATTCTATTAGGCTGGTGGCCTATCGGTTTATTGTACGACTTCCACTTCGAGAGGTATCTCTGGCGGTCTGTATACCCACTCTTTTTCTATGGGTTGTAGACACAATCGCCTTGGGAAAGGGGACATGGGTGATTGAGTCAGCCACTAAGTTAGATATTCAACTCTGGGGGAGTCTGGACATCGAGTAGGTGCCTATGAGTGAGCAAGCTTATCTAAGTTAATGTGTCTTAGGGAAGCGATATTCTTCGCTGTAACAAACATCATGATTGTGCTTGGTCAATGGCCATTGACAATGCGATTGCATTGGGCAGATATAATATGGGTACCACTTCAAAGGCGGAATTTCCATCTTATGGACAGCTCTTCGCGCAGTTTATCACCAGACGGAATGGAGAGCTCAACATGAAATACGTACATAAGCTAGGCGATGCAGTGATGAGACTCAAACAGCGCAGCCAGAGTATGTACATGGGTAGTGCCATGTTTGAAGGTCAACTTCGCATTGACTTGATCTTTTTGTGAGTGCCTTGAGATGTTGTCGTGCAGCATACTAATGTATAGATATTCATTTTGCCGAGTGGTAGATGATCTAGTGGACGAAGCACCAGACAGCAGTACGGCACGGTCTGTGATTCAAGAGAGTGCACTGCTTCTTGAGCAGAGATACGCAGGAAAGAACAAGGCGAAGAGCATACAATCTGACCCAGCCCTGCTATCGTCCATCGAGCATCTTCCTGTTGAAAGGCTGTCGATCGAACCACTTCAAGGCCTGTTGAAAGGCTTCGAAACAGATCTCGAATTCAACACCAGCAACACCAAATCTCCTATCTTAACCGAATCAGGTCTCGAGAGATATGCCTACCGTGTCGTAGGAACAGTCGCCGAATCCGTCATCTAGCTAGCTGTCGCGCACAACCGCCTACGAAACCTTGAAAAACACACGCACCAGCAGACGATCACCGCAGGCGCACTCATGGGCCAAGCACTCCAATACGTTAACATCGCCCGAGACACTCAACGCGATGCAGAAATCGGGCGCGTGTATATACCCACAACCTGGCTAGAGGCGAAAGGGCTCACACCAGCCAAGGTTCTGGATTGTCCCACTGATCCACAAATACAGAGTTTGAGGATGAGACTACCAGATCAAAGCGGATGAGTGGTATATCATGACAGACGCGGCAATCGGGAGGCTTCCATTGGAGGCCCAAGTCCCCATCCGCGTCACGGTGAAGAGTAATATGGAAATTGGGAGATCGTTGCGGCAGTTGAACGAGCTGCGGACAAACGGAAAGATGGAAGTCCCGCTGTGGAGGCGACTGAAAGTGGCCTACCGTGCATTGGCCGATGGTATGTAGGTTACTGCAAGGCTCATATTGTATCGATCTACATGAAAGGATTAGGAAACAGGTTTTTCTTTGGGGAAACGGGGTAGATGAATCTAATGGGCCTGTTTACATAGCTGCTGCCCCTTTGAAAAATACTAAATATTCGGATTTCCAGCTGAGGGTAACGGTGGGACCTTAGTTGATTAGTATGTGCTAGATTATGTGCTAAATGGGAGAACAATACGTAGTAATAGGTTCTTATATACATATAGCATTGCGGTACTTTCTCACTATAATAGAACATTATATATATTATTCGGAGAGAAGACGCTACCTCGTAGGGTCACAATTGTGGCATTTCTCTATAGAAGGCACATACCCAAGATTATGAGAAATAGCGGGAAAATAACTATAGATATAATAACCATGGTATCACCAAATATTCCCCCCTTAGGTTGTCTTCAACTTTCAAGAGATGCGCGTCAAAACGAGATGGATTCGATTGTCCTATAATCGCCGATCACCGATCTTACTGCACGTTATGGCTAGTATGACGAAGGCAAGTAACCATTGCTCCGTAGCACCTTGCATATGGTGTTCTGTACGTTGCCTGCTGCATCGCCTTACTTTCAGCCAGTTGCCGCTGCAAGGTATCAATCCAGGACCCCTCACATTGGATGAAAACTGTGTCATGAAGGATGGGGCGTAAGTTTCAAGTGTTGCCGCTTGTAGAATGTGATGTCAGTTATTTAACAATGTCCACCACTGGGATTGTGGCCGTAGCATTTGTGATCACGATGTGAATATGATGGATGTCGAGAAGGAAGAGGCGAACAAGGAAGACAGTAGTCCACCACGTTGGTATTAGTGACTTACAATACTACTTCATTTAAGGAAGTTCGCTGGGGTCTAGATCTATCATAGTGTCAATCCGGTGCGCTTCAGGCAGTGAATCCTCCGGACTTGAACCGCTAGGCCATCTGGGAGCAAACTAGGGTTCTGACCCAACAAGGTCAGAACGCGCATTCCTTATTTATAAGGTTAGGTAAGTCCGAGATCAACCGGATCATTACAATAGTGCTATACATTCTAACCAGTCACTTAGGCAATAGTCCCTTACTAAGTAATTAATGAGCCAGTTCCGACGTACCTTTAGTGCCACCTTCTTGGCGTAGCATAGTCCAGTTGTTATGGTACTGTTGATGGAAAGTGTCATATCGTCTAATGGTAATAAGGCCGCGGGGGCTTCATGTCAGGGAGGAGTATGGAAAGCGAGCGTCTTATTGAAATAGAGCTTTTGAGGATTGATATTGAAGTGGAGAAGGACGGCGTCATATAGTCCACATGCTAGACTGTGTCGGCGGCCGAGACAACCCTGATAATTAAGAATAATATACTTTTTATGCGAAGTTAATGATATGAGGGTCTATATCTTAAACACCTAGCCCACAAAGCCCACCCAATGCACCTATGACTTCCCTTCTAGGTCTGTGCCCCAGCCGAGTCATGTCCACGCGAGTCAGCTTGATCCATCTCCAGATCAAAGCTCAGATTCGTGAACCCTTCCTGTCTCCGCTGCACACTGCGAAGATTGCAAGTGCTGGACATCCTATCAAGCCTTCCGCCACTATCACTCCGCCATCCAGACGCATGGAACCTCAAGACTTGTCGGAACGATGGTACGCAAGCTGTGACGATGACCAAACTTGCCTCGACATTACTATTGAACCAACAACCACGTTAGCAACAAACACTCAAGCGTAAGGATATAAGAGGGATAGAAGATTACATACATCCAAAGAGCCACCGCACCCAGCAAATATGTCTGGTCTTGCTGCGTCAACATCGGCACCGTAGCCGCCAGTCGCAATGTACTCGTAACTAGTGACCTGAACACACCCATAAGCAATTAGCCACGACTTACGACCCACAATCGAAACATGTCCAAAGAGAAAGATCAGACGTACAAACCGCCCAACCCAAACATAAGAATCAACCCAAACCTCTTCTTTGAGGTTATTTGCAACTTCAGAACAATAGGCAGCGGCATGACCAGCAATACCAAATCAATAAACATACTTGCCACCACGCCCGCCATGAAGATCGGGGCTTTACTCCAGCAGCGTCCGTCTATGTCAGGGTACCAGGACTTATGTACCGGCTCGCAAGTAAACAGAAATAAACATTCAAGGACAATCATGTAGGCGACGACGAAGGCGGTCATGCCCCATAAGGTTATGCGCCATTCCCGTTGCATATCAGAGAGCCGGTAGTAGAGAATAATGAGGGAAATTTTGGATAGACCGAGGGCGGGAATGTACATTATTGCGCCGAGGAGGAGGACCTATTTGTTTTTGAGACGTTGTTAGGTGGTGGATGAGGGAGAAGGTTGGGTCGGGGATGGGGTGTGTACTCGGACGGTTCGGTTGTATACGGTAGGGGTGAGGTCCCATTCGTGGACGCCTAGGCCGGCGTTGGTGTAGCCCCCTGTTGTATGGAAGTGTTTGAGTTAGGATTGAGCTGGGCTCGGTTGGAATGTAGGTGATGGTGCGTACATAGGAGTAGGGATTGAGTTAATACTGCGAAGATCTTTGGATTCATCATGATCAGTCATCGTATTGGTGTTGAGAGGGTGGTTTACTAACCCATGATAATACAATGACGACTACATGAAATCTCCTGTAAGCAATTCATGTGACTGGAAATCTCGAGGACATATTTGCATGCATCAATCATTAAAGGTACATCGGGCACACTCACCATCATCAAGCAGCCACTTCCGCACAATAACCACCCGCGTATATAGTCTCACCAGGAGACCTAACGTACTGATTGTTACACCTATAGTGACCACAACCAGGTTCGCAGTATAATAGTGCTTCTCTGGACTGTCTAAATCAGGCGTTACACCCACAGGTGCAGGAATAACGCCCGTGCCAGTCCCTGTCGAGGCAGCGGTGCTGGTGGCGCTCATAGCAGCGGCACACAAACATTATCCAACAACGGAGAAGAGAAACAAAGTTTTTTTTTACTCTCCTCTCATATAGGTCCCAGGCACATAAAGCAGATTAAAAGGGCAGGGGTTAGGTACACATGTGAACTTTCCTGATCGGAAGGATTCCGTCCGTTCGCGTCCGAGAGTTGTCAGGACCGGTAGCTGGAAATAGGGTTACTTATTCAACCCCTGCTCTAGCCTGATAAGTCGTAATAATGGTATCCAATAAGAAGCACAGTCTATTTGACTTAGTGTGCAAGCGAACTGAGCGTCTCAAGCTGATCTGCAGGAGGGTTGTGGCAGGCTTGACTCGGCAGATGAGAAATTCATCTATTTGTGCTGGGCATGGAAGAACTTCGGCGGCCGAATCTAGATTGAACACTATAGGTACAGAAGGATGGGAAACCTCATTGGTTTTGTTGCTTAGTGTGAAGAAAGGGAAGGGACGAAGGATCTGATTAGGTGGGTGAGGTTGGCCTAGTCTGATGTCTTAGCTTTTATTGGAACTATGAGGGGCGATCGCGGCCACATTCCGATACTCCTGATCAAAAGTACTGTGCACCCACTTTGCATGAGTGGCAGCTGAATAGTGGGGAGAACTGTTTATGCTTCTTGGTTGTTATGCTATCTGTAGGTTGAGTAACTGCCTGAACTCGAAACTGTAACATTACCACGCCAAACTTCCATCTGCACCCGCCTGACCACAGTAATATGATAGTTCGTCTCCTCCGATGTGCTGACCCTCGGACTTGCAGTAGTACAAAAGGTCTTGGTCACTTAGTACTGTGCAATCCGGACATTGATCCCATTGTTGGCTGCCTGTGTTGCGGTTCTTGTAAGAAGCGCAGGCCTTCTCCGTTGCTGCCTTGTTGAAGACTTTCTGTACAAGTTTCCGTTCAATCAACAGAATTCCCATGAAAATTATGGAATGGGATAACTAACCACGTCCTTACCAGGCGAGTCATAGCAGAGTCCTGTGTAATGGAGGTCTGCTAGCGCACTGCACTATGTTAGTGGCTGAGTTGCATCTCAAAGAATGGAACCTGATGCCTACCCAGTAGCGAAGACTGTGACAAAGAGAGCTGTAAAATGCTTCATTGTGCTTGTGAACTCTGAAGAAAGAGAAGTGCGTGTCGTTGAATTCTGGTTCAGGGTAATCCTTAATATCTTGTCGAAATTGACTGACTACAGCTCAGGAAAACCCGCAATATATGATGTCTCTAGCCAAGTCTCTCAGCATCTTCTAGAGCATCATTCCTCTCCGACTCTCCTACTACGTCGAAGGAACAGTAATTCCGAGTATCTTCCGCCTTGATATCGCCACCATCAAATCATTAATATACATCTCACCGACATGCCATCCTTCAAGCAAACCAAGACCAGCAACGAAGATCACAATAACCTGAAGAGGGACATCCTCAGACAACATATAACTCAACCACAACGCTCAAGCTATATCTATAATACTATCACATCCCAGAGCACATCACCTGAGCAGCGACTGACCGCAGATCCACATGCATGTCTCATCCTGTGCCAAGTAGTCGATCCGTGAGTTCTTCCTATCTTAACGGGCGGAACGCACATGGCACAAACCCCTGAGCTAATCAAATAGAGCAGCGGGAGACAAAAATCATCTATTAAGGTTTTGGGGCGTGAAACGGGTGGGCCCACTTGGAGCCTTGACTGGATAGATAGCGGCTCGATCCGTGGCTTAGATTGACAACCGGTTGTCTTGGTTAGGGCTACGGGCAAGAAGCGGATCGTGTAGTTTACTCAATTTGGTAGATCGTGGCTGCATAACTAGTCTTGTGCGACTTGTGATTGTCGATCTTGTATTTCTTCGGGAGTTCCTCGGGGACTCTGGGGGATCTGCGTGAGAGTTTCGGACATCGTTGATCGATGTTGTATGTCGTGATCTTGGCGATGTCTATACTTCTTGGCGGAGCTGGATGATGTAGTAGGAGTAGTTGTGTAGAGAGGTGATAACAGGCACTTTTAAGATGCCTGGGGATATATAATATATAAGTCCATACTATTCTCAATGGAAGACACGAGACAGACTCAGCAAGTTCGGGGCCCCGTTTAACCATCAGAAGAAGAACCCGATCAAGCAACCGCACACCATGAAGCCCCCACTCCTCGTGACTATTCTTTCCGCAACCCTTTCCTCCGCCGTACCAATCGCCAATACAACCACCATCTGCGGTCCCGACGAAGCAATCATCCTGCTAAGCAACAACACCACTAAGACCATCAAGAAAGCCGACCTCAAGTCCCAGATCCCAAACCTCACCTACCTGCCATCCACCAACAATGACAGCACACAACCCCTGCTCATCACCAGCGTCTCCAGCCACAGGAACAACAACACCACCACCAAGCGCGGAAGCTCTACAAACCTGATAATTCCTCTGGAACCACAGAGTTTCCTCGGCTGGGACATCGCCATGTCGACCATCACGCACGCCAACCAGGCCCCCGTCACCCTCGCCATCCAATCCGGCCAATCCATCGCAAACAGCATTACGACTGGCGCCTCGGCCGACTTCACTCTCATCGAGGACTTCCTCTCTCTGACCACCAGTATCAGCTACCAGCAGACCACGACGAGCACGATCACTGGCACCGTGACGATGACGATCCCCAAGGGTAAATGGGGCGCGATTGTGAGTAATCCGCTAACGCATCGGACTCGTGGGTATGTGTTCAATGGGGAGCCGGGCAACGGGGGCAAGTTTGAGTACTATCAGGCAGATAGCTATGAGGATACGAGTTATACATATGGCGAGGGGAAGTTGGAGTGGGTTAAGGGGGTGGTTACGACTTGCTTGGGGGATGGGTATCCGTTGAAGAGGTGTGAGGGGGATGGGGCTTTGGAGTGAGTGTGGAATCATGTTTGTGGTTGTGAGTATAATTGTGCTTTCATGTTAGTTTACAGCTGAGAGATTGGCTCTTATGTATCTCCATCGATGCTGTCAATGCATATAGAAACTCCCCTAAGGTGTTGTGGCTGGAGGTGCTCCTTTTGAGGCCTGGCTGTCTGCCATATGTGGACAGTGTAATAACTTCTGGGTCGAAATATAGTGTGTAGCCACACGTAATTCAAGGCAGTCCATGAGTAGGAGACTGAAGCTTTCATCCTTAGCGTATGGTGTGTGTGAGGGGACATGTGCCAGGGCCCCTCTAGCTGAATATATTCGCCGTCTCCGGTTTGTGCACTTCCTTATTCAATATGCATATAACTTACACCGTCTGCTCTCAAGTAGCTTCTTTATCATTCTAATGAAAAAAACAGCATTTCAATTGAGGTGGAGCTTAGTGTTATTTGGAACCGGTGGACTTCTCCATGAATGTCGCAGTACTGTAAGCCATGGATACCAAGGCGGTGGCCACCGTGCATATTGACCGCATACCTCCGCCCCTTTCTGTTTCCTCCTTCGCATCATCGATCATACTCACACCTTGATATCGAAGTCTCTGTTTACATAAAACCACCCATGCAGGATACACTAAGAGAAAAGTGTGACCGTTTAATACGGCCACCGCGACTATCCTTGGTCAGTGTATAATGACATGATAGACCGATTGCGCTAACATCCTAGTACTAGATTCTTAGCGATAACAATGTCCTCCAATTGGAGGAGCAACAACTTCAAGATGCACTCGAAAAGAGTCGAGAATACTGGTACCAAATTGCAAATTTAGCCTTTCAGCTACGGGAATCAGGATTAAGTTCAGATTTTACAAAGCCCCGTCTCGCTCTACATAGAATCCCGAAACTTCAAGTTCGTTCTGGACAGTTTCACGTTCGCCCATATGGAATGTCGCCTATACGCAGTCTTTGCTGTGAAGCTTCTTCAATCTGGACTCTGTCTACCGATCAGGATTGCGGCAAACTCAAGAAGCAGATATCACACCTCACCTTCGTCTAAGTTGGCACTGCTGTTGCTACATTCTTCAGCTTCATCGAGGATGCGTTCAGTTCATGGGACGGCATGAGCGGAGGAAATGTCATTGGACCAAACTATCTTGGAATTCTCTCCCTTGGATGGTGCTATGTACTATCTGCGAAACGCAATTCTCGATCAAATATCAGGGGACCCTCTCTCCAGACCCTGACCCGACACCCTTATCCTCAGAGAGAGCGTTCAAGCACTTGTCGCATTCGCACGTCTGCATGGACCTTGCAGGATCGGGCCCGTACACTTGCAAGGACCAGAATTACATCTTGAGAGAAGATGTATGGCGATTACCGAATCATCCTTCAACCGACGGGGACAATGAGAGCTATCAACATGGACCTAGAGTACCTTGGGCGCCGTGCGGAGCATCTCTCACAAAGGACTGTGCTCTCTATGTCACGGCACACTTGGACTGCCCCCGACATGGGTACGAGTATGACCATTGCGTGTGGTACTTGCCGGATGGTACTCTAATGCAGGACCGAGGTTTCTCGGAACAAGTAACGCCGGTTGTATTAGAGGGTCATTTCGACAATATCCAGTTAAAGACACGTAGGGAATTTAAGCGAACCCAGCTTGATCAGAAAGCTTCGAGGGAGGCCTCAGGGCAAGTGTTCTTGTGGTTCTTTTTTGGTGGAAGGACTACCCTCGGAGAGCATTTATCAGGAAGAATGGCTTAAGGAGATATGGGAAAATAATATTAGTGAGTTTGGTGGCGGCGAGTTTGATGATAGAGAGGTATCGGAACCGGTCGTTAAGTCTGGGGAGTTTGTTGATTCATGGCTTGATACTGTTAGTTGACACTGCCTAGGTGTCTCACAAGTTGCTTATTGAGGGAATAGCTTTAGTAGGGAGAAATTTACGGCCCGTAATATGTGTTTTTGCCTAGCACATTTCTATTCTTTACATGGCCTTCATCCTTCTTGGTGTCTTCCAGCGGAACTTGGCACTATCAATGACAATCACCTCCCGACAGCTCACGAATCAGCCCGAAGCCACCGCCACATATCTGGAACATCAATCCAGGAGAGAAGACCGAGGTCATCCTCAAACGTGCTGGGGCCAATACCAGAATATGTCCAATTTGAGGAGTCCAAGCCAGGGGTATCTTGAAAGGATGAAGTGCTTGGGCCATCGGGAGCAGGGTAGTGTCTACCGGCTTCGTCTGTGAGGTTCCGATCGGGATTCAGTTCCACATTAGAAGTGGGCCTATATGAGGGACGGCCGTGGATATTTTGACTGAAAGCCGCCTGTAAGAAGCGAAGCGATGTCCTTGCACATTGGCTGAATGTACCCATGTGTACGAGGATCTTCTCGCATTTCTCCCAGGCTTCTTGAACCCTAACAAAATCGATCGAGTCGGATAGTGAAGGTACTGAGTGGGCCATTATGAGAACGAGGGCACATGTAGACGTGTCTGTTTCCGATAGTCAGTTTGATGATTTAGCTTGTACCGTGACATGCTCTGCCATAGAGTTGAGGAGAGAAGAGCCACGAATGACCACAAGACGATGAAAGGGAGAATGGGTGACCACTTACAAAAGCCATTGTACCACCACGCATCAGTTAATGGTGTTGAGTATGTCTCATAGATCAAGTGAATAAGCTCAGTTGCAGTGGACACACAGGTAGCGGCACATTTATCTACTACGCAGGATTGTAGGGTGCTCTCGGCATCTTTCCAGGCCGGATATTTGTCTTTTCGGGATTCATGTGAGTGCTGGGGCGAAGTATAATCTGAGCACACCTGGGTAAAGATTGGTCGGTAGAGAAGTAGCCGGATGTAGTAGTACCTGAGACACTAAGTATATGTGATACTTTCATATGGGGCTAGGGCGAGATTGCTTACCGTGAACGAAGAATATTTCTTTGACGCTCTATAACATCCGATTCCTCAATGTGGCACTCTGGGCGACTAGAAGCGCTCCAGCTTAGGTAGGGTGGTAGGGTGTCCTTGAAGGACTGTAGCTGCCGTTCCAGTTCCAAAAGGGAATCGAAGTTTCCTTCGGACCATGATGTCGATCGTTTTGATTCCTCGTTGAAACGGCCTCGCCACATGTTATACACATCTGAAAGAATCCGATCCAAAATTCGATAGAGCTTGATAGTTGCCACGTAGAACCCCATAGTAAGAGGAACGTCCTTTCCTGTGGCAAAAGGCAAGGGAATCGGGGCGAGATGGCTGGTCATGCTTGGCCGACCGTGTGTCATGCTCACGAACCTAGACAGTGAGTCGGTCAGGTGAATAGAGCCGTTCACAGTAGAGCACTTACACATCTAGCATAACACATCCATGCCATGTCCTGCGCCGTACTTCCGTTTCCAATACTGTCATCGAGGACGCATTGTTCGTTTCATGTAAGCCCAGGCCTTGGGCGAGGCGGCATGCTAACCCAATGGCATTCCAGCATCTACTGGGGTACGGGCTGCTCTGCAAGTACAGAGCGACAATAAGAAGAGTCTGAACCACCCCGACTGTATGGATCTCAAGGAGATCAAGTCCTACGAAGCGTTTGCAGCGGAGAAAGAAGGAGTGGGCTGTTGCCTCTCGCTCCTGCAGCGGAAGGTCCGAGAAATGGCATCCAAGCGCAAACATCCCATTTAGAGCACAATGGAGCACAATCGACTTGGGGGACGAGTCAGACCTTCCTCCGAGGCCGATATGCATGTCTGGTAGCTTGTTCATACCATCGCTTTCCGACTTCCACAGGTTATCGTATGCTTTCTCGAAGCTGGGTCGATCGAAGAAAGGGTAGATGCAGGCCACACGGTCAAAAAAGCAATTTAGAAGGTGATCTGCTAGTGGGCGGGGTGGGAGTGCGAAGTCATTGAGTCGGTACTGTGTGTTAGGTGCCTCGTGATACTGGTAATCCATTGAGGTATTGGTACCACCTTTGGCCCGCGGCGAAGATTGCAACGGGACAGACAACCGTGCGAATCTCATCAATGAAGCAATGGAGGAAGATCCATAGAATTCCCGAGGTGGAGCTGGAGATGCCAAGGTATCATCTGACGTCGAAATCTGGCCCATTGCCGTGACACGGCCCGGGGTGTCAAAGTGTGGAGGTGCGGATCTCTGCTCCCCACGGAGGGGACTGCGGTTCGGATAGTTCCGAGTGTGATTGGACATCCTTTGAGATGCGTCTTCTGCTTCCTGAAGAGTAGGTAGAGAAATCTGGGGCGGATGATCTCTTGGGACTGTTCTTGAAGTATGGAGACTCTGGCCATCCGGAAGCCGCTCATCGTGGGGAGAACTGTCACTCTCTTGACATACTAGACTACCTTGGGTAACCCTTGAGGACGTCGACTGCCAATTCCAATTCAAATACTGGGATTCATGTGAAGGTGAGTCTTTCTGGTGTGGTGATTCCCTGTGTAGATCCGGTGCTGACACCCCGGCCCGTAGGCATAGATCCTCGAGTTCAGTGATGCGCGAACGTAGAACCCGGATGTACCTGTTCTGTCAGCGGAATTACTGACTACTTCATTAGAAATAACTCACTCATCCTGACTAGCAGTTCTGTAGTTATCCAAGCTGTATGAGCACTGGCCAATTCCATAGGACTTTCGGTCGCATGACCCACAGATCGGTTTGCCTCCATCACAGCGGATCTTTTTCTCCCGGCATGGATCGCACGCCAATGCGACTTTCCGTCGCATGGTACGCTGCTTGGCAACACCGCTAGTTTTTGGTGGCATCTTGTCCCTTCCTGAGCTTAACTAGAACATTTGCTTTGCTGCCACTGGGTTTTGCATATCGATGTTATTCAGGAGCCAGTCAGCTGGTCGTTGTGGCACCGGTCAGCTGATCATGGACGACGGGCTCCGGAACGATCCGAGCATCTGCAGCTGAGACAATCCCCTTCTTTTGTGACTTCCGGTGTACAGAGAAACACATCGTCTACTTAGAATACGCCATGTTTAGAGACTATTGAGGCTTTATCATCACAACTTCTTACAATGTCTCATTTACAATGCGAAACAACGAGTAGTTCTGGCCGAGTCCAACAGTTGGCCGGATATCTCGGCAACCATGGTAAACCTTCTGCTCGGGATGCACCCGAGACGTGACGCAGTGGCCGAATTTAGATGTAGTTACCGTATATAAACCTTTGATTTTCTGTCAATTATTCTCATCTTCTCATCCTGTCAGTACAAAAAGTACACTTTCTGAACCTCGCTTGTCCTGAAGAACAATGTTCAAGATCGATACCCATCATCACTTTGTGCCGCAGTTCTATGCCGAAGGTACGCCTAACCCACGTTCGCTCAGACTATATAAGATTCTACATCCATACTGACCCAACTGTTTTCATGTACGTAGCGGTCGAAAATGCAGGAGGTGACCCCTCCGGCTGGCCAACTCCGAAATGGAGCGCTGAAGCATCACTGGCGTCTATGAATAAGAATGGCACGCGGAAAGCGGTCTTGTCTTTAACAGCCCCTGGAGCTGTCATCGCCCCAAACGACAACAGCCGTCGCACCTTAGCCCGACAGGTAAACGAACATGCGGCCCAATTGAGGGACGAGCAACCAGAGAGGTTCGGATTCTTCGCGGCATTGCCATGTCTGCTAGACACCGAAGGCACACTCGAAGAAATTCGTTACAGTCTAGACGTACTCAAGGCTGAAGGCGTAACCCTATTTACTAGATACGGCACCGGAAATCACTATCTAGGTCATCCGGTCTTCCGCCCCATCTGGGAGGAGCTCAACCGTCGCAAAGCCGTTGTGTTCATCCACCCTACCCACCCGGCTGATACCAACCGTGTTAACCCTCAGCTACCTCAACCAGCCATTGATTATCCCCATGAGACCACTCGCACTGCTGTGGACCTTCTTACTACAGGAACAAAGGCGGCCTTCCCTGACTGCAAAGTCATCCTTTCTCACGCCGGTGGCACTCTCCCGTACCTGATCTCCCGCTTGACTACCGTCACCAAATTTCCAGAGGCGGAGTACAAACCCTTTGGTCGCGGCCCAGAGGAGATGGTGGAAGACTTCAAGTCATTCTATTTTGATTTGGCTCTGTCCAGCGCACCAGCTGTGCTGACTCTTCTACTGAGCCTTGTGCCTCATGATCACATTATATATGGTAAGGGAACTTCCCTTTCCTTGAAGACCCACTAGATGCAGAATTGTGTTCCGATGCTGACAGCTGCAGGCTCTGATTTTCCTTACGCGAATAGCAACAAGATTGCTGGGTTCAAGGAGGCTCTGGACGAGTACCCTCTGGATCAAGATTTGAGGAACCGAATTTACTATGCAAATGCTCAGAAACTTCTCGCTCGTCACTGAGCAGATACAGTGACTCAGTTACTGGGATTCGCGAAATGCGAGAAAGCCTTGTATATATCCTTACATTCATTATAGTACATAAAATACTAACAAAAACCCATCGCCTCCATGTAAATTCAGCAGCACATCCTTGTTTGGTGGCTTAAAAAGTGACGAAATGACCAAGCGACACACTTGTAGAGGAATTGAATGTATCCCAAGCTGCACCTTCAGAGGCACATAGCCTGATTATGATTTTTCTCTATTCAGTTAGGAGTTTCCATCAGTACCAGTGCATTCTTTCGCACACCTTGGCTAAATCGACAAACAGTCACCTTACAACAACATCTGGGCTGTCTCAGACCAGTATTCCTAGAAAGTAATTATTAGTGTCAGGCATTACCGCTAAAACTTTTCATAACGTGATACCGGAGCGACATAAGGTCAAAAAGTACCAAGTAGACCACAGCCATGAAAAAGAACAAGAAGAGTCTTAATTCAAGACCCATCTGGCTTCAGAGGCTTGGTTCTCTGCTGGGAGACTTAGTCCTTTTGTGTACGAGAGTCTGATCTTAACCAGTGACTGACCTTGAAGTTCAGTCAGACCAGGCGGGAAAGTTCTTATGTGAAGCATGGCTGGGGTCGCATGAGATTATGGTCTATTTAAAAAGAGGCCAATGTTGCCCTCAGCGCCACCTAATTATGTGACAGGGATCCTTTCCAATTGGGTTAGTGTTACATAGAGCCTTACAGGTAGAAGCTACAGGGATCGTGGGTCTTCCACCTTCAACCAGCGCTCATACACCATTGCTCGTAAGCTCTTATCCAATCTCATGTATCTTAGCTGTACCCAAAAGTGCGTATCTGCTTGCATTAGATGAGCTACATGCTATTTACATAGATTTAGGTGACCTTAGATCTTATCCAATACAGAAAAAACTAGGCGAGTCGTGTTTCGAATGCAACTGGACACTTTTCCCCCACGAAGTTACCCGCCTCTTTTAGCATGTCTAAGTTCGCTGTCATTCGGTTGATATAACTTAGGCGACTATTGAAATATTGTGTTGACGTTTTCGTGGGTCTACAAGGCCATAGACTGGAATCAGATGCAGAACCTCCTAGCTCGATCAAGAACAGTACTCTTCTTCCTCATTTGGATTATTCACCACTCTTAACGATAGGCGCATCAAAAGCACCTCAGTAGCAGCTCTCGGAATGGATTATCCTGGCTCTTCATGCATGTATTAATTCTGAGTATTATGCAAATCATCCATGGATTTATCCGATGAGCTGTGCCGCATATCCGGATTCTCCACGGAACCTTCCGGCGGTATAGCCAGGAGCTTCGGGTACGTCCCGGGTGCTTGGACATTCCTCAAGTTAGATTGTACGTACGATATCTTAAGAACCCCATAACATCATATGTATTCTAGTACTGTTGCATGACAGGAGTTATGGTCAAGGTTAGTTGCATAAGAAACTTTTGACCGGTCGCATCGGCCCTTGGGGTCAATAAGTTCCATACCCAACTTCGCGTTGTCCCTAGTTCTATGAAAACCATTGTCAGAGAGTAGAAAACTCAGAAACGAAACTCGAATGTGATGTTTAATATCTGATGCTTTAGATGCCGCCAGCTACTTCGGAGTCCTATTCACGGGCGATCAGGACGAGACGAGTCGGCTTCCAGCGATAGGAAAGACTACCACCAAGGCATCCGCACCTGGAGTGCTTCTCACCGGGCCATCAGGGGCTTAATCGACACTATTGCATAATCTGAAACAGGCCAATAAAGGATACTTCGATGTTGCCGGTTCCTGGAACATTTTATGGAAGACCGCGTATGTTGTGTCTGAATAACCACATCACGCATCGTATGGATCCTTGTAGAGGAACACAAAGCACCACTAAAAGCAACCTTTATGGTTTGTTTTCTGTATTTCCAACCTCGGTCTCATCACTCTCCGGACGCAACACAAATAAAGCACAAAAACATCCTACAATGCTCGTAGCACTGCTGTGAGACCCCAGCTTCTATTAGAGCATCCAATTCACTTTTCCTCCCCTCAACTGCTCATCTGTGACCTTGTGTTCACCTCTCACCTTCAATATCAGCCAGCCAGTTCCGATGTCTGGTCTATCACCTATTCAAAATAGCAGTGGAGCAGTATGTGAGAAGGAGACTGTTGTGGAAGAAGTCTTGTCTGGCTCTACCTCATCTAGTGGTATAGATGTGCCACAGCATATAGAAACAGTCGGCTCACCGACATATCCCCCACTTGCCAAAACCATTCTCGTCGCCCTCGCTTTGTATATTGCTGTATTTCTCGTCTCTCTGGTAAGTTATGGAAAGTTACTTTCCGAATCCCCTTAATGACTGACACTATATCCGGGCATGTGCAGGACCGTCTGATTGTGGCTACGGCAACTCCGAAGATCACTGATCATTTTCATAGTATTGGCGACATTGGCTGGTATGGAAGCTCGTATATGTTAGCAGCGTCTGCATCCCAGCTTACATACGGTCGCATCTACACTTTCTATGCGATTAAATGGGTTTTCCTCCTCTCCATCTTCATTTTCGAGGTCGGCTCCGCTATCTGCGGTGCTGCACCCTCCTCCTTCATACTCATCCTCGGCCGCGCGATAGCAGGCCTCGGAACAGCAGGCATATACTCAGGGGCTGTTATTATCATCGCTCTTACTGTACCCCTCCGCTTGCGACCGGTGTTTCAAGGAGCCGTTGGTGCTATTATCGGCATATCATCAGTGTTGGGACCGATTCTCGGTGGAGTGTTCACCACAGAGGTCAGCTGGAGATGGTGCTTCTACATCAACTTGCCTCTGGGAGGGCTTGCGGTGGTCGCCATATTCTTTCTGCTAGACGTTCCTCCACCTGAGAAGGGGGGCTGGAGCCTTAGAGAAAAGTTCAATCAGCTCGACCCCATTGGAAACCTGTTAATGGCCCCTGCTGTGACCTGCCTCCTTCTCGCACTCCAATGGGGCGGTACTACGTACGACTGGAGCAACTGGCGCATTATCTTTCTCTTCGTTATGTTCGGGACATTATTCGGCATCTTCGCATTTGCAGAGTACCGTCTCGGAGAGAAAGCAATGGTCCCCCCTCGCATCTTCAAGCAACGTTCAGTCCTTGCAGGAATTGTGTTCACCATGTGTACTAGTGCAAGCACTATGGTCATGCTTTACTACCTTCCGATCTGGTTCCAAGCCATCAAGAACGTCGATGCCGAAAAATCGGGCATTATGAATCTACCTCTAGTTCTCGCTATGGTTGTGGGCTCCATTGGTTCTGGCTTCCTCGTCAGCCTTCTGGGTTACTACAACCCCTTCATGTTTGCAGGCGGTATTTTCATGTCTATTGGAGCTGGATTACTCAGTACATTTCAACCGGACACCGACCACCCCAAATGGATTGGGTATCAAGTTATCTTCGGTTTTGGCCTAGGTCTTGGTGTTCAACAAGCGAATGTCGCTGTGCAGACGTGCCTAGATCCTGTCGACATTCCGGTCGGTGCATCGCTTCTTATGTTTTCGCAACAGTTAAATGGGGCAGTGTTTCTAGCGGTTGCGCAGAACCTTTTCACAAACTTCCTTACAGCAAACTTGGATGATATCGAGGGCATCTATGCAACATGGGTCATTGCAAGTGGTGCGACTACCATACGAGAATTGGTGCCACCTGCAAAGCTGCCAGTGGTTCTTAAAGCGTACAGCGACGCCATCATGAAGACATTCGTCCTGGCGTTAGCCATGTCCTGTTTGGCCCTGTTCCCGACACTTGCTATGGAGTGGAAGAATGTAAAAAGGGTAGCTAAAGGTATTGAGAATGGTGATGATGCATCAGGAAGTAGCGATAGCAAGAGGCAGCCATCGGAGGCATGCTGAGTGACACCTAGAAGAATTTGGAGAAAACAAGAGAGCTTCTTACCAATATCGAACGTGATACGCATCGATCAGCTAGGGTTTTGGTCTAAGATGATATCTACATAGAAGTGCCCGTCTAAGGAGACATCAGCTCACCTAGCTATTCATGCTAAAAATACAGTGTCAAATTAGAAGCTTTTACCATCACTCTATGATAAGCAAGCACTATTTGAATACTTTATTCACAAGGTGTGATCAGTAAGATCTAAAGCATAGTCACTGCAATCAATCAACACCTAAGTAATAGCTTCTGATCACGCGTAACATTGATATGGGTCAGGTGATAGTCGCGCTGTTTGCTTGCCTGTGCTACAACATACCTTCAGCGTAACCCCTCTCCCATGTCAACTGTCGCGCGCAGAACGCTTCAAAGTGACGACAATAACAATCAATGTGCCCACATTCTCTAACTCCAGAACTAATCGTCCTCACCTTTCTTGGGTGGAGAGCGACCTGAGTGTAAATGACTTAGTTTCTCGGGCAAAATACTAAGCGCTGTCAGTTACCGACTGAGAACCGGAGATTAATGTTGGCTGGGAGTGTGACCCTTGTGTATCTTGCAAGAGTTGATTCATTCGACGACGCTGATAGGTTCTGAATTACAGCATACCCATACCATCCCGACCGCCTGTACAGTGGAAATTTGAACGATGATTTGAATAACTCTCCAACACACCTAACACCGGTCTAGGGAGTGAGGAGTCATTTCGAACCAATGTTGAGCGCGCAAGAATGTGCGGGGGATGCTTGGGTTGGTCCGGGAATCCTAGGCTATAGCAGCAACTCTCGTCCTACTGGTCCAATGAAGAAAACACCGGATTTGATCATCCAGAGCCCATCAAGATGGGTGGCGATAGAAACCCCGCTTCAGGTTTGGGAGTGCATCCAATTCAGGAGGAAACGAAGTGTTGGGGTTGAATTCCAATAGGGGTCCCCATTACGCGCGCTTAGTGCGATGTATCCCACAATCACAGGTGTGATGGTTCTTGGAAGAGCGGAGACATATCCATGATTCAAAGGCGCATTCAGCCTACTCCGCCCACTGATACCGTCTGGGTCAGCCGATGGCCACACATTCATGTCACCATTGTGAGATTAGCGTCTATTCTCGCTCTCATTCACTTGACCAACTCAGCCGCCAGCAGGCTTGGGTAGACAAAAAGCGAAGCATAAGCGCCGTCCGGCAGGCTCTCGTTAAATTCAGCGTGGTGTGTGGAATGGATACAGTGCATTAGCTTCCGGGCCGCATCCAAACGCAACCTAGCGGAATTTGCAGAGCCTAATTGATGAAAAAGGATCTTCGGACGGCTGAGCCAAGAGTTGCTATGTGATACCCCGCTCCTCCGATCGAGGGAATGTGATGCCGTCAATGTAGCGAGATAACGCAAGTGGGCGTAACGCCTTAACTTCCCAATCAGCTGCTACAGGGATCGGGGCGGCTAACCTGAGTCATTATGCGTAAGGCCATCAATCAGAATGGGCCAATATATCAACGGTGTTCCGAAGGTCGACCTTAGCTGCAGTAGCGGCTTCTACTTCTTAGCGGTTAGCTTAGCGGGAGACACCAAGCAGTATGCGGCACAGTGAACTCGCAGGCGGGAAACAAGGCGCGATATCATCCCCAGGACAAGTTGTTCTTCTAGACCCACCCTACTTGGTATCATCTGGCGGCATGAGAGAGCATCTATACTATTGCGTTCTTGATGACATTTAAGGGGAGATGGCTCCGCCCTTCATCGACAATATCTCAAGAGTTCAGTTCTGGATGAGAATCTTTTCTATTTCGAAACACAAAATCTACAGCCATCTTTGAACCAGTGTTTTAAAAATATTTGAAAGGGAATTCACGTAATGTTCGGTGCATTTCGCTGCAACAACAGTACGTCTAAGAATCTGGAGTTCATTGATTTATCGAGAAAGGTCGGCATGGATTCTCGCAATTCTGCTGTACTGGTAGGTGATCTATCCATAATCGTCTGGGTGACATAGATTGGCGATGCTGACATTGGTGATCAGGCATGTGAACCGTGCCGGGCTCAAAAGGTCAGTCAGATAGCGATCAAACCTCAGATAGGGACTAATACTTGTAAAGCTCAAATGCAATGGTGATCTGTATGGCTGCGAAAGATGCCAAGAATCATCCACGGATTGCACGTACCGCACCCCTACGCCCGCATCCTCCACGCCGTTAAGCTTGAAACATCCCGCCTCAGATCTCCCGGCACTTCCCTTGAAGCGGCGGCGGACCAATGGTGTCGGAGCACTGCGTATACATTGCCCGTCGCCAGCTGGACCAACCCCCAGAATACAGTCACCACTCGTACGGCCCGAGCCCGTCTTGGTCAATTCCTACCAAGACTGGGGTCAATTTTGTAACATGAACACGACGGACCACCCAGGGCTGAACCTAACCCTAGAAGATAATTTGCCCTGTTACCCAACGGCGCCTTTGATCTCAGAGGCACATCTGAAACCCTCACATCTGGTGTCGCCAGCTACATCGTATTCGAGTGAAGTCGGTCCCAGCGTCTTTGTTCGGAATCCTCATACCCCTGTCACATCACAGGACCCATCTAAGAATCAGGGCCAGAGTTGCAAGTGTATCCAGTCCCTTGCCGACACGCTGGAGAGGGTTGGAGGCGACAACGACCAAAGGAGTAATATCGACCACAGTGAGCGTCTCGATTACTTACTGACGTCTTTGCACACCGGTGTCGATGCATGTACTCGGGTGCTCGACTGCGGCAGCTGTGACATCTGTGCCACAAACTCGATGATCTTCATGGCTTTGATCCAGCAGCTTGCCATAAGGTCGAGAGACCTCTGCGATCTACTACTATCGCTCCAGGACAAGCCACAGAGGACCTTGCCAGACGACCCAGCAGATCTCCAACCCGAAGCTAGCGTCTTTATAGGACGGTATCAAATTCAAATTGAGGCTGTATGTCGGGAGCTCGTCCACACCTTGGCCAACATTCATTTCAGAGATCTCCGCCGCTTACTAGCTCGTCTGCCTGACCTGATTGGAACGAAGCCAAGGGCGAATAAGATGCTTACTGAGGCCACTGAAACTTCTGAGAAGGCTTTTCACATTCTTGAAGGGATTCTAGTCAAGCGTGCTGCTGAGAAGGCGAAGAATCACGAGTTATACGGCTTGATTACGCAGAGGGATCCTTAAGGGATTACTTGTTACTTCTATGAAAGGTGAGCTAACATCATCCGTTTGACTGTGCATAACATTCTTCTAACGACCCGTTTTCATGTTTAGATCATCCCGTTTCTTCTCCAGTCACCAACTCCGCTTGGCTTGGCTACCGCCAGTTTCAAGTTCTTCCTGGCAAACACTATGGGACAGATTGCGCATTCTCGGAGTTTGGGAGTTCGTCGGGTAACAAAGTTGGACTGAGCGTTTTGATTGTTAATACAAGCCTTGTTCATAGCCATTTTTTCAACGAAATCAAGTAACTTACATTCTGCTTTATGCATTGTACATGAAGAAACGCATCCGACAAACCGTCCCTACTCCTGAGTTGGCTTGTTCGGGGCACCCTTAACCGGAATTCTGATCGAGCCGTCCTCACGCTTGGCTGGGGCGCCCTTGACAGGGATCCGGATGACGCCGTCGGTTTCTTTCTCTGGGGTGCCCTTGACTGGAATCCTGCTTACACCGTCGTCCCGCTTAGCAGGAGCATCCTTCACAGGGATGCGGATGGAGCCGTCGTCACGTTCAGCCGGGGCGCCCTTGACGGGGATTCTGATAGAGCCATCCTCGGGTACCGGAAGGGGACTTGCTAGAGTGGTAGCGATGAGAAGGGCGCCTGCCTGGAGGAAGATGGCCGAGAGCTTCATGGTTAGATGTCGAGTTGGCAACGAAGGTAGTACCAAAAGAATAACAAAGACTTCCTGTGTGGGTGTAAGATAGGGAACTAAGTACGACGGAGGCTGAGCGATACCGCTTGCTTATGAATATCCCAAAGACTAATTGCTTATCCCTGTCGTCTAATAGTCCCATACCTCTACAAGCAGTAGCCATACAACCGCGCCAATTTCGGAATCTCCTCCGTAACTCCGAAAGAGCAACAGAAGGTCCAACTACATCGAACATTGCGAAGCACCTCCACTCTTCCTTCCCAAGGAGGACTTATCGCCCAGAAAGAAACAGCCTCCATAATGAGACAATTCACCCGAAGTGACTGAGGGCACCATGTTCACCGGTGCGAATAAACCAACCACGTGTCATAGATAGGATACGCACATGGACTAAAGCAAATCGCGCATATACTCGAACAGGAACGCATGCAGCCACATGAGTGGAGACACATGCATGTTTATAGGATAGGAAGGTCGATAAATGGTAAAGGGAGGCCAAATCGCGCCGAACTGGTTCGAACCCCTCATTTAATATGCTAGTCCGGTGGGGCTGTCGGGGCTGAGTGTGATAGCTTCAGTTAGGCTGATTGCGACTTCAGACGAGGTTTCGGGGATGTATGCGAATGGGATGTCACATTAGTTTGGAGTAGGAGGCGTTGGTTACTGGTTGGGAGGGTAATTGAGTGTTGTTTGGGTTGATTGGTGGATTAGGTAGGTCTGGATACAATTGGGGTTATCCGATGTTCGGAGGGTGATATCGGCCCATATTGAGGCTAGTAGTGGCATAGATTAGCTTCATATTACTTTGACGAACAAGGTCTCTTTAATTGGCGTTGTATGTGCTGTGCCGCAGTTACTTATCTTATGAGCCTTTGGAAGCACTCTGCATTCTACATCCCCTTCGTCACACCCAGAATCCTGGCGATCCATTAGCTGTCATGGGCTTCGAGTACGAACGGTAATTACTTCTCTCCCTACAATCCACACTACATACACAGAGACTAATGCACAGGAACGCACGAAGGGTAACCAACGCCCGCTCCGATCCTGAGCTGGCAACTCCCAAAGACGCAGGCGATGAAGAAGACGAGGCTCTCCTACAACCCAACACAACCAACACCAACAACAACTCGTGTCCCAAATACTACCCCTCCTATCTCATCAACCACATAAAAGCCCTCCTCCTCTCAATTCCAAAAGCTCTCCTCCTCCGAAACACCCTCATTCTTTTCCTCACCATCTGGGGCCTCGTCAGCCTCACACACACCCTCATCCTCTCCATCATTCCCACAAATACGCACCCTCCCACCCCCAAGACCTGCCACTGTGGAAACTCCACCACTGAAGCCCTCACCCTAGGGTGCAAATTCGACTCTCTAGCCGCAGCCTGGCTTCCACCACACTGCCGTGACGACGAGCTCACCGCGGAGTTCGAGCGCGCTGGGCCCAATCCCGACGGGAGCTGGACGTACTACGCAGACGATTACCATACCGTGCCCATGGCTATTGAGGAGGTTGCGGCTCTGGCGGATAATCAGTCTGCCAGAGTGCAAATGACGAGGGACTGGCATGTCGTGCATTGTTTGTTTTATTGGAGGAAGATGTTCCGCGTTAGGGACTTGGAAGGGGTGATTGTGGAGCCAAGCTTTGATCATGAGGAGCATATTAAGCATTGTATTGGGGTTGTGTTGGAGGATAGTTGGGGGACCGAGGCGAGGGTGGCGTTGGATACGTAGGTTTTGGTGGGGGAGATGGGGTGATTGTATTGTATCGCTATCTATGGGGTTCATACTATATGCTATCTGCTGGTTACCACTCTGATACTGGGTATGCAACTGGTCCGCCTGGAGAAGTTGGTAGTCTGGCAGTTAGGACCTCGACTCCGTCTTCTGTTACTAGGAGGGTATGCTCTGCGAAAGTGTCAGTACACATAGTGTTGTTTCCTTGTAGGAATAGTATCCTCACCAAACTGCGCCGTCCTCTTCCCATCCATCGTCACCGCCGTCCAATTATCCGGCCAGATCATATCCCTATACGTCCCCAGCGCCACCATCGGCTCAATCGTAAAGCACATACCCTCCTTCGCTGCTCCGACAGCCTTATTTCCAGCGTAATGCGGCACACTTGGCAAACAATGAAACACTGTGTTGATACCGTGTCCACAGAACGATCGAATCACACTGCAGTCTCTCTTCCGCGCATGCGCTTCAATCACATCCCCATAAGCCCGGAACAGCGCCCCAGGCTTGACCAGCTCGATCGCCATGTCCAGACACTCCCGGGCTGTTTCGACAACCCTGACGGAGTCGGGATCCGCTTTCGCCTTGTCCCCGACGTAGTACGTCTCGTTGAGATCGCCGTGGTACCCGCCGTGATAAAGCGTGACGTCGATGTTGAGGATGTCACCGTCCACCAGGACACGCTGGTCGGGAATACCGTGGCAGATGACTTCGTTGAGGGAGATGCAGGCGGATTTTGGGAAGAAGTTGTAGTTTAGTGGGGAGGGGTAGGACTGCATTTCTTTTGCATTAGCACCTCTGTGAGATCTTTATGGGATTGCGAGAAAGGGGAGGTGGATACATCACGCTCTATACACGCTTTGTGCACAATCTCATCAATGTAATCCGTTGTCACCCCAGGCTTGATGGCAGCTGCTGCAATGTCTAGGACTTCGCGAGCGAGTCGACACACCTTCCGCATGGCATCCTGACCTGCCTTATCTAGAACGGTGAATTTGGCTCTCCGATCGTAGAAAGATTGTGCACTTTGTGGAATGCCACCTTGCCAGTAGTCTGGATGTTGGATAGTGGAGGGGACTGTGCGACGCTCGGATAGTGGATAGACGGGTCGGAGCGAGCCGGTGAAGTTGAATGATGGAAAGGGATTGTACAGAATAGTTTCTTATATTTCTCAGTCCCAGGTTGATGATTTGGATAACGTTGATGACTTACGTTTTGCTCGGTGGATGGCTTTGTGTATTCTCTTGGCTGTTATCAGCTTTATTTATTCCATGGAAATACAGCGCAGTACTCACCCAGCTACGCTGGAAGCAATCTTGTGAGCAGAAGAAGCTTCCTCGAATCTCTAGTTTGAGACAGGTGGGACATTGCAGCGTGCTACATTCATTGTCACACCCGTCACCTAGACATCTGCGTTTTGCGACAAACTTGGAGGTCATGGTGTTTAGGTAGACGCTGCTGCGGTTGTGTGTAGCACAAAGTGCTCTTGAGTATTTTGTTTGTCTGTGTAAGTTAACAATGTTGGAGGTTGTATTGTATTCGTAGTTTTGAGGGCTTCCCCGCACGTTGTTCCTAGATATACTCCCTGCCACATTAGGTAGCCTAATGAAGACGGGCAGACTGCCCAGCAGAAGCCGACTTCGGGACACCGAAAAGACCCTAAATCTACTAGTACGAGGCGAATAAAGGTAGTACTACCACTACCAATCCTAGTGGGCAGAGAAAGTACTTTCTTGAGGTCGACTAATGTAGTGTGCTGTGCCACCTCCGACGGATGTCCGGCGCGACTAAACTCCGCTTTTGTTAGTGATTCCATTGGCTGGAAGATAAAATACAACATCCGGCTGTATAGAACAAATCCTACACCAATTTCATTATACATTTGCATTCCAGCATAAGTCCGCTTTGAGAAATAATACTCACGTGGAATATCGCTGCTAGGCCTAGGGCTCCGATCTCCCGGATTGACTGTTAATCCGAGTGTGGTCCCGTGGTTGTATTTGCGGCGAGTGGGGCGCGCTAATCCTAAAGTAGAGCGGGATGACTAGACTCAAGACAAAGAAATCAAATGTCAGCATTGTCTTGCTTCTCTTTCACCATCAGACCAGAATTCTCGTTTCACAGTTGATGTCAGTACCGCGCCTTGAAATTGCAACATGGGATCGAAAAGCCCCGAAGGCCACCAGCAGACTCCTGATGGTATGACACCTGCGAAGCTTAAAGAAGCCCCCTTCTGATCTGTCTGCGTCATATAGGCTCCAACTCCTCCGAGCCCAAGCCTGCCAATCCCAACCCCAAGCCTTCCCGCAATGGCTCCCAGTCGGCCGATTTGGATGGCGGAAATCTCGGCGATGACGATGACGATGACGGTGAAGCGAACGAAGAAGTGGAAGTGAAGACCTTCGCTGCGAATGCTGGTACGTTCAGACTCCACCCCAATCATGTTAACATCTGCATTCCTGACAACATACTACTTGTAGACAAGAAAAAGAAACGCAAGAGGTCTAAGAAGAAGACCAAAAAAGCAATCGTGCCACTCAAGCAGTCGAACCCTCCCCGTGTGCTGGTTTCGACTCTCTTTCCATCGGGATATCCCATCGGAGAATGCGTCCCTTACAAGGACGATAATGCCTCTCGCACTACGGACGAGGAATTGCGTTATAACTCACGTCTTTGGGATAAGGGATTCCTCGACGAGTACCGTCAAGCCGCCGAGATCCATCGTCAGGTTCGCCAGTACGCCCAGAATGAGCTCATCAAACCCGGCGCGAGTCTCACTACAATTGCTGAGGGCATTGAGGACGGGGTCCGCGCCTTGTCTGGCCACCAGGGACTTGAATCTGGAGACGGTTTCAAGGCGGGAATGGGGTTTCCTACTGGGTTGTGCTTGAACAATGTTGCAGCCCATTGGACGCCCAACCCGGGTGCCAAGGATGTATATTTGGACAAAGGTGATGTACTGAAAGTCGACTTCGGCGTTCATGTCAACGGCCGTATTGTCGACTCGGCTTTCACTGTGGCTTTCGACCACACGTACGACAACCTCCTGACGGCTGTGAAGGAGGCGACCAATACTGGAATCATGGTACGTTTTCCTTCCATGTACGCAATTCTAGATACAAAGCTAACTTGAACAGCATGCTGGCATTGACGCCCGAGTGAGTGAAATCGGTGCGGCGATCCAGGAAGTCATGGAAAGCTACGAGGTTGAGATTGCCGGAAAGACCCATCCTGTGAAAGCCATCCGGAATATTACCGGGCACGATATTCTTCGGTATAATATTCATGGTGGCAAACAGGTCCCGTTCATCAAGAACAACAGGCCGGACAAGATGGAGGAGGGTGAAGTCTTCGCCATTGAAACATTTGGAAGTACCGGCAGAGGCGTTCTTCACGATGATGTAGGTCTCTGTTCGTTCGATGTGTTTAACAATACTAAAGCTCCTCAGGTGGGCGTCTATGGCTACGGCAGAAATACCGATGTCTCCGGTGCAAACCTGCGTCTTTCCTCTGCCAAGAATCTTCTCAAGACTATCGACGCCAATTTTGGAAGCCTTGTCTTCTGCCGTCGGTACCTTGAGCGTCTCGGGGTGGAGAAATACCACCTTGGTGTAAGTAGATGGGGCAACTTACATGTCGAATACTTCCTGACTCATTATGCAGATGAGACATTTGATTGATAATGGCATTGTCGAACACTATGAGCCGCTTGTTGATGTGAAGGGTTCATACACGGCTCAGTTTGAACACGTAAGAGCTTCCCGCCCAATATAATCAGCCAATGCCTAACAATTTCCAGACTATCCTGCTCCGCAGTGGTGGAAAGGAAGTTATTAGTCGTGGTGATGACTACTAAGCACTTACCCTCAGTTGAAACTATATCTTTGTCGTGACTAACTCAGGTCACGGCTCGGTCTACTGTTCGGCTGACGTACATTGTACACAGTCGTTTTCTACAACTGTGCAGCCTGCTCTCCGTCACAAGGCAAACATCTATGCACTCTTCAGGATGTCGTAAAAGGATCCGAGTGTATATATTCGTTGTGGCATGTCTTTCTTTTCAGGCCTACATTGTTCTGCAATCTAGCTATTGAATCTATGTTCAGTACATCATATGAATTCTGTTATCCGGGCTTTTCTCATCAGTCGTAAACCTTCCGGATTGATTTTTACCTCCATTGCCCACGTAACACACGCCACAACTCCATGCTTGTCTAGTACTGTCTTGGGCTTACTCGAGCCATGGCTTCTTGTGACTGCATTGCGAGTGCTGGATCTAGCTATTGAGGTTGTAGTTGAGTGGGCTTTACCTCAAGCTGTACTATACGGGGAGTCATACACCAAGGACTGTTTGTCGGATCCAGAATATTGGCAGTTCAATCCATGATGTTATCTTCACACTGCAGTGATGCGGCATGCAGGTGTCATGCCGGAAGTCAACGCCGCGGGACAGACCATTGAAATCCGGTCTGGGGAAAGACAGACATCATCAGAAATATATGAGCATATCTAACGAACGACTCCTCTTTGCTGGACATTATTGGAATGTAGCTGATACAAGTGTAGTTACTGTAGGCCAATGGGGATCCCAAGTACTATCCTGCCATGGTGGTGCAAAATCACACCCGTTTGCTGATTCCCCCAGAGCGGTTGGTATGCGATAAAAGCAACAAGGCTCACTAGCCTTTTACCACTGCCTCAAAGGACAATTTCTTCGCCTATATGTCGGGAAAACTGTGAAACTAGGAAGCGTAAATGAAAGGCTTAATGATGCCGAAAGAGTACTATCAGAAGACGACTGGCAAATTAGCGCCAGCCTTGCTACCCCGCGCCAGCTGTTCAACACCACATCGCACCTTCCTCTATCATTGATACCGTACGTGAGGTAAAGAGCCCAAACATGTCATCCGAAAAGCCTAACCTTCAAGAAGAGCATATCGCACGGGTTGTCTGGGCAGCGCATATTCTCGCCTATCTTACTGAAGGAAGAAGCCATGCGCAGGTCGAGAAGGTCGTAGATGACGTTGCCAGTGATACAGACAGTGAAATTGAGACTGAAGTGGCAGTCGACGACACGGACACTGCAACAGCAAAAGCTGTACCTCTATCTGCGTCGAGAGAGTCTGTTTTGCGAAAGTTTCTGGACTGCATTTGCCAGCTGCTGTCGCCGTCCAAGGGGTGGGAAGGGGTTACTGCAGCTTCAATGCGCGAAAGCAGCGGCGGTGTTTCTGTGGACGTTGCACGGAATGATGGATTCGGTTCGGATTGCGGTAGCTTTGATCCTGCAACACTCGAGTACTGTCGGATGCTGGAAGAGTATTTGACCTCTTGTGTCAGTACTGAAGGTATGCACGTGGGGAGGGATATAGTTTGATGCAGTCATAATTAACTGGATGTCTGCTGCAGTGACAAATATCCCAGCGAAATCCGTGACGGAATTTGAGGCCGCTTCGATTAAATACACCGCTAGTCGAGTTGACTACTGGATTTCCGCCTGTCGGAGAACATATGCAGATAGCCATAATGACACCGATTGGAATCCGCGGGCATGGCCTGGACGTGAGTCGGCAGCGCAAACCTGGACATCGATGGCTGATCTTTTGCTGCGCTTTGATAGCAAGAGAATGGCCGCACATATTAGAACTCTTTCGGTGCAACGGGCTTACAGCTGTGTCAGTTCACCAGAAGTGCACCACTTACTCTTAGATGCACTTGGTCCGAAAGTTGGCTCACGGCTTTGGGTGTGTTTGAGATTCGTTGCCAGGCCCTTGACGGACTGTCAGCGTTTACGGGAAATTACTCTTTGGGAGTCAGATCTCCGACATGCTCAAATTTCCCTAGTGCCTTTCGCGCCAAAGACGACACTGCAGAAGGAACACGTGGTTGATATTGCCACAGCTTGGGAGCTACTGGGTCTTGGGTTGCAGTCAAACCAGTCATCGAGTTGCTTGATCCCTATGGACATATGTTCAAACAGGCCTGTGCCAAGTCTCTCTCATTGCATGCTGAAATGCAGCTCATATGTTATCAAGAAGAGTGCCGTGGACCACGGAGAATGTTGCAATACTATGGGTGTAGCAAGAAAGCATGTCTTCTATGTGAAACGTTCCTGGCTGCGATGCACAATCCGATTGAGACCCGTGGTAGGCATGGCGTGTGTTATCCTGCCTGGGGAGTTCCGTGCTTAAGCTCGGATGCTATATATCTCGCTGCCACCGAATTAGGAAACAACCTTGTGAACCGCATCAGAGATTCATTCAACAGAACAATCCGACCGGGGGCGACAACGGCCTTACCAAAAGTCATGCAATCGGACTTTGTGTCGGACTTCTCGAAACTTACGCTGGAAGAGTGGCGACAGAGACAGAAAATTGTAGACATAGCTAGGGCGGAACAAACCACAAACTGGACAAAGCTGCAACTTATGTGAGGCGACCCTGTTGATTTTCAAGCATACGCGACTGGATAACTGACTATAACATGCTGTAGTGAGGGCAAGGGTCAAGACTTACACACCAGGACTCGCCCACGCCCAAAGTTTGAGCCCGATAACTGTTGCGTGATGTGTAATAAGGCGCCAGCCCGGCGATGCGGGCGCTGTCGCAGCACACATTATTGTTCAAAGGATTGCCAAAAAAGCGATTTTTCTTCCCACAAGTTGCTTTGCAAGAAGCTTGCTACCCTACCTGACCGTCCATCACCAGAGCACAAGCGAGCCATTTTCTTCCCAGTGCATCAGACAGAGCCTGTTCTGATTTGGATCCCTACGGAGCGTCAATATGAAGAAGATTCTAGGGTGTGGTGGACAAAAGCGCCCATACGTTCATACCTTGGTCCTGATTCACCGAGTACAGGAAGATTGCATGTGGAACACAACGACGTACGCGGACGAAATTTAGGGTCCGGTATGTTTGGATCAGCCCTGCGCAATGAAGGATACTGTGTTACCCTGCTGCATCGCGATGGATATCTAGTTGACGGTTCGCCCCCAAATAAAAGCATACTGGCTTCTGTAAGAGCCTCCGGCGCCCCACGCCCTCCCTATGCGTACAATGGCCCGATGGTTGCAATGCGGGAGGTCCACCCAGAGGATTATGCCGATATACAGCTTTCCGACTTTCGGCATCTGATGGACTACCTAATAACGTATGCAAGCACGGATGTCAGGGAATCCGTTCCGGATCTGCAGTATCGGGCTCCCACGGTTGTTCGGGGCGTGAAGATTTGCTGCGATGGGGAGATAAAACTTCATGCATCGGAGCCGTTCGTTTCAATTGACGTGAGGCGCTCAACCCGACTTCATCTCTCTTCTATCCAGGGCGATTCCAATTCGCCGATTTCCGCTCTCCTCGGCATACCGCTCATCTTCTGGAAAGACCCAGATGCTGAATATCACGTTAACCCGCCCGGCTGGGATGCAACACAGTGGGCAAGCAGCAATCAGAATGCGGCATTCATGATGATGGTAACCAACCCTTCTGATCCTTCATGGGGATGGGCTCCTCTGTATTGGAACCGCGATATTGGAAATGTGTGGGTTGTCCGTGAAGATGGGCAGGATCTGGACGTGCGTGACGTAGCGATGATGTGCCACTTCGCCAGGTTCAAGCTTCAACGATTGTTTGAAGATTCGTTGGAATCAAAAGGCACCTCCCTGCAGGATAGGAAGCGCGTTCTAAAATATATCACGCGCGAAAACATGCGAGCATTTTGGGAGGAGACTGGTGGTGATGAAGCGGTCCGTAGTCATGATCTGAGCGATTGACCTGTTGTTGCTTGGATCTCATTTTCAACAGGGTCTGGAGTGGATATAGTTTCCAGAATCAAGCATCTTATATCGAATGAATCTTGGTCACCTAGTCCTTCTCTTCAAATATGTTTTATTGACATGATTATGCATAACCCGGCTCTAACGGGTTTGTGACAGCTCAAAATCCTTATTTGTGGCAAAAATTACGGAATGACCTACCTGCCTATTGCCAAATCCTTTTTTTTCTTTTTACGAATTGGACTTGTTACAATCGGAGCCGAGATATCCAGGCGTAAAATTTCCCAAGCTGATGCTGTTGTCAGCCAACAGGCTAGAGTACCAGTAAGTTAATCTAGAGCCAAGAGTTGAAGCTCAGATATAGTAGCTCGCATTCAGGCCCTAGTGGGAATGTTGAATATTCTTCTGACTGTGCTGAACTGATTATTGTGAAGTAAAACTGGCTTTGCTCTTCCCTGTAAGAGTAATGGTTGAGCCCTTTGATGCCTCTTAGTGAATTTTAGTTAGTTGGTCCATCGCATTTTGGGTTAGGCATGTGGGTCAGTGCCATAAAATGTATCGTCCCATTGACATATTGAGTTGTTAGGCGACCTCTATCTTACTGGGGGTCATGAGGTGCTAGAAACTGGAGGGATGAGGATGATGTTAGGTGTAATCTTGTGAGCTGCTCAGCCTGTTTGAGGGAAGTCCAACGGTATTCGTATTCGTAGAGTTGATGCGCGGAGATAGAGCGCCCGGCAACTTTCGTCGGATCCTCGGTTGACGAGCTGGTGCTTGAGTACTATGGCAGTTTGCGATACGCATGACTGTATCCGCTGCCCATCACCTAGCCAGCAAAGAAAGTGTGATTTGATGAGGTCAATGTAAATGAGCTTCCCCATTTGGATGACTTCTTCACAGTCCCATGCCAATTCACGGAGAATTTGCCTGTCGGGGGTCGAGGCTGAAAAAGTGCTGCTAGTGAAATCCCAGATTGGGCAGCGATAACAGCCTCAGAGGACTCAAAAAAAAAAAGCTCCTATAGGGACGGAATATCATGTCGATTACGAGGCGGGCGTGGGGTGAGAGGGGTTAATGCAATGCGACTGACTCGGTAAGACGCCTTAAGTCGATGCGGCATTCTCCCCTCCCGAACACCTTTACTCCTCATCCTCCGTGAACCGTCTGACCACCAGGATTTGCTGCCAGACTATCAACCTCACCTTCATTCCATTATTTTTTCTCACACGGTTGAATGAATGGTCTTCCAGCAACTGTCAGTCATGGGTCGATGAGTCTGATACCAAGGTACGTCCAGTCCTAGAGGTACCAGCTATCATCGATGACCCTTTTATTCCGGGCTCAAGCCTCGCGCGGCAGGCTAGCCTTATGCCTAGAATCCTAAATGGCCATGACGGCTCCACATGCCGCCCATCATGGCTATTGTTTCTCCACAGCAGACAACGTAGGAAGGCTCTTCATAGGTGTAACTGTCGAGCCGTTAGACCAGTCTCTAACCGAGAGGCACCAGGAATTAGCTGCAGGACTTACCTTCCAGCCCACTGGCTGCTCAATCTCCAGTCGTAAAACTTGCAACCTGGTCTTGGGAGTTGGGACAGAAAACAAGTTAAATATGGGGGCCCTCTGTCGTCTTAAGCTTCTTTGTAACTTCCACAATTCCGACCGTGGGCAGACGTAGTAGAACCGAACATGTCGCGCCAAGTTGACCGGATGGCTGAGCCAGCAGATAAAAAGAAGATGCGGCTCGTTGTAGCCAGCTGCAGCAGGTAATGAGTCTCCTGTCAGCGTGAGATGCAGACAGGCATGTCCTGGTAGCAAGACGAAGATCTTTCGGACTAACGGATGTCGATAACAGAACGGGTACTCTGGGTCTTCATGAAGCCCTGGAAATGCTTGGGTATACACCATATCACATGATCGACCTGATGCTCAAGGGTAGGAAGCCTCATATCAAGGCTTTCACAGAAGGCATCCTAGCTCATAATAATCGATTCTCTGGCATCAAGAGATATGAGACGCCAGACCTTGACCGGTGGATAGGAAGTTTTGACGCATGTTGACCTAAAAATCCGCTATCTATTTCAGAGTCGGGTGCTGACTTCCAGGTGTATTAGTGCTTGATGGAAATACCAAGCTATATCGGACTCCGAGCCCTGGCCGGTTATATCGAAGACCCCGACATCAAATTTATCGTCACTGAGCGCTCGCCTGACAAATGGGTCAAGTCGTTCAACAACACAGTTGGAGAAGCGATCATGGCAGGCCACAAATTTCCACTGAACATTTTGAGGCGCTTTGACTCGGAAGTGGGTCAGTTCTTCAATCTGGCCGATGTGATGTACTGGGCATATTCTGACGGCACAAACCCCGGCCATCCGAACAACGAGGCGGCTCTTCGAAAGAACTATGTCGAATAGTGAGTATTGCTATTCGCTTTCACAATGATAACTGGCTGATTATAAGCAATAGCATCCGGGAAGTGAAGGAAACACTGCCAAAGGATAGACTTCTTGTGGTCCGACTTGAGGATGGACTGGGCTGGGAGGAGATCTGTCCGTTCTTAGACGTGCCTACTCCTGAAGAGAAGTATCCTCGGGGCAATGAGCCAGACAAGTTCCATAAGATCATTGAAGATTATTTGGAGCCAAAATTGAAGGCTGCTATGATCAATCTAGGCACATTTGTAGTCACAGTCGCCGGGATAGGTGGCTACGTGGGTTGGCGGTATTATCGCGGGCATTAGGATCATCAGCGCTCCGTTCTGGAGCGTCCTAGGAATATGAAAATGACATTTACCGTGAGATTAAGATGCTAAGATGACTGTGGGGAATAGTTAGGCTTTATAAATGTGATCTTAGCGCGATGGCGTGATTTGGCTGCAATTTGGCTCATCGATCCCCGACCGAAGGATGGGCGAGTCCTCAAATGACACCTGCCTCACGAAAGTACGATATATCGCTGTATTCGCGAGACATAAACCATGTATGAGATGTTTCTATTTATTGACAATTGCATATATACACATATTAGTCATCGAGCAAGTCCAGTAGGGTGGCAGGGTCATCCTTAGGGCAGATACGGATACCATTCAGACGCGACGCTATTGTAGTCTCTTCCACACTGCCTGAGATTGGAGAGGAACAAGTAGCATGCTATAGAAAAAAAAAATAGTTCAGTCGGATACTTCTTGAACGGCAAGGTCAATTATGTGGGACTCCAAGTGTACGGGGTAAGCTTCACGAAGGTAGAATAATAGAAGGTGGAGAGATGATTCTACTTTGAATACCTCAGGCCTCCACTTTCCCAACCCCCACCCCACAGCCTTCATATGTTCACTCCAACCATCAACAACCATCACTTTAGTCGCATTGGTCCACTAAGGACACCGCTGATAGGGGCTCATGTTATGGCCGCAACAGCTTACAATGACAGTGGAACAGTATTTTGGGGTGACCATCTTGTCGCTTTCTTTGTAAGTATACAGTATCAGAGATTAGAAGCAATGAGCATCCTAGAAGACTTCCAGATTGACACATTATTGGAAACTAACATGACGGATTAAATGCAGTACACGGATTGCAGGCAACAGGAATTAGTTCCCGATCATGAGCCACAGTGGTGAAGCTGGTAGAGAGGCTGGTTAGGCAGAGAGGTAAGAGGTCCATGGTAAGAATCCATTTCCTTCAGACCCTGGGTAAGAATTTGGTCTTCCACGATCCCAGTCAATTTCGTTCACTGATTTAAACAGAGATATAATTATCTTAATATTGACTATCCAACTGGAAGAGTGCTTTTCCGTTCGCATACCACTGACATCATCCCGAGGGTTCCTAGCCGACCCGCATTTGCGATCTACTGAAGAAGTATCCGCGGCAAGCCGATCGATCAATAGGCTATATATATATTCTTATCGCAGAGATACCCCTCCTAACCTCTCAATACTTAGTACACCATATAGGCGCCAGATTCTGTACACATCTCTCGCTTCGATGCTATAACACCGGGAAGAAAAGACCATTCGGAAACAATGCCATCATTCACCCTCGCCAGTCAAACTCCCCACCTGATAATACAGCCTTCCGACGCTGCTCTCGCCCCCCCTGAGAGCTACCTTTTTGTTCAGGATGGCCTTATAATTAGTTGTGGGATTCTCTACGCCTTCTGTTACATATTTTGCATGATTCGCACGTACAGTGACCGGACATACCCGTCTGCGTCAGCCAAGGGCATCCAGTTCATGAGCCTGACACTTGCCTACGAACTCTTCTACGCGGTGGTGACCACAACCACCACCTTTGAGCTCCTTGCATTCCTGGCTTGGTTTCTACTTGATGTAGGGTTCGTCGCAGTGGCAATCTGGCGAGCACACGAAAAGCGCGACCGGGCGTGGTTAGTACGGAGAATAGTGGGCTTCGTACTGGCGGGAATGGGCGTGTTGAAGGGGTTGACGATGCTGTGGCCCGATGAAAGGGAGCAGGTCACAGCATACTGGACGGGAATTCTGCTACAGATGCCGATCGGATGGATCTGTTTAGCGACGCTGTGGAAGGAGTGGAGTACGAAGGGTCATTCGTTGGAAATTTGGTATGTGGTTCGCAATTGCCTGCTTGCGTTTTACACCGCTATGGGAGATGCTGATGGGGTCACTAGGCTCATGCGATACTTGGGCTGCTATACAGCCTACGGGGTTTTCTTCTGGAGGTATTGGAATGTGCCACAGAACTGGGAATATGTGGCGTCGGTGTGGAGTACAGGGATTATTTTGTGGACACTGCTGCCTGAAACGGTCTATCCGTTTGTCTACGTTTGGGTGCATCGCACATCCAAAGTGAAAGGTGAGTAGACATACTTGACTGGGTGTTAGATATATTAGGTAGATAGCGGTAGAGGTTGAGGAGAGGATATACAGATAACATTTGAGGAATAACTATACGAATCAACCAACTTTTCGGTGCAAAATCCATGGAATTCACAGCGATGAGTTAGACGCTCGTAGTGACGAGAAAACAACCAACCAGGCGCTTATCCCACAAGTCGGTGGCGGTGTTGCAAAGAAAGTCAAGAAACTCCAGCAGATGCGCCCGTGCACCAACCGACTTGGGACGTTGCTGTCATGTGGATCGCGTCTCCACTGCGGGCGCCCGTCACCGATGCCTGAATTTCTAGCATGATCTCCCTCGAACTCCTCTGTTTCATACTAACTCACATCCTGTCCATGCAGCAACCTGCGCAATTGACTTTGCTCCAACCACTGGACTCGCAATGCTCTTCATGCAGATACGACACCGAGTAACCATGGCGCCGAGACATTGGGCGGCCCGGCGAAGACGAGGCTTGGTTGTCGTAAGGCACAATTCGACAGTGTCTGTGAGAGAAAATGGGCGAATCGGGTTCCTAAATCTGACGAGGCTACTAGAAGCCCATTATAGATCATAATCTCCTCTCAGGGCCCTCAGAATAGCATCACAATGGGTTGATCGCCAGTCCAGCACAGCACTCCGATGTGTTTCTGTTTCCCGATTGCGGTCTGGGTTCTTGCCAGCTCATACCCACTTCAACCCGGAACACCGCCATCCCAATCAAATGCACACAACTTTCGTGCATTCCCAAACACGTTATGAAGACAACCTTGCATCTACATATGCAACTGACGTGGTTTCTGGGCGCTAGTCCAGGCGGCTCTGAGTTGGCTTCGAGAGACTTCAGAGATCCACTCATCCGCCCTGCCCTTCATCCCTTTCTTAAAAAGACAATCCGTGCCGCAGCAGCACAAATATTCCTCAATTCACATACCTTCCCACCTCAACCAGCTTATCGACTCACCTTCATCAGCCATTGGGCTAATTGATGGACACAATGGGCCAGAAGAACTACAAGCGGCTGTACTACAACCTCCTGCGCTCTCAGGAAAACGACGCACAAGTTCAGGAGATCCCGATAACAGAATACCCTCAGCCGGAGATAAGGTCAATCAAATCATCGCGCATTGCTCCCTGATGTATCTACTGACTTTGGGGCTTATCCAGCTGCTACACGACACCGATTGCCACCGTTGTCATCGGTCAAACCCACTTCAAGATAGCTGAATACCACCTGCGCCCTTATTCAAGCTTATCACACAACTCATCGGAACTCCATATCAGCGACATCAATGAAGATATCGGACATACGTTCATTCACTTTCTCAGCACCGGCTGCTATGAAACACTCAAGCCCACCGATCTTGGCCCGGAGAATTGCCCTTGGGCTCGCGAATTCGAGCGCAGCGTTTATGCCTATCATGCTGCGAGGCGCTACAGCATCTTCGGACTCGAGGAACACGCTAAACGGTATATGCTGACTTTCAGCGAAGAAGTGTCAACGCGACAACTTCTGAAGACTGTTAGCAAGGTGTACTCGGAACTTCCAGGCCACGATTCATGGTTTGAGAGTTTCATCCGGGACAAGCTCGCTGCTGCTTTCGAAAAGGATGAATTCAGCTTCAGGTACCGAGTCGTGCGCGACGGCCTGGGCTCTGATGACGATTTCAACCGATTCTTAATGTACACGACTCTGGAGATCTACGCGGATAAACTGACTTCGCTGCGGGAGACCGCACCGAACGGACACCACCAGACCAACGGCCATGCAGAAATCCCTTCCGAGGAGAAAGGTCCTGCTGAAGAAAAGCAGTCGACCACCGAATCTCCGGATGATAAGGATGAGAGCTCGCCACGGTATTCCAATGAGCCGCTTTCCGCAGATGACACCCCAACTGTCGTAAATGCTGTGAACTCACGGCCCCAGTCGCCGATCCCACCTTCAACGGCTTTCTTAGCCTCTCCGGCCCAGAATGGATACAATTGGGCGTCATCTTGCAGTGATTCTCCCCCTAGGGAGTTTCCGGCATTTGCTCCTTCGCCCCCTTTGATTAGGCGAGAGACTGTAGACTGGGCAGATCCGGATCCAGAGCCAGAGCGAGAACCAAGCTTTCGGCCAGAGACGGAGCCGCCAACTACAGATCAAAAGCCAGATCGGGAGCTTGAGTCGGAGCAAACGCCAAAGCAAGAGCTCGAGCAGAAGCCAGAGCTGGAGATAGAGCAAAGACCCGAGTCGGTGCTGGAACAAGAGCCAGAGCCCGTACCTGAGCCAAAACCCGAGCAAAAGCCCGAGGCGCAGCCGCAGACACAGCCGCCATTGCAACCCCTCCCTCCACCGGACCTCAAACGAAAGACAGAACCCGAGCCCGTGATCAAAACGGAGCCAGAGTTAAAGTCAGTACCACTCCCGAAGCCGGCGCCTGGAAATCAGGCAGCACCGGCAGAGCAGCCCGCTCAGCCTAAAAAAAAGAACAAGCCCAACTCACACAGAAGGAAGAAGAAGAACGCCCAAATGCATGCAGCGGCTGCTCAGCAAGCTGGGCCACAAGCCAACGGGTCGGCCGCGAAGCCATAATTCTGATGGTAAAGATGCTAAGAAGCGGCCTGAGACTCTGCCGTTATTCACCAAGCCTAAATCCCACGCTCTTTTGGAATATTCTCAAGTCACCCATCGGTCACATATCCTCGGCTTATAAGGATATAATGGATACTATCCACTCGTTCGCTACCTTTCTTTTGTTGATGTACTATACACTCTTTGTTATCTATGATGGAATCGCTCGCTCATGAGCCAAGATTCTGTCTATGAACCGTGTTTTAGAGGGAGGGCAACAGGAGATTTTCTACCTGGGCCTCTATCTCGCACATACCGAATTACATCACACAGAACAGTTCCATTGTAAAATTTGGAACATCTACCATACTCCATCGTTTCTTCTTTCTCATAAATAAAGATAACCTCAATAGGACACTGTAGAACAATGAGCCTGTAGCTGGAATAGTAACTTAACCGAGCGATCGACACTACATCGGCTATCATTCCTGGGGAACAAGTACAGATATTAAGTGCCCTATAGGCTTTACAGGAGTATTTAGGCAGACCATTTCGCTATGCGATGTTCCCAGTATATATATGTTGCTGCATCAGGAAGGTGAGGGACAACAAGTCCATCGGGTAAGGCTGACACGGGTGTCGTTGCCTTAGGCTTGAGATCAGAACGATGTCGGAGTAGACGATCCCCTCGGAATGACATCACATCTTCGATTCCCGCATTCACCACATCATTATCATTCACATACATTTCAGACGTTCTAGAATGGTTTACCCCAGGCACACCTGCTTTTGCAATATGAAGCACAGTTTATGGTAGGCTGGGTGAGCTCCATGCCGAGATCCAGGATTGTCATTCTGGCGTCATGGGCGTCGCAGTAACCACCGCCATGAGAATTGTTCGCTACCATCATATTCACGTCATGGACTCAGACCACCATCTTATCAAGTCCACGGAATGATTTATCCCTGCATCGTCAGGTCCCAAAATAAATATGTCGGCTTCTCTGCAATTGACCAACTTCTTGGTGTATAAAGCTCCCTTCCGACTTCTCTCACGGCAAATCCCATATCAGATCCGCCAAATCCACCACCGGAATTTTTCCAGCCTCAATCCAACCGCTAATATGAAAATCGCTATCACCGGTGCCCGTGGCACCGTAGGACGCGCTGTTGTCAAAGAAGCCTCCCAGGCCGGCCATTCCACAGTCCAGGTTGACCGAACCGATACTGAGTACGATGGAACACCCAATTCCGAGATGAAGACCGCCGACACGGCCAATGACTACGAAGCCACGCTTGAAGCCTTCAAAGGCTGTGACGCCGTTATCCATCTTGCGGCCATCCCAGACCCCATAGGGAAGGACGACCAGCTGGTCCACAACAACAATGTTACATCGGCGTTCAATGGCTTCTACGCTGCTGCGCAACTGGGAATTAAACGATTCTGCTATGCGTCGTCAGTGAACGCGATCGGTCTCGAATATGCCACGCAACCGCTCAGATTTGAATACTTCCCCGTTGACGAAGAAGCACCACCCAATCCGACAGATTCTTACGCACTGGCCAAGCAAGAAGCTGAGACCCAAGCGAGGACATTTGCTCGATGGTTCCCCGGAATGAAAATCGCGTGTATGCGTATCCATGCCGTGGCGTCTCGCGAGGAGGCACAGAAAGGACACAAGGAGAACTGGGAGGACTCGGCCGTCAAAAGCTTGTGGGGATGGGTTAGCCCGGATGCGACTGCGAGAGCCTGCTTATTGTCTGTGGAGAAGGCTGAGAAACTTAATGGGTGCGAAATATTCAATGTTGTTGCTCCGACGACGACACAAGACACGCCGTCGATCGAGCTTGCGAAGAAGTATTATCCCGATACCGAGATTCGGCGCGAGCTCAAAGGAAATCAGTCGTTCTTCACGGCTGAAAAGGCAAATAGAATCCTCGGATGGGTTCATGAGGAGTGACTGGCTGGTAGGGCATGTCGGCTATAGAAACATCTTTCTGCCGATGTCGAAGCGAATGAACCAAATTAGTCTGGAATACCAACAAACTAGCAATGCTCATAATTTTTTAAGTTAGAACGTACGTGCTATTCTCGCTACTTTAATGGAACCAGATTCTTGCCACGAGTTATGGTCGAATGGGGATTTAGAACTGCTTATCTTCCCGATCTCGCCAACTGACAGGCTCATCACGCAACTGCACCCTTCCAGATGACGCCATTTCCACCAATGCACCATCTCCCGCTCCGCTTAGAAGCATTGATCAACTGCAATTCGAATGTAAACAGTGTCGCAAAGAAGAATACTCTGCAAACTCAAAATCAATCATAGTATATCATTCTTCCTTCGTTATTGCATGGCTCTTGCACTTTCAAAGACCATCCGACACACTCCCGATGAAGCAATTGAAGCCCTAAATCACGACTTGAAAACACGGCTGACTAGCCAAGAAATGGCCCTCGATCTAATCATGCATGAAGGGCCCTCGCTGAGAGTGGTTAGTATATGATCACACGCGGTATGGAGTGCAGAACATGAGTGGCCTGCCATGAGGAGGTCCTTGCATTGATGCTCCGTTATCTCTCGTCGCGAGATATCTTGGAAATGGCGTGCCTTGGGTTGGTGGCTGCGAGCTCGCAGCTTGCATCTTTTAAAGCTTCCGATCGCGGCCTACGACGTGGAAGAATTTGGGAGTATGCAGATTTCTGTCTACTACTGGCAACATGGCATCTCGAAAGGATATCAGTCAAGAGACTGCCGATCGATTCGATCAGCGGCACTACTCAGACTCTTCGCAAGACCTTCCCTCTCCAAAGGACAAAGCCCAGGTTCATACACGCCCGTATGAAGATGCGACGGATGCGACCCTTGATAATAATCCCTTCGCAGACCCTGAGGTTGCGGAGCGCTATGCTCTCATTTATGAGAAAGCGCAGTATGAGTGTCGACATCTCTTTGACCCTACACTTACGTGGACAGCGGAAGAGGAGAAAGCGCTCGTCCGGAAGTTGGACTGGAGGGTGTGTCTATGGGCTGTATGTCAAGGTGATTCTGTTCTGCTTGGAAATATGCTCACTTCAGAGGATAGTGCGTGATGTTCTTTGGTCTTCAGGTTGACCGAGGAAACCTTGTACAAGCTGTGTCGGACAATTTGCTGGATGATCTTGGTCTAACCACGAATGGTGAGCGCATCACTTCTTCGGCTTGTTAAGTCTCTGACGTGTGCAGACTACAATACTGGAAACACCATCTTTCTTGTCGCCTTCCTTCTAGCCGAGCTGCCATCACAACTGGTGTCTAAGCAGATTGGCCCCGATCGCTGGATTCCCACGCAGATGACCATATGGTCAATCGTTGCTGCTGCACAGGCTGCTTTAAGCGGGAAGAAATCTTTCTATGCAACGCGAGCATTGTTGGGTATACTCGAGGTAATCAAAATGAACTGAATTGTTGGTGCTTTATTCTGAAGTCTATAGGGTGGTTTCATTCCCGACATTGTCCTTTGGTTATCCTACTTTTACACAAGCCGAGAGCTTCCAACCCGCTTGAGGTAATTTTCTGTCTCCTCTATCTCGGTCCATTATTGACGGTCATAGTATTTTTTGGACTGCACTATCTTTAACTACTATTATTACCTCGTTTCTCGCATTCGGCATCCTCCACATGCGTGGTGTACAAGGCATGGCTGGCTGGAGGTACGTGTCATGATCTTATTTCCTAGATAGGTCTAACATAATTCACAGGTGGCTATTCCTAATCGAAGGTCTCATCACTCTTCTTATTGGTCTAAGCTCTTTCTTTCGCATGCCTGCCTCTGCTGTCGACACCAAGAAATGGTTCCGCCCGAAGGGCTGGTTCACAGACCGTGAAGTCAGCATCGTGGTTAACCGGGTTCTGCGCGATGACCCCTCTAAGGGTACGTTTGCGTTACCACTGCTTTGAACATTTGACAATCATTCTCACATTCCTTAGGAGACATGCACAACCGGCAAGCCATAACCCCGCGTCGCCTTTGGAACTCCCTCCGAGACTATGACATCTGGCCGATCTACCTCCTGGGCCTAGTAGTTTATATCCCGCAGACACCAATGACGTCCTACATAACCCTGATCCTCAAGGGCGTGGGGTTCGGCACCGTAAGCGTGTAACTTCTACAAATCTAGTATAGCATGCTAACATCAACTTCAAATAGTTCACTACGAACCTTCTCACCATCCCCTACAGCGTCGGCCACATCATCTGTCTATTATTGCTCACCCGTCTCAGTGACTGGCTTAAAGAGCGCTCCTTGGTATCAATGATCCAATCGATATGGACATTACCCTGTGTAATTGCTCTCCGGTTCTGGCCTGGTACAATGACTAACGGCTGGGGGACGTATGCTATCGTGACCGTGCTACTCTGCTATCCATACTGCCACGCTATCCTGGTGGGATGGTGCTCGAAGAACTCTAACAACGTGGGAACACGGACAATCTCAGCAGCACTCTATAACAGTGAGCTAATCTCTTCTATCTTACTACACTACAAAGTGTGCTTGCTAACAAACTTATGACAACAGTGTGCGTGCAACTCGGCGCCATCATCGGCAACAACATCTACCGGGCGGACGATAAACCCAAATACCATCGCGGAAATTCCGCTCTTATAGGAATCAATATTCTGGCTATATTGCTTTTTATTGGCACGAAGATATACTATATTTATAGAAACAAACACAGGGAGCGCGTGTGGAACGCAATGACCGAAGAGGTAAGTATTGTGTTCCAGGCATTAGCAGAATAGTCAGCTAACTTGCCACATAGGAACGGCAGGATTATCTGCAGAATACGACGGACACAGGAAGTAAGAGGTTGGATTTCCGCTTTGCGCACTAGCATTTTCTGTATAGCCATCGCTTGCAGTGACGAAGAACACATCAGCCAAACGTTACAACAGGGTTAATAGTGATTAGTAGACAAATGAACTTACGTGCCTTAGTGTCCTTATTCAATCAATATAAAAGCTGAGTCGTAGAAAAGGATATCAAACATCCCAAGCCAAACTCTGTACTACCATCATATTCCCAGGGTATCCTTCTATGATGCTGTGATGTACAACCCCATGTTGTGGACTTTAGATATAATTTTGGTATTGTAGGTCATAGTACGTAATTTTGACGTGTTCCATAACTTGGATCGGTAGCTCAGTGGTAGAGCGTAGGATTGCAGATCCCGAGGTCACGCGTTCGAACCGCGTTCGGTCCTTTTTTTGCTTTGTTTGTCTTCATTCATCGGCTGAAGTACGTTATGAGTTAATGCTTTTATTTATCTTTGACTATTCTATTTTTTTTTATCTGCGTTAGGAAGAAACACTACTAGATTTGATGTCCCAGTACTTTACTGGCAGGCGAAATCATATGCCTCTATGGATATAGGAAATCTTGATTTCATCTCTTGGTTGCCTTCAAATAGCAAGAAGTCAAGCATTGTACAACTTCGATTCTGACCTTGTTTGAACAAATTTATTACTGTATCAAGTGCTCAAAGTAAACTCCCACATGTCAGAAGAACGTTATTGCCTAGCAGTGGGTAGTGCTTTACCCCGAGAAATAAATAAGTCAAAGAGAAAGGGAAAATAGAGTTCTTGGCTATGAACAGCAAGTGGTCTAAAGATATCACTGAGAACCCTTACATGTGGATCCGGAGAACTGTGACTGGATTTAAGGCGGCAGCCTGGAGCCTTCAACCTCCACTTGAAGGCAAATTCGACCTAAATCTTCATCCGTACTCGTTCCAATATTTTAATGCAGAAGAGTGGGAGTTTCTGGATCCTTGAACCCTGGAATTTGTGCTGCTCCACTAGTTTCCGATCGCTCGTTTTCGTATATTTATTACCCAATCAGGCTAACTTAAAGAACGAAGGGTAACTATGTAGTTATGCTCCGCAGCTTAATCATAGGGCTGGAGAATTACTATATAAACCCTCATGCGACCACTATAGTATTCCCTATCAAGTACTGTCGTCAGCTCAAGAACAGGGTATATCATATCATGTATCGTGGTACCAGCCTCTTCGCTGCACTTATTCTAGCAGTCAGCGGCATAACCAGCGCCCTAGACTGCAAATGTGTGAGTTCTCGGACGAACTTTATACTACACCCCAATTCTACTTTACACTGGTTTACTGACTGGTACTTTGACTTCGTTACTCCTGCAGTCCCCCTCCGACCCATGCTGGCCATCTGCAGACGAATGGGCCTCTCTCAACCAAACCGTATCCGGAAGACTTATCCGAACTGTGCCAGCAGCGTCTGTCTGCTATCCTAACGAGCCCAACTATAACCCAGCAGCTTGCACAGCCGTCCTGGGGAACTGGACCACTTCAATATTTCATTCCTCAGACCCAGTTAGCGTCGATAGCCCAGTCTGGTCCAACAACAGCTGCAATCCGATCTATCCTGATGGAACTAGCATCACGGGAAATGTGCATGCGGAGCAGGAAGGCTGCAGCATTGGTAATTACCCAGTCTATGTGATCAATGCCACCAATGCCAGTCATATCCAGGCTGGATTGCATTTTGCGAAGGAGTGGAACCTGCGATTGAATATCAAGAATACGGGCCATGGGTCTGAACGCAGTATTAACCATGGGAGTTTGTCGTAAGTTGATCTAATCCAGTTTCTAATACATGCTACAATCTTTGCTAATAGACGGTAAAGCATTTGGACTCATCACTTGAAGAAGATCGAGTTTCACGAGCACTTCCAGCCTCACCAATACAGTAAGGTCGGGTCATCCGCACAAACTGCGAATCTGACGACGATGGCTGCTACTCTCGGAGCTGGTGTGCAGGATGGTGAACTTTTTGCTGAACTTGCTAAGCACAACGCCACGGCTGTCGGCGGAACAAACATTGTAAGCAAGAGAATCCCTCGCAGAATTGAGACAGGACCCCTGACAGAAAATCTAGGACGTCGGAGTCGTGGGCTGGGCGACCGGTGGTGGCCATGGCCTGGCCACAGGCACATACGGCATGGGCGCAGACAACATCATCGAAGCAGAGATAGTCACCCCAGCGGGCGATCTTGTCACCGCAAATGCTTTTCAGCACGAGGATCTCTTCTGGGCTATTCGTGGGGGAGGAGGTGGCACCTACGGTGTGATTGTCTCGGTCACTGTCAAGGCATATCCCATGCCTCTGGTCACCATGATCAACCTTTCCCTTACCGCCAAGAACGCTACCAGCGAGCATGAATGGTATCGACTCGTTGCGAGGACCCACGGCTACCTTGCTGAGCTTCAGAACCATGGTGTTCATGGATACTACACCATGAGCAGCTCCCCGCAGCTAAATATGAACGGTGCTCTGCTCTTGTATAATGCGAAGAACGGCACTGCTGAGAGGCTCCTCCGCCCTTTTCAGAGCTTCTTAAAGACCCAAGAGGCTATTACGACCAGCATGGTTGCGCCAATGATGACACTGCCTTTTTATGATGTTGTGCAGATGATGCCTGTCGTTGAATCTGCCGGTACGACGCAAGGTGTGCGGGCTTCACGGTTCATCCCACGCCGGGCTGTCAAGGAAGATGTTGATCTCTTGGCCAATACATTTGAGGTCATCATGTCTCGCAACAATTCTGCCGACGTGAGTAGCCCTCATTTTCCCCTTTCCAGTACCTAAAAAGATTTCCTAATGCTAAACACCCGACGAAGGGCGTATCCGCTCCTTCAATCTCCGGCACCATGACCGGCAGTGCCACCCCAGTCGACAACGCTCTGAACACGGCTTGGAGAGATTCAGTCGTACACCTGATTGTCCAACTGAGCTGGAACGAATCCCTCCCGTCAGCCTTGGCCGAACAGACCATCTACAATATGACGTACGGTAGGGGGTATGCCCTTCGGCAGCTGGCCCCTGATACTGGATGCTACTTTAACGAGGTACGCACATTGATTGATTGAACTACAGACATGGCAAGGCTAACGTGATTTTCGTTATTGTAGGCCAACCCCTTTGAGCCAGAGTGGCAGACTTCGTTCTTCGGATCTCATTATCCTCGACTCCATGCGATTAAGAGCACATATGACCCCGAGGGCTTGCTTTGGTGTCGTCATTGTGTTGGGAGTGAGGCGTGGAAGGAGCAGGTGGATGGGAGGTTGTGCCGGGCTTTCTAGGGTGTATGTAGATAGCCGTGTACTAGTAGTGTACCAGTAGTGCAGAAATAGTAGTAGTATAAATATATATAGTTTAGCATTGAAATTGAGCATTGGAAATGTCAGTCACTCCTTGATATTTAACTGTTTTTCCTACTATGCTATATTAGAGGAGCCCATGCCTTATTTCAAGCATAATCTAAACCATAGTGTCAAGTCTAAAAATGAATGTCGTTGTCATGTCATTGGGCATCTTAGATGTTGATGAACCCGATCTGAAGTTTATATTTCAAGAAGAGTAATATACTACTATAATTTCCATATATTCAACGATTAGTCAGTGTGGCCGAGTGGTTAAGGCGATAGACTAGAAATCTATTGGGTTCGCCCGCACAGGTTCGAGTCCTGTCGCTGACGTTTCTTTTTTCTTTTTCTATTTTTTTTTGCTACCCCCCATTCATAAACTACATTGAGTTTTTGTATATTGTAGATAAACATTCTGCGGATGTATTGTGTGGTATAACTTCTTTCATTGATTCAAATATCTTCAGACAAGAAGTCTACATGTGTGCTGCCGTTCGATTGGCGAAAACGGCAAGGGGAGGTGTGACCCCGCCAAGCAAGGACCCGGAGAATTGGGGAAGGAATGTTATGGTAGGATTAATTCATTCTCTGGTGTGTAAGGATAGGAATGGATTACGAAGACGGACTTGTTCTCCCATTCCCGGTAATGCCTTTGCGGCGATGACTGAGGACTTGTGGAAGTTCGCAGAAATATATATACGTTCATTCGACTGTCCAGGAAAATGCAGTACGTTAGCTGAATTTCAAATCTTCTCACGCCACACCATATAGATGCCCGTTGGAGACGATGTATCAACAAATCGGGTTGCATGTGCCGGATACTGTACATACGGGTCTTCCGAGATTTGTTCTTGGAAGGGCCCACTCCCGTAGAGAAAGCTCAGTCATGGAAGATAACATTATCTGGCCTGCATTACTAGGCCAATCGGCATCGCGCGCTATATGTAACGAAAACTGACTTGCCTAGGACGAGCGAAGGTAGGCATGACTGACCTGGCCAGCTAGACCGTATCCGGGGAGAAGGAGGGGTCAGAATGGTGGACTGCTAAGACTTCTGATGCCTCTCCCTTTTCAGAATAACATGACGCACACTCAAAACCTCAAGAAACTGTAAGTTAAAAGTATAAGCTCACACATGCTCATGGTACAGTAAGCGCGAGCTGAAAGGGCACAAAGTATCGAACGAGGAGGACGTCAGTGCATACTTAAGGCAGCCGGTTGCTGGATAAACGAATGAAGGTATCTACAAACCAGTAACACGACAGAATCCCACAAGGCCGGAAAAGTATAAGGCGCTCGATACCGGAAGGACAACGAAGGTATTTGCATCTGTAATCGGACGTCTGCTTCAGAGGCGGAGAGTCTGGCCGTAACCCCAACAAGGGGGTCTTCTTGATTGGCAAAGTGCGCATGCCTTGTGGAGGTTCTAGGTGGTCTGAGACGCCTCCTTTGGCCTACTCTGGAGGGCCCAGAATGGCCGGAGGTGGCGGGATGCTTACCATAGTCCAGTTGCAGTGCGTATATACATAGTCCCCGCTCCCTGGCGGAATCCCGTCATTTAAGCCTGTTCAATCTACTACTGCTAGCTATTACTGAGGAAAAGAATTACCGAGCGACAATGGTGCAGTTGAAACCTTACCCCTGCCCAGCTTGCAACAAGTCTTTCAAAACCAGGAGCGGAGCTCGCGCACATGTGGTTGACGTCCACTATCTCCCATGTCCGCAATGCCCGAAGCGATTCGAAAGTGCCATATCTCGAATGGAACACCAGAAGTCAAAGGGGCATTTTCAATGTGTCCGCTGTCAGCACGTATCCCAGGGTGCCGCGGGCTGTTCCACTCCTCAGTGCCTCCCGAACGTACAGGTACAGCCTGTCGCACTGGCCGGCGCTCAGCCGTTCTATTGCAGCGCTTGTGATCGAATCTTCGTGGACGCAACTGCGCTTAGACAACATCTGCAAGATAAAGTCCACGTGAAGCCGAAGGAGAAGGCTCTCAGGGACTGTAAGAAATGCAACAAGAGCTTCTCTTCCACAACGGCACTCAGACAGCATGAGCAGTCAACATCCCACAAACCTCTAGCTGAATTGCGCTGCGTTGCGGAATCCTGCCGACTTACTTTCAACACCCCATCTGCTTTGATTCACCACCTGGAGAGCGGCCGTTGCCCGTCCGGCTGGTCACGTCAAACCGTCAACGCCATACTACATAAGTATGACAAAGATCGGATCATCACAACGCCTGTGATGTTGCTGGACATGTCGTTCATAGGCGCAACCTTGAGCCCTTCGACTTCAAGTTTCAGCGAGATCGTCTACACACCCACAGAATGGAGCGAGATTGACAGTGATGGGGAGACGGAGCGTTCGCCTATCGCACCGTCACCCCCAGGGGTTAACCATGGTCCACTGCAGCAAAGAACCCTGTCCTGCACGATTTGTTCTGCAAGCGGCAAAAAGAGAATGTTCGCTGACCAAGTGGCTCTCGAAATGCATATGTCCTCCGCAGCGCACGTTGGAAAGTCCTTCACGTGCCCCGTCGCCTTCACAAAAAATGCTACGTCACCTACTGCTCGAACCAAGTCATTCACGACCTTAAGCGGACTTACTCAGCATCTCGAGAGTGGGCGGTGCCAAGGAGGGAAGACTACTTTATGGAAGACAATGGATTACCTTCAAAGTGAAGTGTTCAGGTTTGAGTGGCCTGGCAGACTTCTGCGGGGCTAGCTCTCCCGCAAAGGGCTGGAGGCGATTAGATAAGGATAGGTGAAACGTTCATCAGGTTCAACGTAGCGGAAAGGTGGGACCATTTCTTCGAGCGAGTGGATTTGTGCGAGGTTCGATGTCCAGTTATCTAGTTACATCTTCCGATTTTTAGGCAGTTAAGAATGTTCTATTTCGTTCGTGACCGAGGTGCGTTGGAGCAGCGAGCTGTTATGTTTCTAGTCGGCCGAAGGCTTCGGATCTGCCACCTAATACGATTTTAGCCTCTCGGCCATAACTATTGGCCATAACGGATTGTGGCGCAGCTACATGATACTCGTTCCCAACATAGATAAGGGGTGCAGTGTGCTCCTCGAAGAGACCCCAGCCCCTCTCGCCCACTCACTTCCTGAGCCTGCTCTCTGTTCCCGATCCTCAGTCCCATCAGTATCTGAACTCCCGAGGATAATGGAATCTAACCCCTCAACCCACACGTCGGGTGGTCTAAATCGACCCAGAGCTCCAATTCAGGAGGCAACCGTGATCAAATACGCTGAAGTGAACCCCCAGAAAACCAACAACAATATCGATCAAGGGATCCTCGACAGAATTCAAAAATGTCTGAATCGTGCCAAACACGCAAACGCAAATGAAGGAGAAGCAAAAGCCGCCCTATTCCTAGCACAGAGGCTGATGGCCCAGTACAACGTCACGCACGCAGATCTGATGGCCGATCATGACGTCGCGGACAAGGCGCAGTATGGAGGTCGGAGCGTGGTTTCCATCCAAAATGCCATTGATTGCACCAAGCGAGCCACAAGGGAGACGTTTGTGTTCAAATTAGCCAATGCGATGTGTATCCTCTACGATTGCAAATGCTATTCAGTGGATAGGCGAACCTCCATTGAGTGGTCGTTTTTTGGCATTGCGGCAAATACAGTCACGGCAGCGGGTGCTTTCGAAGCGGTGCATAACAAGACGCTCCAATGGGCATGTGCGTACAAGGGAGGGTCACCAACTTTCAGTTATCGCATTGGTCTTGCGGATGGACTGGTGAATATGGCGTATCGAACCAAGAACAGAGAGCTCCTTGAGATTCGGCGGAAGGAACTGGATATGCTTGCTGCCAGCGATCGAGAAAACGAAAGACAGGAAAAAGAGAAACTTGATCGTATTCAAGCGTCAGCGCCATTCGGAGTCGATGATGATGATGATGTCGCGGAGAATGAGTCTGGACCGGTCATTATGAACCCCTCAGACTGCATGGATGTCGACGAGCTTGGGCAGGATGGAGATGGGGGTGGAAAAGCCGATTTCAATGAACATGATGTCGATGTGATAGATCTGACAGGCGATGTAGACGACAATTTGGAGAAATTGATTAAACGAGAACAACAGGACAGCTTGAATATGGATAATATCCTTCAACATCCGGTAAAGCCTGAGCCTTCAGGTACGGCTATCAATGATGGGATTTCCTCGGCTTCTCCTTGGGCCTCTGAGATGCAGCTGGTCCGGTTTCGTGCCATGTCCGAACAGATTGCAGATCGTTACATCCAGGAACAAAATATCAAGCTTCAGAAGAGAAAGCCTCGACGTGTAGCTGCTCGACACCGTGACTCTTATCGTCAAGGCTGGAAGGACAGCAGCAAGATTGATATTCCCCCTTCTACTGTGACTTAATCTCTATAATAATCAGGGTCTCTTGATAATTAAGGATTTATTCATCGTTGGCTAATTTGCATGAAATATGTTGAGTATAGCAGGGCTAACATGCCTAAATGTCATTAACAGTACAGCGACGCTATATAACTCTGTTGATATCTATTTTGAAACTAGCTTCCTAACATTCTACAAGTGCGATATATATATATGTATATGTATAACAGCCCTATCCCAGTTTATAGAGCAACTCAACTCTATCAACTGATCCGGATTCGATTAGTAGCCGCCTTCAATATACGGTCTCACTCTTTCCTATCCATAGCCTTCTTCCTTCGTCCGACCATATCTGAGCATATTTCTCCTTACATACACGCAATTCATTTACGCCCAACGGCTCAGCCGAAAGGGAAACTATCACTGTGATCGTAGAAGGTGAATCGGCCTTGGATGCCAGACTCACGTTGAAGGCGTTCATCGTCTCGCAAAACCGCAATGACCTTTTCGCAGTTGCCTACCGTGTCTCGCTCAATATTCCGGAAAGACGCTCTGAATAAAGCGGTCTGTTCTGGATATTCGTAACGACATTATTGATCTGGGTATCAGAAGGGAATAGGGGCAAGAGGGAAAGGTAGCGGTGCGGTCGAACTTCCCCCAGACTCGAGCCGTGAGGGTTGCATCTGCCTCAACTTGGATCACATGGGACAGAGAATTGTGGGAGCGATCGAGGAGGCGAAACAGGGAGTTTGGGTTGCACTCAGCGTTCTGCCTCTTGTCGTGCTTGCCTTTCGTTTTCTCGCGCCTCTCTTCTTCCTCCCGGCATTTTGCCGCTCCTCGCAGCCTTTGTTGTTCTTCGATCTGACGTCGGTAGTATTAGTTGCGTTGGTGATCCCGCCGCCGCAGTAGCTCATCTCAACCGACAAAGCAAGCGTACTATTCAATACCCCTTTGAAAGCATAAATCATCGCAAAGCAGCAGACATCGATTTGTTCAATCACAAACCAGACATAATGGCACAAGCTACCAATTCTACAAGGAACTCACAAATTAACCTAGCCTCTGCCGCAGAATATTTCACAATGGGAGACCAGGCATCCAATCAACCGCCTCGATGGCGTCAGCAACGAGCTCTCTCTCGCAACCCTTTAGCGCAGAAACACTACGCGTCGTCCTTGACCCCCCCTCACTATACACACAATTGACCAATAATTAATGTCAACAACATTAAAGATACCCATATATACCCCCCCCCCGCCATACTAAACTGTAGTTATGCCAATTGCCCCTCATCATCCCATCCAAATAATCCTTACCCGGACGGACAATTCCATCCACCTACTAGACACTTATATCGCACAAACCCCCTTCTCCTCATGAACAAACAAGATACACTGAGCCCATAATAAAAGAAATGACAATCAGAATCTTCCAATCCAACATTTTCACAAACCCCCCTCCACCACCCACCATGCAACCCTCATCCCGCCCCAATATCCTCTTCATAATGGCCGACGACCACGCCTCCAAAGCCATCAGCGCCTACAACACCAACATCAACCATACCCCCAATATCGACCGACTATACCACGACGGGATGAAATTCAATCACTGTTACGTGACCAACTCCATCTGCACCCCCAGCCGCGCCACCATCCTCACGGGCACCCACAACCACGTGAACGGGGTCATGACACTGGACAGCAAGATCAACAAACACCTACCCAATGTCGCCAAGCACCTACGCACCGGCGGCTACCAGACCGCCATGATCGGTAAATGGCATCTAGGCGAGGGGGAGGACCATGAACCCACGGGCTTTGACTACTGGAGCGTGGTGCCGGGACAAGGGAGGTATTTTGATCCGGAGTTTATTGAGATGGGTGGAGAGAAGGTGGTTGAGCCGGGGTATGCGACGGATGTTATTACGGATAAGTGTTTGGGGTGGTTGAAGAATAGAAGCAATGGGGTTGGGGAGAAGAAGCCGTTCTTCCTCATGTGTCATCATAAGGCACCACATCGGTCATGGGAGTGTCATCCTGCTCATCGGGGACTGTACCAAGAGGATGTGGTGATGCCGGATACGTTTGATGATGATTACAAGAACCGGGCGAAGGCCGCGGAGGTAGCTAAGATGCGGATTGAAAGTGACATCACGTACTTCGATTTGGGGCTGGTGCAGCCCGAGGGAGGTGCAGAGGTTGGGGAGCTGTTTGGGAGTCGGTCCACCGATAGGAAGATTCCGAATGTGTCTGATGCGGATATCGAGGGGTTTCGGTTGATTGATAAGGATACGGCGGAGGTGTTTACGTTCAAGAGTAATGAGGAGCTGCGCCGGTTCAAGTATCAGCGGTATTTGAAGCGGTATTTGCGGACGATTCATTCAATTGATGAGAATGTGGGGAGATTGTTGGATTACCTGGATGAGGAGGGCTTGGCGGAGAATACGGTGGTTATTTATACCTCCGATCAGGGGTTCTTCTTGGGTGAGCATGGCTGGTTCGATAAGCGGTTCATGTATGAGGAGTCGTTCCAGATGCCGTTTCTGATAAGGTACCCCAAGCTTATCAAGCCGGGATCGGTCTGCGATGATATTATCTCTAACGTGGACTTCGCGGCGACTTGGTTGGATCTTGCTGGGCTGCGGATTCCCTCATACATGCAGGGTGTGTCGTTTGCTCCGCTGCTTAAGGGGGAGACGCCGACGGATTGGAAGCAGGTTGCGTACCATCGGTATTGGATGCATCGGGATCCTATTCATAATGCGTATGCTCATTACGGGGTCCGCAACCAGCGGTATAAGCTGATTTATTGGTATGCGGAGGATTTTGACTTGCCGGGAACGCAGGAGGGTGGGCAGCCGAAGGAGTGGGAGTTGTTTGATTGTAAAAAGGATCCTCTTGAGTTGTTTAATGTGTATCATGACGCTAAGTATGCGGATGTGGTGGATGAGTTGACGAGGCTGTTGGATGAAACGATGCTGGAGATTGGGGACACCCCGGTGCATTGAGGGATGTGTATAGTACGTATATTTAGGGGGGGTTAGACAGTATTCAGGTAGAGTAAGAGACGCCTATAAATTGTGTATGGAGTGAGTAGGAAGTGAGAAATAGAGAGTATAGAGTGACTTCACGATTAAGCCATGTATAATCCTATAAGTCTAACTGTATAGTAAGAGGATAATGACAACATGATTCCATATTGAAGAGGTGCATCAAAACAATGACTTCAATCTATCACAACGCCCTCGAGGATTCGAAGCCGTGGCGTTGGAATGAAAAGACTGACTGAGATGAGTTAGTGAGAAGTCGAATGCTGCTGCTTCAGTCTCCCCATTACACACATTGTTGTACTGATTAGCGTGTAACCCCAACTCCCTACTGCGTCGTTGATGCCGTCGGAGATGTTCGTGGTTGCCCCCTTCCTTTAAACGTATACTGTAAGCTAAATCTGTTATCGTAAATTTGCGACCAACTATACTGGCACTAATGCGAATTCAGAACGGCTTTGCATGTTGATGTCACGCCCCTGACTGCTAGGATTAGGATATGTCGCTCAAGTGCCACTCTTGAACACACTGGGAGAAGATACCGTTACGCTGAAGTGCATTTCCTGCTTCTCCGTATAAGGGGCCCCAGGACCATACCACCCACAGCTCCCCAGGCCAGTCCCACCATAGCCAAGACTTCGACAGGGTAGGCAGGAACGAGTACGCGCCAGCTAAGTCTTGGTACTGTGTGGCTAACAACTTGCAAAATACACCGCCACTTCTTCTGTATTCTTGTTGACTCTTCGTTGAGGGACGTTGCCTCGCATGCAGACGCCCAAGAGCTTCTCGCTTCGCCGGTAATATGGGGAAATCACCAAAGAAGAAATAATTTTTCGAGATTGTAAATGAATTAATCTCGACTTCGACTGTACCCTAGACCATTTTCCGATCTCATGTTACGAAATACGAAAAATACGAGAAAACATGCATATTGCCCCCCTCAGAGGGCGCTGCACCGGACAAGTCCAAGTCCGAGACCCAGTACTGCCTCTATAGCCGACGATAGTGGACGGGGCATGGTACACACCCCCTAGAACCCCCCGGAAGCAGATGGCTTGCGAATCCCGTTCTGCCAAGAAAGACAGATAAGTTAAGCTCATTTATGGGTGGACAATTGTGCTTGACTCTGATAATAGTTTTAGAATCCCGCGAATACCACCAGCCTTGAATCTCTTAGCTATCTTAGACCTGCTCCACTCTGGTGTGCCCCAGCAACTCAAGAATCTGTAAAAGATGCATTCTGCTTCGTGGAAAAACCTTAGTCGATGAACTCCGTGCCTAAAGCAGTTCGCTCTTGCAGGGCCCTACGGGTTGATCGACACAGCTCCTTCGCTTGGATGAAAGGACATGAGCCAGTGATTTAGCATGTATTGGCTACAGGTGTATAATGATGCTCGACAGAGTGCAGTGATTAGCTCCAGCAAGAACGGATCGTATCAGTTTACTGGCGGTTGAGACCGCTCGGAGTTCGACAACACTTAATATCGCGGTTTTCTTGGCAGAAAGAAGTCCAGTCCAGAGCTGACCTCGACACGGGTGAGATATGTGTGACAAATTAACTGATTTTAGAAGGCAGATATTGATTACCCTGCCATGCACAGCATCACTTTGTTCCAACCAGTGTGATCCCCTGGAAGTACAACGGGGTTGAGGTTTCACACTTCCATGGGTCCAGGTTAGGGTTGGCGCCGACCCACTGCGGGCCCGGAAGATGAAGAAATTGAAGGCGAGAATAGAAAGATTCCTGCGACGCCACAGCCCACATTATCATCCCACCGCATTACCCCATGGACTTGTAAGACATAAGATGATGAGAAGGTCGGCTACCGGAGAAGCTGGCATGATCGCGTATCGGAAGAATGTCTGCGTTCGTGTACACGACATCCCTAAAATTTATCCGATGATCACCCGAGGAACCAGGGTCGGACCCCTGAAAGGAATGTCGCCGAAAGGATCAATTATATTGATTCGCGGACCCTGTAAATGCCCTAAAGGGTCTTTGCCAGAGTCTCGAGAGTGGGATCGGCAGTGGCAGTTTCTAGTCTCGTCAGTGTGGTCTACTCCGACCGATCCGTAGTGTTGGTGGGTCCCAAAGCAGTCTATATCGATATCATCACCAAATTCCAAGGACCATCGGATGACGAGGAATATGCATTGGCACTGAGAACTGCCGACATGATACATGCCCTGCCGGTGCATCCACCAAGCATGTTGCGACAGAGTGAAACAGCGTGGATAAGCTGGATGGGGCCGATGGAGGAAGAGAGCAAGACATGGCATCAGCAGTGGAGATGCCGAGCAGTGCCGAGAGCCGCCGATGCTTCGACCTTCAGCCCAAGCGTCAATCAATGCCTTCTTGGGTCAAAGTTGGCCGGACTGTAAGCCCGTTAGCGTCTGAGATACGCCGGATGACACGAACCTTGGTGCTTACCAATGCTGCGATGCATGCAGTGCCGGCGGTATCCCTGGCTGAAGCGCCCATCGCCGTTAGAGATTGATACCCGGGTGGATCGGAGGGTCCTCGTGGTCTTTCCACCAATAATGGGGGTATCTCACTGCCTTGTTCAGGAACAGAAGCTTAGCATGATTCAGTATTTCACGTATAAAACTCTCCAGGACTTCCGTCGTTGAGATGCTCTATCCAACAACACCTCACTCTTCCACTCCTTGTTCTTTCTTTCTGTTGACCAGACCCCGTCCATTCTTTTGATCGAAACCTGTTCTGTTGACCAGAACCTATTCAAACAATCACCATGCACTCCTACCAGCTTCTTGGCCTGGCCGCTGTCGGCTCCCTCGTCTCTGCTGCTCCCGCTCCTTCTCGCGTCTCCGAGTTCGCTAAGAAGGCCTCTACCTGCACTTTCACCTCTGCCTCTGAGGCCAGCGAGAGCATCTCCAGCTGCTCCAATGTCGTCCTGAGCAGCATTGAGGTCCCCGCTGGTGAGACCCTCGACCTGTCCGACGCTGCTGATGGCTCCACCGTATGTATTTCTCAGCTTCCTCTTCACCTTCGCCAATATGCTAATATCACCTAGATCACCTTCGAGGGTACTACTTCTTTCGGCTACAAGGAGTGGAAGGGTCCCCTGATCCGCTTCGGTGGTAAGGATCTGACCGTCACCATGGCCAACGGCGCTGTCATCGACGGTGACGGTTCCCGTTGGTGGGACAGCAAGGGCACCAACGGTGGCAAGACCAAGCCCAAGTTCATGTACATCCACGATGTTGAGGACTCCACCTTCAAGGGCATCAACATCAAGAACACCCCCGTCCAGGCCATCAGTGTCCAGGCTACCAACGTCCACCTGAACGACTTCACCATCGACAACTCCGACGGTGATGACAACGGTGGCCACAACACCGACGGTTTCGATATCAGCGAGTCGACCGGTGTCTACATCAGCGGTGCTACCGTCAAGAACCAGGACGACTGCATTGCCATCAACTCTGGCGAGGTACGATATCCTCACCACCACAGCCGTTTAATCAGTACACATCGCTAACGATTATGATTACAGAGCATCTCTTTCACCGGCGGTACCTGCTCCGGTGGCCACGGTCTCTCCATCGGATCCGTCGGTGGCCGTGATGACAACACCGTCAAGAACGTGACCATCTCCGACTCCACTGTCAGCGACTCTGCCAACGGTGTCCGCATCAAGACTATCTACAAGGAGACCGGCGATGTCAGCGAGATCACCTACTCTAACATCCAGCTCTCCGGCATCACCAAGTACGGTATCGTCATCGAGCAGGACTACGAGAACGGCTCCCCCACCGGCACCCCCTCCACTGGTATCCCCATCACCGATGTCACCGTTGACGGTATCACCGGTACTCTTGAGGACGACGCTACCCAGGTCTACATCCTTTGCGGTGACGGCTCTTGCTCCGACTGGACCTGGTCCGGTGTTGACCTCTCCGGTGGCAAGGCCAGCGATGACTGCGAGAACGTTCCTTCCGGTGCTTCTTGCTAAATTACTCGTTTTAGAGGCGAGGCTAGACGGCGTTTTTAGGACGTCTGGTTGTATATATCGATCCAATTGACATGTACTAGTTAGGTAGGATTACTGCCATAGTGTTAGTGAATAATGGAGCTTTGCTCGTTATATGAATCATTGAAGACATGAATAGTTTGGTAGAGGGAATGGCCTTGGCATCAATTAATGCCTGGCGATGAAGTAATTCGCGAGGTGAATTAGAGCGCGCATTTCGTGGTATATAAGCCGTCATCCATCACGCTCTACAAATTTCTCTCTTATATATTTCAATTTATGAACCACAGCTTCCCCTCAGACCAACAAGGTCCTTCTTTATTTATGTCATATACCAGACTATATCTTGATTCCTGCATGATAAGGAATAAGAGCATGTTTGAGCAGTGTGCAGGAAGGCAACCTTGAAGTAATAATAAATAATATACTGCCACGTGCCCACAGAATTTCTACATGAATGTTGTCCTCCGCCGTCTAGAGATTCATAGTTTGACTTGATGTTCCTAGTCCACAACGGGGAATATCCTAGTGCTGTTTTCATAAGAAGCAAGATCATATCGAAACATTGGCGTGACGAAGAGAGATCAGTTACGGCCACGGACCACGAAGAGAATACAGTGGAAGCAAGTCATTATACGGATACAGATGCAATTATTCGAAGCGCAGGCTGTGACCAGAGCAGAGCAGAAAGCATTTCGACCTGAGTGCGGAGAAGGAGCAAGTGCTCTTGTTCAACTCCATCACAAGAGTTACTGATGTGGATGGCTATGCCAAAGCCCGGAAGGCATCCCCTCGTTGACCCAGTAATGCGGCCAAGCGACCCATAAAGGCGAAGAGACTTGAACATCTTGCTACACCAACGAAGTATACCCACTGCATTCAAGTCAACACTGCCGTCAACAATTCCTCACTCCACTTCTTCTTGAACATGCACTGGCACAGAGTAACTCTGAATTTCCTGCAAAATGACCTTCATTCTCCGCTTCCTTCATTGTGGACAGTGACACAAAAGATCAGCGGAGTGCCAATGCCAACTTGTAAAACTGCTACTTACTGATAATCGGCGCAATAAATACCTCTATTGACATACTCACCTGCTGGTGGACGAGATTTTAAGCGCATCCTCTACCCCGTGGTGCATCATCGGGGCAAGGCCAGCCTATTAGCGGATCAAAGCGCAACCCGGGCTTTGTGCTTGGTCAATCTCTGTGACATCATCCGCGGTGAAAGTGTCCTGTCTAGGCCTGTCAAATACTAGGAGCGTTATTCTTATCGAATACAGGTCCAAAGTGACAAGCCCCTCATGGAAACCCGCCAAAGAGCCGGCTTCATTAGAGGGAAGCTCACCGGAACACATCGCACCTTCAAGGGAGGCATTGAAAGCGCCCGGAGACTGCGGTGATCACATCATATCAGCCATCGAAAAGCCGGCATAAACCTTGGGCAGTCGAGGCATGGTGCGCAAAGACGAAAAGCGAGTATGACCCACTGAACCCCTCCCGACTGACTTGCCCGGAAACCTGAATGGCCTCTTTGAGATTGCAGTCTCTGACGAGGCACACATGCTGCGAAGCCCGACATATGGCCTGTCCTTTGCCGCCGCGGAAGGGGTACATTCAAATATTGGGGTTCTAACGCCAAGAATATCATATTAATGCAGTTGGAGTTTGATAGAAACCTCATTGCTTCATATACAACGGGTAAAACATCACCATCTGACTAGCTCGACAGGACAAAACGAAGGCTGAATTGCACAGAAATTGGCAGATTTCCTACGCTTACCGGACCTTCTCAGTAATTTGCCCATAGTTCTCGGTTGAAGATGGATATGCTCAACTATGCACACGCTATACATCCTGCCAAGTTGTACCGGCGCAAGTTTATGCGTCGGATCAAATCCCAGAGGTATTTGGAAGTCAAGGTCTAGCTTCATTAATGGAACATGAATTACTTCTGGGGGTGTTGAACGTTGTTATCGACGCCTGGGAAATGAAATTCCACCTTCTCGAGGTTCAAGGCTCCGAAGAAGAAGGAATTTGGTACTATCGCCAGAACCCAGAATCAGACGTCACCAAGCGGCATCCCGAAATGCCATGTTTTTGGACCAATGAAGGCAGGCGGGAATACACACAGTGGGAATCCCACAACCGGGTGCTCTTCGACGACGTCGACCGCATATGTCGTCTCCTCAAGGCCTCGAAGAGTGCCCCCTCACCCACTCGAACAATGGGCAGCAAAGCTTGGTAATGTCAGTAACAAATTGAAGGTTCTGGATTATTTCGGGACTCTTAGCTTCACATACGGGAGCAGAATCGCAGGCACAAAGATGATATAGACTGATACAGACTTTCAGCTACTCAGAAAATGCATAAGTTATATTATGAGGGCGCGACGGGATAGCTGCTAGAGGCGGAATAGAAAGCTCAGAGTCATGAGAGGACACTGCCAACTCGATACAGGTGTTTTCAAACGCTTACTTAGTGTTTACCAAGATTGCGTACCATGTTGCTACTAATTCTTCGTGAAAAATCCTACCAAGCAAGGATAGGCCGAGAGATTGGACATATTTCCCAGGTGAAGGAGTATATGTCAAGACGAAGGGTCAAAGATATATGGATTTGGTCTATCTAGATCTCAAGAAGATGGTTGGTGATTGGAAGAGGTGGTAGTCAGAGGCCACGCAGGAAGAAGAGGGGAAGGATCAGCTGACAGCTGCCTGGCTGCAGTGAATGTCTCAACAGTATATATGAGTGCGACACTGATAGAAAAGGGGCTAAACCATGCCATTCTTCACGTTGGCTTGAGCTCCAAGGAGTGCAGTAACATGGCCATATGGTTTGTAACGGAGTGAGCGAGTTGCATGTTCCTACTCAAGGGTTATCTAGTCCATCTAGCGGACATCAACCCACCTCTGTGAAAAGGTATTCACCCGGCAGCCAAATAATTGCATGGTCTTAGCCATGAGCTACCTTATAAGCTCAGCCGGGCTTAATCTGCAGGCACTTTGCCGGAATGTGCACCTTCTCTTCCGGCCACCTCTAGAGATATCCAGAAATAGGCCGTTGGGCGGGCGCGCCGCGTGGGTCATAAACGAACTGGTCTTGTCAATTTCACCATGGGCAACCTCCAGTAGTTTGTCATAAATAAGGTGCGGGGGACTGCATAGCATATTGGCTGTAGACAATGCAGGGACAAATATTTGCACATCTTCTGTACGTTCATTCGTAATATATTAGCCGTAATTGTACCTTTTGTATCCTAGTACAATGTTTGTACGTGAATTGGTCTCATCGCCAACCGGAGAATCAAATATTTTTTTTTAACCACATCTACTCGCTCGTCTTAGGTGGGGAACGGAACAAACAGTGTACCAGAGTGTCTACCGCTCAAAGACGTGAATCTAATATTGTACCGAAAGCCGAGACTACATAGTCAGGGGAAAGACCAAAGGAGGGAGTGGACGAATATACGAAGGGTAGATAAGGCAAGAAACGCCTGTCTTGTATACCTTCTCATAGTAAAATTCGATTTGATTCTTTGGGAAATCAGTCTCCATCTAGAATGTGGATTCAAGTTCCGTCATCCTATCTGCTGTCATATCCGCTGTGCTTGACTTCGTAAACCGACCAAAAGACTACGGGAGAATTGGCAGCACACCGGCATTCTCGTATGCACGCTTGGTGTTAAGCCATGACTGGTAGGTATCATCGCTGTGGTTCCAACCAAACTGACGTGCTTTCACAACCGTACTGATGAAAGGGATTATATACGGCATGAATATAATATACCTAATATACCAGTTCATGAGCTGGAAGGCATCCAGCTGAATACCTCTAGATTACTACTATACTTGGCGACAATGCGCTCCCATACAGGCTTCTTGTCTTGAGCCTACTCGGTCAGATCAAATAGTTGTATTGCCTCAGTAGAAGCCTCGAACTTGTCCATTGGAACCTGGAAGTATCCGGCTAATAAATGCCAGAGAAACTTCCCGACAATCACATCCCCATCATCATGCAGGTGTCGCCTTTGACGGTGCGGATCGTTTAGTCTTAAGATGTGGTGTTTGGAATCATTCTTGATGTATGCATCGATGTGATCGTACAGCGATTGTGTCTCGTTGCATGTACATGGGGGGTGGGGCGAGAGACGTCGCTGAGGGCGGAGAATATACGCATGCATCTTCGTCTAGTTCCACGCCATATTCTGTATTGCTGTTCTTATTTGGGAATGACTTCAGCTCACATATATGGCTGCTGAATCATAAGAGACTGTTGAACTCTGCAAAGTATGTTTTTACCGTATGCCACATGCTATCCATTTTTGACCGATTTGGTTCGAGACCGCAGGAGTAGCCACAGATGAGAGAGATGCTTGGGGATAGAGAAAGATTCATGATGGCCGCACAATATTGTCTATTATCTGATTACTACTTCTTCTCTTGTCTTTTTCTTTTCCCCTCACCCCTCGCACGCAGTCCTACACTTTTATTATGTCCACCAATGAAAAGTACTGAAGATCTTGCAAGTGATACAAGATGATAAGACAAGCAGCTGTCCGCCAGTGAAATCCAAGCCGAATGTGCATATATAACTACGTAAATTAGATTTATTGGACGATGGTGATATATCCGCTACCACAAAGCTGTGTATGACGTCTACTTCTACTACCAATAACCCCTTCGGGCCTCATACAGGTCCCGGGTTGTACTATCTCTCTAAGATCTTCATTCCTCCCAAGCTGGGGAACAGTGAGGACAGTCAGCCCCTCGAAATATCTAAAAAAGAGTATTTGGTCAATGGTGATTTCTATCCCTGGCAGAAGGGTTATCCGTTCTGGCTCTTTCCTAATTTACTAGCACGCGCATAGACAACACCCTTTTGCTTACTTTTAACGCACCATGAGACCCCAATGACTGACCCTAATGGTGAGTGGATGCAGTTGCTGTGTTCATACCAGGTCAATAGAGTTTTACTAGGTAAGTGCATTGCCCTAATATTTCCACACTGCACCCTTCATGCTTACTTGCCTACATAAACATGGATGGGTAGATACAACCTAACGAACGAATGAAGGCCCTGTGTACCCCTAAATCCACACTTATCTCCGCCTATACCTCTTCCCATGACTCACAAGCAAAAACTTAGCAAAGAAATCCTCCGCAAAATCATCAAAGGGCACATATTCCGCCCCAAGTCGATATGCAGCCGCAATGCCCGATATACAAGCTATCTCATGCATATTCTGCCTGCCATCAGTATCTGAAACACACACCCACAACCGTGAAAAGTCTAAGTACTCACCACCATCGTCCAACTCCCCGCATACAATGTCCGATTCTTCCCATTAATGAACATCATCCCCGGCACCACACGTATATAATGCTGCCAATTATGTCCGAATTGATGCCACCATTTCTTCGCAATAATCTTATCTTTGTCGATGCTTTCCCACGTCCATAGATCCGACTCTTTTTTATTCAAAAAGATCGTCTGATACACATGCCGATCTGGCTCCAACGACAGAGCCCCCTCCCCCAACGCCTCCCGAAACTGATGCTGATAATTCGAACAATCGAAGCCCATCTCGATCTTCTGCGGATCCTGCTCATACGAATGCGTATAGTACATAGGCGCAAACCCCTCCCACCCGTCCTTCCGACAGCGCGGTGTCTGCTTCGCGAACGAGATCTGCTCGTTGCGCGCCTCGCTCGACGCCTTCCCGCACAAATCACTCTTATACCTCGTTTCGAAGATACTATTGAAGTAGTCCGCATCGCTATGCGTGACCGTAACATCATCGTAGAACCTCACGCCACCCAGAACATACTTCTCCCTCCACGTCGCATGCCTACCCAGCAACTTCTTCGCCTCATCAGCCGGCACACACAGCACAAGCTCATCAAAGTGCTCATCATGCATCACCCCCTCCCACCTTCTCTCACCCTCTTCCCCCCTATCCCAAACCCTCAAGTCCACCCCCTTCTTAGTATCCCTCCCCAATATCTCCACCTCCGTACCCAACCTCACCCTCACCCCCTTACTCTCCCCCAAATCCGCCACCCAATCGCTATAAAACCTTCCCAGTTCCGGAAACGTGTACATCTCCGGCCGATTCGGCAACAGCATATCGGGATCAAAATCCCACAATCTCATCTGCGGATCATCAAACAGCCTTTCCAATAACACACTCGACACATTCGGCGTCTGGTTCCCCGTGCCCAAGAACAGTGCAATGAGCGGAAGAACCATCTTACTTCCGAACTCTGCACTGAACCTGAACAGCCGAAGTACAATCTTGATGGGCAGTATTCCCAGGAATGGCATCAACCGCTTAATCCACTTCAGCACGCGGCCGAGTTTCTCGATCTCGGCGGAGTATCTGTCCACGAGTGGAGAAGGGAACATATTGGTGAAGAAGCTGTCGGGACCTTTGCCGAAGGATACTTGGAGTTGAACGGGTTGAGGCTCGTATCCGTAGCGTCGGAAGAAGTTGAATGTGTGACGGAATATGGATGAGCCGCCTTGTACGCCGTCGTTGAGCCAGGTTGCGCCGTGGTTTGACGGCAGGGGGATCGAGGTTGCTTGGCCGCCGGCGTGGGGAGCGGAGTCGAAGAGGTGGATTTCGAATTTGTCTGGGTGTTGAGATAGGGTAGAGGCGCAGGACTGCGTGGGTTTTGGTAGTTAGTCGGGGTTCGGAATGGGTTGGGGATGGTAAGGGAGGGAAGGAGAGGACTGTACCATGCCTGCTGCCCCGGCACCTATGATGGCAACTTTCTTTCGAGGAGACGCTGATGCCATGGTCAATCGGTGTTTTCACTTGTTCATGGTTGAAGAGAGAATGCAGTTCGAGAGGATGTGATGTTGTCTAGGAGGAAACTGAAACACTAATCATGACGTCAGGTGGACTTCCGCTTCGGGTAATCTGTATACTCGGCATGAGGGGGAAGTAGTACAGGACTATTGTCTATGTTCTATCTTGTCATCCTTATAGCGCCATGAGGACCCTAATAATATAGATGGAAGCCATAGCCGAGTACATTTGTGAAGAGATTCTAGAACCTGAGTGAGAATAAGCCATATTTGAAGCTAGTCCAGAATGAAGCACAGTAGATTAAGAGTAATACTGAGACTAGACTAAATTAAGGCTGTAGTAATGCTAGAGTGCAGTCAAAAGAGTGTGAAACACAATCAAAGAACGCGTGCGCTGAACAATCTAGTGGCAGACAAATGATGAAGCAATTGTAGGGTCTCTCCTACATACTGCGCAGTAGCAGGATAGGGACAGAGGATCCTTGACATCCCACCATTCTCAGAGACAGAATGCAGATGATCAGGAGCAATGCCTTCTTCAACCCATGCCATTAATGACTCCATCAAAAGAGTTGGAGCCGGTCCCTTTCCATTACCACAGTGTTCGACTCCTGGCGCCTCAAAATAGAGATAAAAATCCTGGACTGATGGATCACGCAGTTGGACCTTTCTGTAGTAGTCCACAGAGCCATTTGGAGGAACTTGCCAATCAGCTAAGCCATGTCAATGGATAATCTTTCCCCCTCTATTCTTGAAGTCGTAGAGATCGGGATTATTAGCATCGGTAATTGCTTTGTATCCGGTGATGGATTGATAGAAGAGGGACTCAAACTCAGCTTGATCCATGTCAACCAAGTCGATATTGGGATCTTGGGCAACAAAAAATTGCAGCCAATCCACGCTCAAGTAATCGGGCAAAGAATGACATCGGTGATTCCCAATATCATCGGTAGCAGTACAGATCGTATAGTTCCATGGCGTACCCTGATTGAAACCGTACCACAAAGGGGTCCCATCTTTAGCAGTTAGACCTGCCCAGTATGACACTGCAAGTAATGCCACTTCCGCAGTAATTATACTGGGGATACTTTCACACCAGACCTCCATGCCTATGAGAATAAGGGGATTAAAGTTGCAAAGCGACGGCAGAGCAATTATTCCATCCACAACACCGTCCTGACCATCGCAGTAAGTGACTGCTGCATCCGTTATCTTTTCCATGACACAGGGGGAGGGATAGACCCCAAGCTGGTTCATGACGAATGTTGGCCAGTAATTTGCAGGGACGAACTGCGCCCAGTTTATGGTTGGCGCCCCCCCGCCAATATACCGTCGAATGCATCGGGCCATCGTTGGGCGATCTCCAATCCCTGCCGCCCACCAGTCGAGCAGCCGTTCCAGTAAGAGTAAGCAGGTAGTGTTCCATAGAACTCTTGTATGATATACTCGGCGAGAAGCGACAGCTCATAGAGACAGGTTGAGAAGAAATCAGCCAGTCGGGCGAAGTTCACGTGGCCCGAGGCATCTTCGAGAGCCCATGATTTTGCTGACCAAGGAATCCTGTCGTGGCCCATGTCAGACCCGGCAGCTGCAAATCCTTGATAGACAGGCAGAGCTAACGTGCCATAGTCCACAAGCCCTGCCCACCCTCCTCCTCCAACTGCCTGGAGCCGATTGTTCCATCCAGACAATGGTAACCAAACGTGCGCGTGAATCAGGTCGTCCCAGCCCGGATGTGTATAGGTAACGGTGACATTCCAAAAGCTGATAGTCACATTCTGCGACTGTATAGGATTCACCTGCACGCCCGTAATTGGGTAGTCCTGAAGTGAAAATGCGGTAATAGAAAGTATTTTCAAACCTGGAATATCCGGCTAAGGTATGTGATAGCCATTGGCAAAATGAGCGTAGAATGTTGAGAGAATAGTGGCCAAAAGCACCAATGCTTGACTTGCTTTGAGCAGCATCTAGTGTTGACAGAATGATACGAATGAGTTCAGAAAGAAATTAAATGCAGACTTATTGTAGAGACAGGTGAGCCTTTTGCAGTGCTTGCGGCATCTTGAGATCAGGAACGGCATCCAGTGGCGAAGAGGCTGGCTGCAGTTTTGAAGATGACAGTGTAGGAAGGCGCGAGGCATGAGCGCACTTCTGCTTGGACCAGGTTGCCGGTGGCTGCTGGGAAGCAGCTGCGCTACACATACAGTGTCTCATGCCTTGTCACTTTACGATTCGCTTAAACACCCGACATTTGGCTGGGAGTCTCAAGACGCTGACAAGATTTGGGGGATATACAAGTAACACAAATGAAGAAGATCCCGTCTGTCATCTAAAAATTTGCTCGCTGAGTTCAATGACTGGAAACATTCTATAGCGCCCAAACTAATTCACTGTGTTTACTATTCCAGATTAAGCCACTACAGACGGATCCATTCCAAGTGTGAGAAGTAATAACCATATCACCGCCGGTGGGTCAGGACTCCAATACACTGAATCACTAGTACCACACCACAGATCTTATCCAGACAAACAAAAAGCTTCTTTTCCAGTAACTGTATTTAAAGTACATCTTGTGTTCCCAAATTCAGTTTAACTCCCCTCATGCACTCGTTCACCAAGACATGTTCTTCTGCAACGTTCCTGCTTCTACCTGCACAACAGTTTCTTGTGAATCTATGACCAAATTAACATCGAAATAGCCAGCAAATGTACTTAAAAAGAATGCATTCGAATCTATGATGTGTAGATTTGTACCATGAAGATAACAAGTCTGACAATCAAGATGCCTGGGGAGATTGTTTATATCATCTTCAATATCCAGCGCGCTCGGTCCCCAACGAATGAGCTGCACATAGTACCATATGAGCTCCAATCCACCAAGGTCACGCTCTATCACTCTCACGGCAGCGAAATCCCGGCACACAGCCTTATACTAGTTATAGTCTTGCTTGACTCGTTTGGTAAACGGCTGTGGGCACTTTACCCACAGTTGGGGTAGCTCGGGCTCTTTGGTGTTGCCATATGCGAAGCTGAAAGAGCGCTTCAGCTCTTTATCCTGGAAGTTGTATCCTCAATAGCAGCGCAGTCGTGCTGTGCCGACACACAACCTCCGAGGACATCAGACCTAAGCTTCCACTGCTTGATAGAAATAGCCGGGATACGATTTGATGAATGATCAAAGGGATCTCTCTTCAGTTGAAGGATATCTGGCGCAGAGGAATTACCCCTTTTCTAATCACTTGTATATAGCTTGTGTAATGACCTTTCGGGCCCGAATTCCCCGTAGAACATGTCCAGTTGTGGGTGTTTGTTCAAGAATATGTATACATCTGACATGGCAATTAGTTTTGAGATCATGATATACTATCATGCTTGATTGAATCACTTACCGATGCAAAGTACGCTGCGATAGACAAGGTATCACCGGTACTGATGGCTCATAGAGTATAGTTGCGGACTGAGGCACTGGCTTAGAGAGAGGAAAGAAGTTCACGGGGAGTTGGAATGATTATTCATATGTTTCCTGGGCTGGAATATTCAATATTAGGACAAAGCAATGACACATAAGAATAGTTCAAACACAACTTAGCATGCAGAAAAACATGAGTAACTCAAAGACCAGAGATGAACGACCGTGGCTTCAACAACCCAGGGAAGACGAAAGATAGCCGCCACACCAACCCCCTTTTCTTGTCCAGCTCTAGAGGTTCCTTACTAAATGGCTCCGAAGAGACGCCTTCGAGCCGACAGTTAGGGACGTGGTGGGGTATTGATCTTATCACGGATCACCTCTCTCTGATTGCGGTAATATCTCGCAGTTTTGAGGTTCTTTACGGCCTCATCATAATGCGAGCCTTTCTTTCCTAGGCACTCATAAGCAGTTGGATACTTGTGGTCAAAGCCACAGCGATATGCGGCCACTCTGTTTATATATATATTTTTTAGCAGGTTCCAGATGAATTCACAATAAGCACTGTTCTGACTTACATATTGGCAGAGGCTATCATGTCAGCGGCCAGTCGCTCATTGAAAGCTGTGACCGTATAGCTTGGACTCGGTCGAACATTGACATGGGAGCTTGCCGGAGTGCGGATATCGCAGTTGGCGATGGGCAATCGCATCAGCTCAAGGATGCGGCGGGATCATCTTCGTTTTCTTTTCCCCTCACCTCATCTTGCTTTCTAGTACATTTGTTTTACCACCTTTCATGCTATCCTCACCACCCCCTTACCATCAACTTTTGCCTAAAAGAGACAGGATCTCAAATAATATAAATTACCGAACATGGTTAGTGTACTTCACCCTTATTGACGGTGCATGTGCTAACTTCAGATCAGGCTGTGCCCACCCTGGAAGGCATCCCGGTGGAACTGCGTATTTCAATCCTATTCACCATACCTGACCCCGGCTCACTGTGGTCGCTATTACGTGCATCGCCTGTGTACTACGAAATCTTTGAGCTAGTGAAGAGAGACCTTCTTCGGAGCCTTCTACAGAAGCACCATGCTGGCCTGGTCGACATGACCGATGCAATAGCCGCCATCCGTTCCAAAGGCTTGCACGCTTCCGAGCAGCCCAATAAAGAAAAAATCATCGCACTTCTTGAGAGCCGAAATTATAGCTACAAGACACCTCGGCCGGAAACTCCACCTGCGCAGCTTCTAGACGAACCAGCAAATACTCAGGAGACAGTGCAGTTGCTGCGTTTACATAACCAGGCCCTATTATTCCTCGAGGATTTCTGCAGAACCATTAGGCGACCGGTATGGATGGATGAGACCAGGTGGGAGAGCGACATCATACCTCTGGTCTTGACAGAGACGGAGAAACGACGCATCATTCGTGCCTTCTATCGATTGCAAATCTACGGAAATATCTTCGGTTCAATCGAACGTACTGTGGATGCGGCGTACACCTCGGAGGACAACGATTGGCAAGAGAAGCAAGATGTGTTCACTGGCGGGGAGATGTGGCGTCTGTTCTTTGGCCATATGAGTCCCTGGGAAGTTGAAGAATTCAGCTGTCTATGGGAGCACTGCTGTTACCGATACGAATCGATACTCCGCGAAGTATCCGATAGCCTAGTGCAGACAGGTTGCATGTTCTTTGACGAGCTGCCAGAAGATCAACGACCTCCACCCGGTTGCTGGTACACGGACTGTGATGATTTCGAAAGCCCAATGGATAAGAGAGAGAGCCTGACCTCGAAAGGGCCCTCACTCCTATGCAAAATCCTGCGGGAAAAACAATTCCTCGCCCGCCGGAACCTGGTCCTCGTCAACGTGCGATCATTTAGATTATATTTCTATGACTTCGGAGTCTGGCCCAGACCGACCGACAATGATCAAATGGAACTGTTCTACCCTGCAGACAAGTTCAACTTCGGCACGGACAGGAATGGACTCCGGGACTTCCTGAAATCATTACCACCATTTGAGCGGCCTAACCTAGCATGGGAGAGGATATGGCTTCGAGATGATCTCAATTTCGCCCAGGTCTTTTATGACATGTATGAGTTTGGGGCTACTAATAAGCACCGTCCGTGGCAATACGCTTTGTGGGACGACGAGAGACTCATCGAATGGAACGTACCTATTCTCTCTGATGACTATCCGTTTTGGGATCCGCGGCATGACAATTAATACCTTTGGTTCATCGATTAATGGGCCTTTTGTTGTTCATCGAGCAAGCCGTTGTTTCCTTTTTTCTGCTGATAGACCAATAATTTACATTGAACAATATTTACCCTTGCACTTGTGGATATAAGTCAATTGACCCTCAACAACCCCCTTTCTATCTACCATATTCTCAACTAATGTGCCTTTCTTTCCATCGATACCTTTACAGTTCACCCTGTTTTCATTCAACTCTATTCATCTACACCCTAGCAGTAAACAGAATTATCTGAAATCTCAAAATGTAGTGGTTCTATTATAAAACCTACACAACATATCTAAAATCCTCAATCTCCAAATCCGTCTTACTTGACAATCCCAACGCCAACTCCTGGCTCTCCGTCATCTGCCCCGGAACTCCGTACAGACGATCCCTCCGCTTATTTTCCAAAATATAATACACCAGCAAACACACCAAGAAGAATGCCCCCAACGCCAATCCCGAAGTAGCGGCCTTCATACCTGTCTACACATGACCATCATTAGCATACCGCCCCTCTATAAACAGATGGAGGAAGAAGACATACCGGATAATGAGGCTCCTCGGAGGTATAAAAGAACTGCGGCCCGACAATATTTCCCACACAGTACGCAACAAACAACAACGCGCTGGTGGTACTTCTTTTTGTGAACCCGGCGACATTCGAACTGATGATGCTCAGCGAGAGGGGAATATTGACTGCGAAGACAGCGCCCAGGGCAAGACCCGTGAGTCTGCCTCGACGGTTATCTTCGTCGAGCTTCCAGACGAGTATCATGCCGATCAGGGAGGTGAGGGTGTTGAAGATCATCATGAGGATTCGGGTGTGTGGGACGAAGGTTGCGATGCCCGCGGTGAGGATGAGGAAGACGACTTGGGCGCCGCCCAGGGGCATTTGCATGAGGAGGGAGCGGATTTGGGAGAAGCCGAAGCCGTTGATGATTATGGAGGAGAACTGATTGGTCATTGTTAGTTTGATGAAGATGGATGAGGATCTTGGAATGTATGTAGGGAAGGGGGCTTACACTAGTGATGCCACCGTTGCAGAGGTTCACGGAGAATGTATACAGCACCAAGAACCAGGTTTGAGGGTCGCGGATTGCCTGCCAGGCTTGGTCCCATCTGAATGATCCCTCGTCCGCGACACCGGTTTTGTTGGCGAGGGTGCGGTGCATGGCGATGGCGCGCTCGGGTTTGGTGAGGAAGATGGCTTTCTTGGGGGAGTCGGGGAGAAGAACGATGAGGAAGAACGAGATGAACGCTGTGATGGCGCCAAGGATGAGGAAGAGGAGTTGCCAGCTGGATACGGCGTCGGTTTTGATGCTGCCGATGCCGTAGGCTACGACACCGCCGATGACGGTGGAGATGCAGTTTCCGAGGAACCAGGCCGATTGCCTTGTTAGTTGTTAGATTGAATATCTACAATAATTGTTCTGGTTATGGGGGAGGCTTACCGTGCTGGTTGTTCCTCACGCTTGTAGAACATGCCGGTGATGAGGGAGAATCCCGGAGCAATGGCGGCTTCGCCCACTCCTAGGAAGAATCGGGCAGCCATCAAACCCCCGAAGTTCTTTGCTGCGGCATGGCACATTAGGATGCCTCCCCATATTAATCTATAGGGTATTAGTGGTATTATGGGGTAGAATTAGGGGATGCACAAACACTGAGGCACTAATGTATTTGCCAATTGGCAGACGGACGATCAGATAAGAGCTGGGCCAGCTCCAGGCAAAATACCCGAAATAGAAGACAGCAGATGTCCAGGTATATTCTTGTCCCTTGAGGTTCTGTTCCGAGTCAGTATAGATCATTCTCGTTGGAAGTGGCAACATACCAGATCCTGCCGGAGGTTGAACAGGGTAGCTTGACTCAGAGCCAGCTTGTCCATGTATTGCATCATGTAGCAGACTCCCATCAGAGGAATCAATCTTGTTCGAGCAGTGAGAAAAGAACATTCAATGCTATACAAGTTACACATACATTATGTCCAGCTTTCGCAAAACCTTTCGTTCCTGCTCTGGGGTGGCTTCCACCTCCAATACTTGTCCCAGTCCGACATCCCGGGCCAGGGTTGCTTCTTCCTTCAGTTTTAGATCGTCTAATTCGGGGGTCACCCCGGGAGGAGGGTCTGTATGTTGCTTCTCCATGATATTTTGCTTTCGTGAGAGCTGCCACGGCATGATGGCACGGGATTGATTTACCTGTTTATACTACTACCGGTACAGATGAGGCCCATCGGTTATAAGATAACCAGTGAGCAAACCTTAACCAACAGCACCCACGGAATAAAGCGCACAACTTCCGCGCGATCAGCGATTGATACACGCACCTCCACCGGGTAACTTGACAAGCCGATACCGCTCTGATGCCCTGTCTGTGCTCATCACGATGGTGGCGAGGTCGGGGACTTGGCCGTGAGTCAAATGCCGGTGATTAACTTTCCCTATCTAGTATCTGTTTACATCCGGTGGAAGATGAATGACCCAATGAAATTGGTGAAGCCATGTTGGTCGTGAATGAGGAAAACGATATCCGTGCGGTGACTTGAGTAGGTTAGAATCCGGGGTTGCGATATGGCAGCAGATCCAAGCAACGCCGTCGGCAGATGCGCCAATACGAAGCGTCGGTCGGCAAGATGACAAGCAGGTTATCGTTCATCGCAATGCCGGCAGCTGAACCGGCAACTCTCCACCACGCTTATCCTTGGGTTTCCACTGGTTCGAGAGCTCAATGCTGGGTCCATCTTCCGGAAAACTCGCGACTGCGCCTCCCCCACAGATTTGATCGTGCGGAGAAACGCCTCGTGTTGGTCAGGGACGAAGGACTCATTTAATACCTTGATCCACTGTTATCTGCCGAGCCAATGACCCTGATAAGTCTGATAGCGTTTGATAGCGTGATAGCGGAGGTATTATTAATGGCTTATGCGCAGGGTTCCCATGGTTGTCGGGGCGGATTTGATAACGACAATCTTCCGCGATGCGGGGTGCAGATGGAGTCATCGTTGCAAGTGACACTTGTTCGTAATGGTTACCCGAATTATCCTATCATGAGTATCACCTGAATGTCCGGGATTTGCCCATCTCGTCGGCCGAGGTTCTCCACGCTTATCCTTTGCCGCGATAGCAGGGCGAGGATGGGAGAGGGAAGGGCATATATGACGCCCCGGCAGACGATGTCGGGAGCTCTTCCCTGCATTTCAACCAGCTGAGAGCAAGATTGACAGACCATCGCCACAATGACTGCAACACAGACCAATACCCAAACCGTGCCAACGATCGACGAAGTGAAGGTGGCAATTGATGCAGCCTTGGAGTCGGCGAAAACATCGCTACGAGAGCTCAACCGAGAGGTAGGGCACGTAACTCTCCTTCCGCTTGGAATGATTCTGATCATCGACTCTACCACAGATCTGGTGTAATCCAGAAACAGCATACCAAGAGCACCGCGCCCATGACACTATCTGCGACTTTCTCGAGAAGCAAGGCTTCACCGTAACCCGTCACGCATACGGACTGGACACCTCTTTTGAAGCGCTCAGCGGATCGGGTGGACGCCTAATCAACTTCAATGCTGAATATGATGCACTGCCTGACATCGGCCACGCCTGTGGTCATAATCTCATCACTACCAGCAGTATGGCTGCCTTCCTAGCGCTGTCGACTGTCCTGAAACAATTTGGTATTCCCGGTCGCACTCAGCTTTTGGGTACTCCGGCAGAGGAGAATGGCGGTGGCAAGGCCAAGTTGATTGACTTGGGTGCATATAAGGGTGTAGATGTGTCATTGATGGCGTACGTATTAACCATCCCCTTATGCGGCTTATCGTATCCATTGGGTAGACTTTTCCTTTTGGCATACTGACCTTCTCAGTCACGCAGGACCCAAAGAACTATTCCCTGGCGTTGTAGCGGACAGCGTCGGTGGTGTGCGAATGAACGCTCGGAAAGAAATACATTGCGAGTTCACGGGTCGGAGTGCCCATGCGGGCGGCAACCCTTGGGAAGGAATCAATGCCCTCGACGCCTTGGTGACATCGTACAACAACGTGGCCGTACTGCGCCAGCAACTCCGCCCAGATGAGCGCATCCACTGTGCTTTCCTGGATACGCCCACGGTGGCCAACATAATTCCGTCCTACACGAAAGCGTATTGGCAGGTTCGCAGCCCGACTTTGAAGGGGTTGAACCAACTTATGGTCAAAGTGCGGAACTGCATTGAGGCAGGTGCATTGGCTACAGGTTGCGAGGCGAAAATTATTGAGTAAGTCTCTCATCAACCGGAGCAACAGCAGGTGAGCTAACCGGACCAGGAATGAGTTGTATACCGACATCAAGATCAACGACACACTATGTGACCGATATAAAGCGCACATGTCCAAGTACGACCGGAATGTCATTGCAAGTCTTGAGAAGGTCATGACAGGATCATCGGATATCGGTAGGTGTTCATACTATGTAGTCAGGGTACCTTACTGACTTCTCTAGGCAATGTGAGCTACATTGTCCCGACACTACACACCATGTTTGGTATCACGGATGAACCAGGCTCCTTCCCCCATCATCCCAAATTTGCTGCAGCGGCTGGAACCGATTACGCTCACCAGGAGGCGGTGATTGTAGGCAAGTCGCTGGCGCTGATTGGGTGGGAGATGGTGACGAGCGATGAGTTGTTCGGAATTGCGCAGAAGCAGTGGAAGGAATGTATTCAGGAGTAAGGCAGGATACACTGTCTCTACGACATTCTCGGCATCACAGCACCATCTTATCTTTCGAATATCTGCTCAGAACCACTCTCATGCTTGATGTCTTACAGACAGCCATCAGGATGTTTCTCGGTATATCCTCGGCGATATTATTCGGAGAAGGTGAAACATGGCGGCTGTCACTTTGTTTGTATACCCGATAGAAGTATAATCTTTCTCAGCGCAGATCTCGAACGCACGATTGATGACCTTGACCCTGGCGATGCGCCAGATACTAGTAGCCATGCTCAAACCACGGTGACACTCTAGCGGGCGTCACTAAGACCAGGATGTGGACGTTAGCTCTGCGACGGGGCAAAACTACCCCAAATTGAGATCAGACCCTTCTCCAAGCCTGTAGATATTCACCTTTCAGAGAAGCACACTTTCTAAATACTTGCTACCATCTTCAACTACTTTCTGCCCCCCAGCCAGCCCTGTACGAGTCAGTCCCCAGCTGTCCTGCCGCTGACTAAGCGCCTGGAATGTCATTTCGCTTCCAGTCAATTTTGTCCCTCCGAATTTCTTTTTCCCGATGAACTTTCCCGCTGCATCACCCACTGCCCCTCGCTTAAATTCGTGATATCGGCTGTCTTCTTCTGCCTTTTACTGATGCCTGCCGGCTGATCCGACTCCTTCACGAGTGGGCCATTCATTCCATGTCGGGTCGGAACGCGCCTCGCTCGAAGAATGGTATGCCAACCCTTCCCCGAGTTCCCCGGAGTCGGCGGAAAGCTCGGGAAAAAAAAATCCCAGCGGACGGACAATGGTTGACTGACTGACTGACTCGCATCTTACAGGCTGCAGCACCTGCCGCCGTCGTAAAGTGAAATGCGGGGAGGAGCGTCCAGTCTGCAAACGCTGCTTCAATCTACGACTGAACTGTGAATGGGGGATCCCCGTTAAGCGCGGCAAGGCCAATGCCCCGGTTCGGCATCTGCAGCCCGCGCAACCTCGTTGGCCAACCAGCGATGGCATCACCACTTGCTCCTCCCCATCAGCGACCACTCCCTCTCCTGTTCGCGCTGCCGTGACCAACAGCATTCTCCATCCTCACTATGCCAACACTCTAGCTGCCCTCTGGCATCGGCAGTCCCCCGGACCAGCCCCGGATTTCACCCCGGTTTCCCCAGATGTCAGTTTCCCCACGGGATGGCCGTTTCCGCCCTATGCGCAACCATCGCCACTCTACCGGCCCCTGCCCGGAACAGGTGCTCTGCCCTGCACCAATTCGCTCGTCTTGTCGGAGCATGATCAGAAATACTTTCAGTACTTCCCTTCCTCGTCCGTGGTGTTCTATTACATGAAGAATTGGCAATGGAGCAGCTTCCGCTATCTGTATGAGGGGCCCGCGGCTACCAGCAAGGTCATCATGCGCATGATCTTGGCGTTGTCTGCAAGTGATATGCATCGGAACGGCCTGGTAGTCCGGTCACCAGGTCGTCCGACCGCTGAGGATCATGGCCGGTACCATTACGGCATGGCCGTCAAGGAGTTCCGGCAATTACTGGAAACCCCTAGACCTCAGGTGTCGTTTGCGGAGCTTGAGATGATATTTGCAACCATGTTTCTCATGGTCGCGTACGAATGGCAGTTTGGACACTGCGTGCGTCATCTCCACCTCCATCTACAGGGAGTGCGGTCTCTGCTGGAGACCCATCCGGAATTGTTCCATGTGCGCGACGTCAACGAGGTGTTGTTGGCAATGGAGGCGGACCAGCCTAGTGATACGGTCTCTCGGGCTTCGTTCATCTCGGACCAGTTCTTGCTTTGGATATTGTAAGTATGCTTCCTGCTTTACTAGGCATCGCTAATCAATCAGATATATCGATGTCAATCGTCGGTCGATCGGAACTACAGAGTCGCTCTACGACTACGTGCTCAACTCCGGCAATGAATCTCTTCACCCAGACCATCTGTATCGCTGCGCGCGGCTCTGGAGTCGATGCTTCTGGGGTAAGCAATACCCGGACCAGGAGGTATCAGACGACATGGAGAACTACCGAGGGCTGGAGTTTGTACACGTCGGATACACATTATGGCATAAGCTCTGGAAATGCTTGGATGAAAAACACACCGAGTCTGGCGACGCACTGTTAGCTGAGATGATGGCGGTTCGAGATGTATGCCAACCTCCGAACTTATTGTAATATTTATGCTAACCAGTATAGAAATATTCCGACCTTCTCTTAACCGCCAAACTTGCCAGTCCAGGCTCCACCCGCCGCACGCTCAACACCATCTACATGGCTGTGAACAACTTCTACGCCCTGATCCTCTTTCACCGTCGTCTCTTCGATACAGCCCGCTCACCAGCCGCACTGCATCGCCAAGCCCTCAACAACATCATCGACAACGCCCACAAACAATACACCGCAGACCCACGTCTATTACGACGACTACATTGGCCACTCCTAATGGCCATTGTCGAAACCGACGACCCAGCACAACGCGAGTGGCTGCGCGAGCGGCTCTACGAGCTGCGATCATTCCACTCAGAACACCTATGGGCCTTTCAACTTGCAGAGGAGGTACTTGCTCGCCAGGACGCGAGCGCAGGGGAGTATGCGAATCTGGCGGAATTGCTGCGCAACCACCAGATCCGTTTGCAGTGATACCATATATATGATACCTTGTATACTTGATACTTTAATATGTAACCATTATGTACATTATTCCATAATTGTCCTGTATTTATGACAAATTCTCCAAGAAATACGCATCATACGCAACCTCCCCCTTTGCCCTCGTCGCCCGTCCCACAATCACCCGGTTCGACATCCACCGGTACTTCTCATGTCCTGTCTCCAGTTTGATATGTAGATGGAACCAGTAACTCGCCGGATCAACACCATCGCCTTCCATCAATGCCTTCAGCACTTCGGGGGGTCCAGACCGGGTTCCTTCCGTTCTACACATGCCCATCATTAGCATACACCAAACCCCAAACCCCATTGAATAGATGATAATAGAGTAAAGACTGACCTCACATAAATATACGCCCCATCCTCACTCTTAATCACATAATTCGTATTCACATGCGTCGTCTGGTTTTCTTCCACTAGCCTATCCTCTCAAAGTTAGCCTTCGATCTCAATTCAAGTAATCGATCACCCAGTAAGGTACTATGAATATGGGTAAAGGTATGGGTAAGGTATGGGTACATAAAATCCGCCCCTCCCGGAACAACCTCCCCGACGAGATACTTCCCCCTCACGGTGCCAGACTTGATGGGCACGCAGCGTCGACGGCCGTACGGTCCCGTGCCGATTTCGAGGGGTGGGTCGACGGCACAACGGAGTGTGAATAGGTGGGTTAGGGTTGGGGGTGGGGAGATGGGTTCCATTTTTCTCTTTCTTGTTTTCGGATAGGGTCAATTAGGGGGATTGGTTTGGGAGGGAGAGGGTTGAGGGTGTTTATGTGTGAGGTGGAAGTATAAATGGGGGGTGAGTAGGACTGTTATATGTGTATGTGGTTGTGGTTGTGCGTGGAGTATTCCGGTGGAGCAGAAGTATACTAATGGGAACGGATATCGGCAGTCGGGGTGTGGGGGCCTCGGAGTAAGTTGGTGGTGGTGCTGGTGGATGCTGTAGTGTAGGAAGTTGTCTAGTGCTAAGGAGATTGGAATTCAATTGTGGTAGTACAGTTGATTTTTACTATACAGAGGGTGTTGTCCAGAGTGGTGACATCATGTTTGGTTTGAGTTGAGTGCTGACCATTGGATAGGATATGTTTTGGGACTGGGGATTGGGATAAAGTTGGGGTGCGCCATGAATTTGTACTTATTGTGATTGATGCTTTGGCAGCATGATTACTGAGTCTGAGTCAATGAAAGTGAGGACACAGATACGGGTATATCATTCATTATGGTTTATAATTTCTGTCGTTTGAAAGCAGCTTGCCATAATTCAATGGATATATTAACAGCACACCCTAAACGCCTGCCCAGACTAATTATGCACATAAGCCAGTTTCCAATGACTGGTCTCCGCGTCGAGCGAGACTGCATCGCAGTCTGCTCATCCATCAGGCGGGTATAATGTTACACGCTCGTTTGAAGATCGCATCCGCATGCGCATCCTAGCTCGCGATTCGCCAATAAGGACATGATGACCTTATGATTCCTTCTTCGCTTGACACCGGATAGAATGGATGATGGAGTGTTCGTTTACGCGCCACCGACGAGGACGTTGTTAACGGGGATGTGGACTAGATCCAGTCAGTGTACCGATCTAGCAGGGGTTTAATCCAATGGTAGGGGCAGCATACTCAGCTTGACAATGTAGCCGATGAATCCCATGATCAGGAAACCAGTACCGACAGCCTGGCTGATCTTGATGAACTCGCGCTTGTCGGCTATATAGCAAAACTTATTAGCTTGAAACCAGGAGTTGCTGCACAGAGTAACGGCCAACTCACGCTTCTGGCTGCGGTTGACAAACTGCACGCCATCCCTGAGGAACTCCCGAGGGACGTTGAGGAGCTCTTGCACCTGGTCGGACATTTTGACGAAGCGAAGGAATGGATGCTGAGGTGTCAATGGAGGCGAGGTGAGTTGGGGATGGATGGATGGACGCGAATGGGCCAGCTGTGCTCTTTTGGTGGTCGGCGAATAATGGCGTCGCTCGGTCGGACTCGAAAGGGGCGGATTATCTACCTTCCGAGGTCCTGGCCACGTATCAGTTGGTTGGTCACGGGTGTGGCTGACGGATTTGTGGCACGATCACCAATGTGGCTGGGGAGGGTCCCGGTTTACCCCGGATCGTGTCCCGAGTTGCTCCATTGGGATAGATACTCTTTTCCGATTGTGGAGGGTGCTCGTTCGCACTCTCCAATTCTTCTCTATTTCATCCTCGACTTTACCTGAACGACCCTGCCGTTCAGTTGTGACTTTCAGCTACTAAGGGAAGCAAAGTGCTAGATAGCACCCATCGAGCGACGGTACTAATCCTGACAAACTACTCTCGACTGCTGCTACTTTGGAAGGCGTGTTGACGGCCAACGAAGCAATGTGCTGCACCAGACAGACTTGGCATCGCTCCTTGGAATTGCTGACCAAAAAAAAAAAACAACGGTTGGGGGACACCCTTGATGCGCGTTTTCTATGATCCATCATAATGAGCTCCAGACGCATGTGTTCACAGGCTAAAAGCAGTGCGTATGGCTGCCTGACGCCAACACCCATCGGCTATACACAAGTTATCACTCTCGTCTCTCTGAGGCCTGCAAATTATTATTCACAAGATTGCATAAAGGCAATCTACATTTGACCATGGGTGTTCTGCTAAAAACACATCGCTGTGATCAAATCCCTCAGGTCGGCCTGCATCTCCGCCGGAACAACTACTAGTCTCACCCCGCCTTGCTGCATCCAAATTGCAGCTGGTTGCACTTCCCTATCCGAGCATCGTCTTGCAGGAGCTGAGCTCGGCGATCGACATGATAGTGCATCCTGACCAATTATATCCGCCATGACTACTGAGCTGATAAGCTCTACAGGCTTGATTCGTTCTCATTGTGTCAGCACCAGACCCCGATACAAAATAGTAGTACCTATCAGCCATGGAGTATGCGATATTTAAGATACCCCTCTTGTTAACTCAACAGCAAGCACCAGGGCCAGCCAGTTCAACAGGCACCATGTCTGTCCAAACAGCTTGGGAAGCCTGCGACAAAATCGATACGCTATTCATTCTTGTCTGCTCTGTCTTCTGCTGGCTTATTATCCCGGCTGTCGGGCTCGCCTACTCTGGCTACTCCACTCGTTTCAATAGCATTGCTTCGTTCTATCCCGGCCTTTTGGCGGTCGCCGTCTGCTCGATCCAATGGTGGATGCTGGGGTATTCCCTCGCCTACGGCGAAGGCAATGGCTTCTTTGGGGGCTTCGGCAAAGTGTTTCATATTGGTGTCCTCGCTGAACCGGTCGGCTCGATTCCTGAGATTCTCTTCTCAGAGTTTCAGCTCATCTTTTGCGCGACCGTGTGCGCTATTGCAATCGGAGGAGCTTGTGAGCGCGGACGGCTTCTTCCATTGATTCCATTTATCTTTGTAAGAGCAGTCTCCTCGTCCCTCAACATTTGCTAATTTCTCTAGCTCTGGTGTACATTCATATATGCTCCTCTAGCCCACATGGTCTGGTCGGAGAACGGCTTTCTCGCGAATCTTGGTGCTCTCGACTTTGCTGGAGGCACTCCCGTGCATATTTGCAGCGGTGCCACCGCCACAGCAATGAGTGTATACCTTTCCTACCCCTTGTTTCGGTCGCGACGCTCTCAGATTCGAACCCCGCAGCACCTGTTATTGCATCGGCCACACAACACTTTATGCCAACTGCTAGCCCTGATCATCATATGGAATGCGTGGCTTGCCTTTGACGCGGGAACTACGCTCGCTCTCAACTTCAAGAGTGTCATGACCGCCTGCGTGACGAATCTCTGCGCCTCCTCAGGCGCTCTCACCTGGGCGAGTCTGACCTACTGGGAGACCGGAAAGTGGAGCTTGGACAGTACTTTCTTAGGCGCGATCGCAGGACTCGTTCTAATCACGCCGAGCGCAGGCTTCATCGACATGAGCACGGCAATGGGTTTTGGCGTCCTAGGTGCTGCATGCGGGTACCAAGCTCTCAAAATCAAGTTCACCAAACGAGCGAAGCTTCTGCGCTGGGTCGACAACGGGGACACATTTGCTACACACTGCCTGGGTGGGTTTTTGGGCACGATTGTGACTGGCCTATTTGCGCAACGAGAAGTCGCAGCATACGACGGCGTCACCGACATCGTCGGCGGGTGTTTCTTCGATGGCAACTGGAGACAGCTAGGAATACAAATCGTCGAAGCGCTGATCGGGTTTGTATGGAGCTTTGGGGGAAGCTACATTCTGTATGCCTTGGTGGACTGTGTACCTGGTTTCGAGGTATTGGCGACGGATGAGTACGTGCACTGCCCCTAGCTTATGAACGCAACTAACTTTAGTAGGGACGTGATCGCGGGAATGGACAAATCCCAAATGGGCGAATCTCTGCACGAGGAACAATGGGCTGGAGAAGAAGATTATCATCCCTTCGAGGGAATTCGCTTGTAACATTCCGGTCAGCGCTAGCGCCGTCCAGTCAGAGTAACAACATTATTTTCCATCCTCTATATACCACCATACTGCCAAGAATATAACCTAGTTGAAGACAACAGTCTTGTGTCCGTTGAGCAGGACTCTCCGCTCAGCGAAGTACTTCACGGCCGTAGCCAAGACATTGCTCTCAACGTTGGAACCAGCATGAGTCAACTCCTTGGGGCTCATAGCATGGTTGACACGAACAACGTTCTGCTCAATAATCGGACCCTCATCCAAATCACTGGTGACAAAGTGCGCGGTAGCACCGACAATCTTGACACCGCGGTCGAAAGCCTGGTGGTAAGGCTTAGCACCCTTGAAACTGGGCAAGAAGCTGTGGTGGATGTTGATGATCTTTCCGGACATAGCCTCGCACAGCATAGGCGAAAGAACCTGCATGTAACGGGCCAGAACAACCAGATCGATGTTGTGTTCGCGGATCAGCTCCAAGATGCGTCCCTCCTGCTGGGGCTTGGTGTCGGCGGTGACGGGGAGATGCAAGAAGGGGATGTTGTAGGTAGCAGCCAGGGAAGCGAAATCGGGGTGATTGGAGACGATCAGAGGGATCTCGATGGGGAGCTGGCCGGTCGAGGCGCGGAAGAGGAGGTCGTTGAGACAGTGGCCGATCTTGGAGACCATGATCAGCACGCGGGGCTTGGAGGAGGCGGGGACGAGCTGGAAGGTCATGGTCAGGGACTCGGCGGTGGGCTGGAAGGCGGCGCGCAGGTCGTCGAGGGACTTGGCAGGGGAGGATTCATCCTTGAAGTGCACGCGCATGAAGAAGCGCTGGCTGGTCGGGTCGCCATATTGGCTGCTGTCGATGATGTTGAGGTTTTGTTGCACCAGGTAGGCGGTCACGGCGTGCACGATGCCCGGGCGGTCGGGGCAGGAGAGGGTGAGGATGTAGCTCATTGTGGTGGTTGCTGCTGAGGGATACCGTAATGGTGGAGTGATGTTGAATCAAGCAGTGGGTTGCTCTTAGGAATGACTTCAGTTCCTGACAACGAAGCAGAATTGAATTTCGGCCGTTGGGCGCCCCGCCGCGAAACAGCGAGGATCTTTGCCCGGTTTCGGTCATGATTTGATGACTCAGGCGGGGTGCGGTGATTGATAAGATTAGGGCTTGCCGGTAGGGCTACGCTGCAAGTCACATGGCCTGCACTGGATTTCCTCTTTGGGCTCGTGAGATGGTTGTCCCGGGCGGATTGCCAGATGCACAACGGCATTGTCTCCTGCTTATTGTGGCGGCGCCACCAGACTGCCGGATTGCCATTTTGGTAAAGGGAACGGTCTCCTTCGAGGTCGCTTGTCACGATGGCTTCAAGATTGGGCAACGAGGAAGTCAGTCTACTCTACGTAACCTGCCGGGATGCGGTCCGTATAGCCGTAACATGTCCGTGATCATGGAGTTTTGAGATAGGCAGCATACATTTGCGAAGGTATAAAGAGCTCGATCTTCCCCTATGTTCATCATCACAGCATTCGCATTCATCACAGCAGAACTCAGAAGTCCAAGAACTCAAGCAGTGAATCGCAATGTCTTCCTTTCAAATCTACCGAGCAGCTCTGCTGCTCTCCATTCTTGCCACTGCCAATGCTCAGCAGGTTGGAACCTACACCACTGAGACGCATCCGTCTTTGACCTGGCAAACTTGCACTAGCGATGGCAGTTGCACTACCAATAACGGCGAGGTGGTCATTGATGCCAATTGGCGCTGGGTGCACTCAACCTCCAGCTCCACCAACTGCTACACTGGCAACGAGTGGGACACCTCAATCTGTACCGACGATGTGACCTGCGCCGCGAACTGCGCGCTCGATGGTGCCACTTACGAGGCGACCTACGGTGTGACCACGTCCGGCGACGAGCTGCGCCTGAACTTCGTCACCCAGGGCTCCAGCAAGAACATCGGATCCCGGCTGTACCTCATGAGCGATGACAGTACCTATGAAATGTTCAAGCTCCTCGGCCAGGAGTTCACCTTTGACGTGGACGTGTCCAACCTCCCCTGCGGTCTCAACGGCGCACTGTACTTCGTCGCCATGGACGCTGACGGCGGCACCTCGGAGTACTCTGGCAACAAGGCCGGCGCCAAATACGGTACCGGATACTGCGACTCGCAGTGCCCCCGCGACTTGAAATTCATCAATGGCGAAGCCAACTGCGACGGCTGGGAGCCCTCTAGCAACAACGTCAACACCGGTGTTGGCGACCACGGCTCCTGCTGCCCTGAGATGGATGTCTGGGAAGCGAACAGCATCTCCAACGCCTTCACCGCACACCCATGCGACTCCGCCAGCCAGGTCATGTGCGACGGAGACTCCTGCGGTGGAACTTACAGCGCCAGCGGCGACCGCTACAGCGGCACTTGCGATCCCGACGGCTGCGACTACAACCCCTACCGTCTGGGCAACACGGACTTTTACGGTCCCGGCCTGACCGTCGACACGAACAGCCCATTCACCGTCGTCACCCAGTTCATCACCGACGACGGCACCTCCTCCGGTACCCTGACCGAGATCAAGCGGTTGTACGTGCAGAATGGCGAGGTCATCGCCAACGGCGCCTCCACCTACTCCAGCGTCAACGGCAGCTCGATCACCTCCGCTTTCTGTGAAGCAGAGAAGACTCTGTTTGGCGATGAGAACGTGTTTGACACGCACGGCGGTCTCGCGGGCATGGGCGAGGCTATGGCAAATGGAATGGTCTTGGTCTTGAGTTTGTGGGATGACTACGCCGCTGACATGCTCTGGCTCGACAGCGACTACCCCGTTAACTCGTCGGCCTCGACACCGGGTGTGGCTCGCGGTACTTGTAGCACTGACTCGGGGGTCCCGGCTACTGTGGAGGCGGATTCACCCAATGCGTATGTCACGTACTCGAACATCAAGTTCGGGCCCATTGGCTCGACTTACTCCAGTGGATCTTCCTCGGGGTCGGGGTCTAGCTCCAGCTCGAGCTCTACTACCACGAAGGCGACTTCGACGACCTTGAAGACTACCACGACGACCAGCAGCGGTAGCAGCTCGACCTCGGCGGCGCAGGCATATGGACAGTGTGGCGGACAGGGCTGGACGGGTCCGACCACTTGTGTGAGTGGATACACTTGCACGTATCAGAATGCGTACTACTCGCAGTGTTTGTAGACGGTGCCTGTAGGGGGATGAAGAAGCAGTTGTGGGGGAATTAGTTAGTGAATGGTAGTTAGCACACGTACTACAATTTAGTTAAGATTAGGGAGCAATATGACATGATCACTTGACACCGAATCTACCAACCATTTTCCTTCCAATCACACTACACTATACCAATACTATAATAAATTAACTTCCCGTACCCGACGTTCAACCTAGGCACAAACCAATCAATCATTTGCCCACAACTCAATAGCCCTCTTCCCCTCTCCTCACATATCTGCAGAACATCCGTGCGGAAAGCCTAAAGTAGTGCTAGCTTGACCAGCGCCAATCCCCGACACACCACATGGCTGGACGGGATAATCTCCGCACCCAATGCATGCATCCTCTGCAGGAAGCTTGGCTTCATTTTTCCGTTCCCCCCCTTTCCCGAAGCGATGACGATCCGGTCCTTTCCGGATCAGCAAAGGGGAGAGAGCATGAACCAAATTACCTACAAACCGGTTGGATCTGGGTTTCTTTGCGCACCCGTGACGAATCCGGTCGCCCGTTCTTGTTTAGGAAATGGGCCGATAGGTTTCTGATGGAGTGATATGGATTGTCGGTCCGGATGCCGGGTAGTTGGATAGTATTCTGGCAGAATGTGCGATGGTTGGTGATGGAATGGATATAAATGACTGGTTTCATCTGTTTTGTTCAGATTGGTATGAAGCACAGCCAGAAAAGAGAAACGGATACTGTGTGACAGGGCAAGATGAAGACTCTCTCCCTTGTGGCTGTCCTGCTCGTTCAAGCCTGGACTGCGAGTAGCAGTCTGAGGGCGAAGCGGTCTTCGGGCTTTCAATGTACCTCTTCCTTCTCTACTACTAATTTTGCAGACACATATTGATAAGTGAGCAGGGTTCGGTAGCAACGAATCCGGCGCTGAATTCGGCTCCGGGAATATCCCCGGCACTTTGGGCACGGATTACATCTGGCCTGATGCGACGGCCATCGAGACACTGCATAGTGCGGGGATGAATATCTTTCGCGTGCCGTTTCTCATGGAGCGGTTGGTGCCTGATGAGTTGACTGGTGCGGCGGATGCGACGTATATGGCTGATTTGAAGGCTGTAAGTTACCCTACTGGGTGTAAGATGCGCTGATGTTGATTATTATGGGAATGTGGTGTAGACGGTGCAAACCATTACAGATCTGGGTGCTTACGCCGTGGTTGATCCGCATAACTTTGGGAGATAGTACGTCTTTCCCTTCCTAGCCTCTCATTTGGTATGGAACTAATATCATATGCTATGCAGCTACGGCAGTATCATCACCTCGACCAGCGACTTCGCAGCCTTCTGGACCACCGTAGCCAGCGAGTTCACCGACAACGACCTGGTCATCTTCGATACCAGTACACTACCCTACCTCCCCACAATCTTCAGCAGCAGCATATACTAATAGTGAGATAGACAACGAATTCCACGACGAAGACCAAACCCTCGTCCTCGACCTCAACCAAGCCGCCATCACGGCCATCCGCGCCACCGGCGCCACCACGCAATACATCTTCGTTGAAGGCAACTCCTACACGGGCGCCTGGACCTGGACCACCACCAACACGAATCTCGTCAACCTGACCGACCCAAACGACCATCTCATCTACGAAATGCACCAGTACCTGGACAGCGATGGCTCCGGGACGAGTTCGACGTGCGTCAGCTCGACGATCGGTGCGGAGCGCATTGCTGATGCCACGAGCTGGTTGAGGGAGAATGGGAAGCAGGCGGTGTTGGGAGAGTTTGCGGGCGGCGCGAATAGTGTTTGTGAGGAGGCGATCACGGGCATGTTGGATGCGATGGTGGATGCGAGTGATGTTTGGTTGGGCGGTATGTGGTGGTCTGCTGGACCTTGGTGGGGGGATTATATCTTTTCGTTGGAGCCGGATGATGGCGTTGCGTATGAGTATTATTTGGACGTGTTGGAGGGGTATACTCCTGGTTCATCCTCTTCTTCGGGGGGTACGACTACTACTACCGCTGCGGCAAGTGCGAGTAGCACCTCTGCTGCTGGGAGTGCTACTACGAGCAAGGTGACTACTACCACTGCTACTGCTGCTACTGCTACATCGACGGCTGTGGCTGCGCACTATGCGCAGTGTGGTGGGGAGGGATGGACTGGGGCGACGACTTGTGCGGATGGATATACCTGCACGGTGGAGAATGCGTGGTATTCTCAGTGTTTGTGATGAGTTACTTAGGTATGTATCTCAATGAGCGAGTGAGAATGATAGTATGTGATGTTGTATACCAACTACTGATAGTCTGGAGAGTCTCGGCTAAGCGCGTTCCCGGCCGGCAATGGGAATTGCCGCGGATCAGCCCCGAAGGGTTTATCCATTTCTGCGGGGTGTGATTGGGTGCAGTGAGGCATATGCAGTGAGACAGGGTTAAGGTTATTTTACATTGAGAATCCTGTGCAATTCGCATGATATTGATATGTATTCTCATATTTCCTTCTACTTAGGGATGCTATGGGTATGTTGTGAGTGAGGTAGAGTATGTGTCTTTTCTGGGAAGAGAGTAGAGAGTCTAATTCAATTGTTGTGATTTGACGAAGGCATTTCAGAAACTTTCTGACTCGAAGAATAAATATATTTGAAACAAAAATAAATTGTAGAGGAGTTAGGCATTGGAGTGTGCTGAAATATCTGGAGGATAGGCAGTGCACGTGCCATGCCTCAACATCCACAATGGCAGAACCAGATATCTCTCTTATTGGATAGGGCTGATAGTATAATGGACAGAAGTTGAATATTATCACAATTCAAGTGGTAATTGAACCCTTGATCATACTTGATATTTCTGCTGCATCGGCAACCCCGGATTGCCGGTCGCGGATGCCGGCTCCCCGCATTACCGCATCGGGCGAACTATCGGCTGCGCTTCTCGCCTTCATTCCCGATCGCATCTTTGGCTCTTCCTCTTCATCTTCTCCTGTCTCCAGGGACTATGTTCCGTGCCATTGCTCGTTCATCTCTCTTTTCTACTATTCCTACCAAGCATACCTCCCTCCCTCTCACCCTCACAGCCTCCCTCTTCACCCCTACCGCCCCCGCCAACATGAAGCATCATCTTATGGTCGGTACCTGGACCCCTCCAGGCCGCATCTACACTGTCGCCTTTGACGATGAGGCCCTCACTCTCGACCTCGTCAAGAAGACCGACATCCCGGAGGCTGAGCCCATCTCCTGGATGACTTTCTCGGTAGGCATACCCTTCAATGCGTCCTCCACTGCTCTCTGCTCACTCTCCTCCAGCATGACAAGAAAGCCATCTATGGCGCCGCCATGAAGAAGTGGAACAGCTTCGCCGTCCACAGCCCCACGGAGATTGTCCACCAAGCCTCTCACCCTGTTGCTGGTCACGGTGTGTATACCCTCTCTCTCTCTCCTCTGCCATGGACCTCGCTAATTCCTCAGAACTCGCCGCCAGCGCCGACACCAACACCCGCGCCATCTTCGTCCTCGCCGCCCACAAGCCCCCCTACAACGTCTACGGCAACCCCTTCTACAAATACGCCGGCTACGGCAACGTCTTCTCCGCCGGTCCCGATGGCGCTCTCCTCGAGAACATCCAGAACTACGAGTACGAGCCCAACACCGGTATCCACGGCATGGTCTTTGACCCCACCGAGACCTACCTCTACTCCGCCGATCTCCAGGCCAACAAGATCTGGACACACCTGAAGGACACCGAAACCGGCAAGCTGACTCTGGTCGACTGCATCGAGGCTCCCTCCCCCGATGACCACCCCCGCTGGGTTGAGATGCACCCCAGCGGCAAATACCTGTACGCCCTGATGGAAGCTGGCAACCGTCTGGCCGTGTACGTCATCGACGAGCGCACCCACAAGCCCGTCTTCACCCACATCACATACCCCCTGTTGCCCCAGGGTTTGCCCCCGCGCAACAAGTACCGCGGCGACGTTACCTTCACTACCCGTAGCGGCGAGTACCTCTTTGCCACGACTCGTAGTAACCACTTCGATGTCACGGGATACATCACGGCGTTCAAGCTGGGCCCGAACGGTAACATTGAGAAGCAGCTGTTCATTCACCCTACGTCGACGAGTGGTGGACACTCGAATGCGGTTAGCCCGTGCGACTTTAGCGATGAGTGGTTGGCGCTGTGCGATGACCAGCTTGGATTTGTGGAGATTTACCGCTTCAAGGATGAGACGCTGGCTCGGGTTGCGAGGGTGGATATCCCTGAGAAGGGATTCGGTATGAATGCTATTTGGTATGATTAATGGAAAAGTATATATAGAATGTAAATAGATGATGATATGCTTTATGCCTCTGCAGAGGATATACCAAATTACTGCAAAAGTTCAAAAGTGATAGTACAGGAATCACCAGATGTAACTCTCACACTATAACTGACCACAGAGTAGAACAGTAACCCAGCAGAAAATGTAACAACACCTCAACATAGACTAATACGAATACGTACTCGCTACCACATCTAGGTACACTCAATACTACTATTATCTAACCTACCAGACCAGAGCACTGCTAAGATCCCGCCCTAACTGAACTGACATTCCCTCGCCAGAACAATCCTCCTACAGCTATTAGAGCTTATAATCAAACCTGTACAAAAAATATCTAACAGAAGCGCAAGTATACAAATATAACATATCACAACCTTCCAAGGTACTACTTCGTACTTACTAACTACATTATACAGCGCTGATTATAACAGCAGTGAAGCAATCAATATGCATCAATACCCAATCCCCTCTCCTACACCACGAAACAAATATTAACTCACCCCTCATAAACCCGAACAGGCCCTGAACCACAACCGCCCTCTCAAGGTCCTCACTGAGGAACACATCCAAGTTTCAAGATATAGAATCCCGAATACAAATCCCGATTCACCATACAATCACCCTATAACACAGTATACTAAGGTGTGATATCTGCAAGCAATTAAGTTCCTTGATTCTTGTTCCTTGGCTAGGACTGTGGCCACTGTATACACTACTGGTGATATATCATATTATATCCTATCATACTATTCCTGTCATGATGTCATGCTATGATGTTCTCCACTACGTACCGGCTTGGTCCATTATATATACGTCGCTAACGGCGGCAGGATCCAAGTTCTTACTATTTATTTATACAGAATACGAATAGGACGTCAAATAGCATAGTTCTTGGCTTAGCGGTTAGTGCGTCGACAGTACTATATATACAATAGTAGCAATTGATTCCTCACAAGACCATTAACTAGTAATTGATTCATCAGTAGTTTACACCTCCAAAGTACCGTTACTCCAAGTAACGACTCTGCAAAGTATAGATAGTAGTAGTAATAGTAGTAGTAGTAGTAGTAGTAGTAGTAGTAAAAAACATACTCGCACCGGCTGTATTCTCCGCCCAACCGGGATCCATCCCGACTCGATACTTCAAATTCCCTGCATATGCAGACTGTCGGCAATTGATTGATCAATCGGTCGATCGATCATCAGACCACCGAATGTGATCTATCAATCGAGAAAGAACTATCTATCTAGTCCGGGGTTCGTCCGAAATGCCAGATCCCGATGCAAGTTTACCAAGCTTTTCTAGATCTCTGACGAGTCTAGATCACTGCCAAGTACTTCGTATGATCGTATACGGTTTCACCATGAAACCAACACCCAACTCAGTAATGAAGTGAAATCATTATATTCATGCGCTCGCTCTATGCAACATGCTTTTGATGCAATATATGCGATGTTCATTAATCCCAAAATATAAGGGAAAAGAAAAAGGAAAAAAAAAACAAAGGAAAGATCCACCCACTCCAGCCCAATGCAACCCGAATAACGTATACACCCAGGGGAATCAATCGAAAAAAAAAGTCGAAGGTATCAGTATCAGTGTCAGTATCAGACATGCTCTCTCACCCCCACAGTACTATGTGACGTGCCTCCCGAGGAAGTCTGCGTCACTTCAAACGTCCGATGGATACCTAATCCCATGCCTAATTCCAAATCAGACCCCTCGGGGATTGTTCCATGCGTCCGCTCCGCGTTGCCCGAGGATCCCGTCAGCCGTTCCTCACTGCTGTTCGATGACCCGCCGCGCCAGAGTCGCGTATCGGGGTCCACCTGGCTTTGGATCGTCGTTACGGTCACGGCCAGTTTGTCTGGCCGGAGACGGTTCTGTACGGCGGCTTCGTCGAGCGAGCCTAATGGGTAGGGCCGGTCGTGACTGCGTCCCATGCCGCCGCTTTTGCCGAGCGGGCGCGAGCCGGAGGGACCGGGGAATGGGGATGCATCATAGTTGTCGGCGGTGGAGCCGAGCCATTTGCGGAGAAGGGGGCGGAGGGTGGCGAGACTGCCGGCGGTGATACCTAGGCCGCATTCGATGTTGGACCAGAGGGCGATTTCGACGGTTGCGTCTGGCTGAGTTTAGTAAGGGGTTTGTGTGGGTTTGGATAGAGTGAGAGGCGTACAGAGGTAGTCCCAGTCCGCGAAGGTATGTACCCATGGGATACGGATGATGGTAGCAGAAGAGGCGCTGTTGAGGTTGGTTAGTTTCGTCGGTTATGCTTCGAAGCAGCGAGGTAACATACATGCATGCCATACTCAGAATGCCCACCACAGCCATTTTCGTTTGTTGCTTCATGTGCAACTTGCGCACAAGGAAGATAGGCAAAATGCCGACGGTAAAATCGCACAGTGCTGCGAACCCACTGTATACGTAGGTCATGGCGATAACGATTTGAATGTCCATGCAATGGCCGTGAATATCCGGGTTGAAGGCCTTGCGAGTCCAGAAGTAGGCGAGTGGCTTGCACTGCAGCAACATGATGAGCATGAAGACCATGCCGGCAACGACAGTCAAGACCATGACGGTCCAGAGGATCCAGATATGGAGGCGTCGAACAGTGATGCGCATCAAGAAGATGCAGACGGAGATTTTACAGGCGACGGCCGCAAAACAATATGCGATCTCACAAAACCACCAGTACTATATTCGGCCCAGGTTAGGTTGAATGTAGGAGGGAGGTGAAAGGAATAGGAGTACCGACCTCCATGGCGGTTACACGCTGATGCGCATCCAAGTCTTTGAAACGTCGTCCAGTACCGTATATACTGCCTCCAATCATGCATCCCGAGAACATGGCGTAGAAGCCCTAGATATGCTGCTGATTAGAACACCATGCGTTGGAGTCAATACAGGATTAGACGTACCATGGCCACCACCATGGCCCAGTCATCCCAGCCGAAGGCTCGCACGATCCATCCGCGCACATAACATCGTAGTATGACAGTCACACACGCAACTGACATAAAGGCGGCCGCAACCGCCTTGACCTCGAGGCTGCGGTCATCCTTAGCCATGCTACAGACGCAGTCGAGGCAAGTCCATGAAAGCTCAGCTCAGCTCCCGCGGGGTGGGGATGACCCAATATATGAGAAGGCCCGAAATGCCGGGGAGGTCCAGAACCAGTACCGGGACTAGCAGTAAACACGAAGCTAATCGCGTCGGATCCCAAACGGTGCAGGACTAGTCGGGTCGCAGATGCTCATCCGTCCTCTGCCAGGAGACGGTGATGGGCTTGTGCGCACTCCTAAAAGAGAAGGCGATCTACGTAGGACTAACTTGAGCCAGGCGAGTTGAGCAGGCTCGCTTAGTTGGACTGCAGGAAGTGTCAATTTGTTTCTACTTTTGCAGATGTTGGACCGTGTCCACGGTCCAGTATATTTGCGGTGGATTCAGGGCTGGCAGGCCGTTGTTGGGTCTTGTTTGTCGATGGGAGACGTGAGCGGACTCCCTTTGAGTCAGGGCCCGTCTGCGAATGGCTTCTGATTCTTTAAGCGTGTTTGCGATTAGTCTGAATTTGGAGGTGGAGGAGATGCTGCTCCAGCCTGTCGGTAGTTTCAGTGCATCAGCGAGCGACGATTGGGTGCGTGGTGCTGTCGATCCACTTCGGTCGGATTTGCCACCAGGAAAGGAAGCATCCCCGACGGACGAGTCAGGGACGGTGCAGAAATTTTATACTCTATCGGGACAGGGGCCGTCCCTCTCTAACTGTCATGGGCAGAGAGTCCCCGAATGCGAGGGGTAGAACCATGGATGGTAGGGAGTTTAGGTTGTTGGTTTGGCATCTGGGAGTTGCTGTGGTTGCGGTGGATTGAATCCAGGGGCTGGGAAGAAGAGGGAACCGCGTTGCTTAACCGACGCGTTCCCAAATAGAAGTACAAGAAAACAGTATGAGAAGGAGAAAAAAACCCCTCCAACTTTCCAGGAGTTACTGTCCAAATAATTCAGACATCTTGTGTAGCGAAATCCCCGCCCCGTCAGAGATTGACAACCTCACGACTGAAGCAGATCCTCTGCTATTTAGGAAAAAAGAGGGCTTCACCGGGTCTCCTTCGCCGGCACGGAAGCCCATCCGGAGGGTGGGGATAGCCCGCCTCGAGGCACGGATGGCAAACAACAAATTGAATGAATGCAAATAATGTGTTATGAAATCTCCAGCGGCTGTCCAGCCATCAAAAGGAATTGCCACTATTGACTGTCGCTCAGATCCAATGCGGCATGCATCAATAGCCGGCTTCTCAAACGGTGTTGAATGCTCTGTGTGGATCCCTTCAGTATGTTTTGATTCTGACACTGAGCCATATCGACCACTCATGCCAGAAACCATTCATTTCAATCCGGTCAAATTGATGCCAACCATTAGTTAGCCCGACGGAATACGGGCTTGACTCCGACTGCAGGATGCAGGATCATCTCAGTGAGCAATCTTACTGCTCCTGCATAGGCCCCTCCCCCCTCCTCCCTCCTTTTTGTGCAGGTCCCAGGCGGACGGTAGCCTCTTCACTTTCTTTTCCCTTTTGGAGGAAAGTCGCGGACGCTAAAATGCCTGGCACAGGAACACTAAGCGGATCTAACATGGTCGATGGAGCGATTGATAGAACGCAAGAGCAGTCGACTAGCAGCACACTGCAGACAGCAGGCCCGCATGCCGAAGTGTAATTTAAATTGGCGTTAATTTTAGAAAGAAGTCCCCGAGCTGATCCCCAGTCAAGGCCATTGTTCCCTCTGAGTCTGGCATGTGAGCCCGACCCAGAAAAGATAACAGCAAAATAATACCGACACATATATGGGGACCACATTGCGTGGACCTTCTTTGACTGCTGGCTGACGTTGGTCCCCGACGGAGGAAGGACCTGTCACCAAGAGATCCAGTTTGGCCGTTTCACCATCGACAGGCCATGAGGTGTCCCAACGTAATCCTCATCTCAGTGGCACACAGGCGTGCGTAGGAAAGGACCATCTTGCCACATGGAAGCCATTCGTCCGAGCGCGTCCGCAGCACGTGGCGGATTTTCCAATTCAAAAAAGAAACGACCAAGACGATTGACTGCGATAGATCAGATGCTGTCACTATCCGAGTTCCACCGCACACAAAACAGCCGACCAGCAACAAGCAAACAAAATTAAATCCAAATGCTTCTCACGGATTCGTAGCCCTCGCAAGTCTGCGGAAGCCCGGCAACGTACTAAACCAGGGTTGTTCTGCAATCTCCGTCGATCGGAAACCGTTTCCAGAAAAGCAAAAGTCCCTCGCAGCTCGCCACACACACAAACAAGCAAACAAACAGTAAGCGATGGTGCAGCAGGAACTCCTTTCCCCCCTGAAGTCCGCCTGTAATAATTGCTTTTTTGATTTTCGTCTTTATCTCGGCACGTGCAACGGACAGGGACTGGCGGGATGGTTGGCATTCCTAGAACATTCCTGATCGGCTACTTAGTGCCTGTCTTGCTTTTTCTGCTTTGGAGACTAGTCTTCTGAGTTCTGACTGGTTTTCTTCAAGGGATCCCTAGTGACTAGCCAGGCTAAATTTTCGTATCCCTGCAAGGAGAAGACGGCTAGGATGAACCCATTCCCGCTGTTATAGCACGGTTAGGAGAACTTTCTGCAGCATTAGCATCCCCTGAGGACGGCTCACGTTGAGAAGCTAGCGACGGACTGCCGTCTAAGTCTGCATGTTCGCGATCCAAGTACTCTGTCTGTCAGCCGTCTTTGAGCGAAGCTCATAGCTGTCTCCGATGACGGCTCGCAGGACCCTTTTCGAACTCTCCACTGCTTGATGCCCAACAGAGTATTATTATAATGTCATCCGGATATCCCCTCACCAGGAAATTCAATGTGCTCAAGCCCAAGTACCATCTAAACCTGGTTAGCATCAGTTAGTCTACGGACAGTCGGTCTGCCTATGGCCCAGGCTGGCCGGAGTGACCTACACCGACCAGGTGCAAATCAATGCCAAAGATACAACGACTTTACAAATCGCGCCTGGCTCTGTTGGTACACCTCGTTTTTCCGTTCATCCGATGTCCAGAAGTTTCAAGACCATGATGTTTCACGCATTTGTCAAACGATCAAGTTTCGTACAGCAGGTGACTGTTCGAGTGGCAATTTGTGAAATCAACATCGATGACCAGACTGCCAAGTCAGCAGATGTCTGAATACTTGAAGTCACGACACTGTCCTGCATGTACTCATCATACCGATGGCTGCATACCCGGGCTACTCAACCCATCAATTGCTTTAATCGCATCCAATGGAGGCATGGGTTCATTGCAATTGGAACCTCGTCTAAACTTAGTGTACAGCCTCGTGTAAACTTCACGTAGGCACGGGCAACTACCCTCGGTCGGCCCTGAGTTTTAGGAGTATATTCATGCCGCGGCGTTGATACTTAAAAGGGGATATCATGCCATCAATCGTACGATTGTTGACCGCTGCTCTACGCACAGGCATAATGCTCCGATCAAGGAATAGTGAATCCCTCCTAGACAACATGTTCCTTTCTCGTCGCAGGGAACACCTTCATCGTCACTACTGACGACTATCGAACATTACCCGAAGATCTTTGGTTATTGCGTAGCACTGGCGTCTGGTATTCTGCTCTATGGGTATGATTTAGTTATCGTGGGAAATGTTTCCGCTATGCCTGAGTTCCAGTAAGCACTGTTTCGAGTTGTGTCTTCGTAGCATCTCTGACCTCGCCAGACGCGATTTCGGCCGCCGATTGAACGGCGCACTCATCATCCCGTCTTTTTGGCTGAGCCTATGGGACGTGGCTAGCCCCCTTGGCGGTCTCTTTGGCGCTATAGCCGCAGGGCAGTTACAAGATCGTGCCGGACGTCGCTTTTGCTTAGCCTTTGCAGCTATATTGTCGGTAGCTGCAGTCGCAGTCGCGTATGTATCGAACATCCCGAACGATATAGACGCCCGCCGAGCAGTCTTTCTGATCGCAAAGCTTGTGCAAGGTCTCGCTGTTCATATGATCACATGCACAACCCAAACATATATGTCTGAGATCTTGCCTCCCGTGCTGCGAGGCCCCTTGCTGGCCTTCTTTCCGATATTCATCCTCCTGGGTCCATGGATGGGCAGTGTAGTAGTGTACAAGTCTCTAGATATTGCGGGAAGCCGGGGATATAAGAATTGCTTCATCTCCCAGTGGCCGTTCTCCGCATTGTCTCTGCTAGTTGCAGCTATTCTCCCCGAAAGCCCGACGTAGCTCATTCGAAAAGATCGAATAAATGCCGCTCACAAATCATTGCGACGACTTGATGCCGGCCGTATCGAGTTGCAAAACCGTTTCGAGCAACTACGGTCATTCATTGAAAAAGAGGATCGAGACGCAGCAAGCAAGGCGATTGGGTACCGTGACTGCTTCAGAGGCGTCGACCGGCGGCGTACCATGATTGTCCTGTTTGCAAACCTCATCCCTTCATTTTTCGGTCTACCCTTATTATCTAAGACTAAGTATTTTCTGCAGTTAGTCGGCATGGAGCACCACAGGAGCTTTCTGTTTCTACAAGCTGGAATTGGATTGGGCTGGCAGCTAACCTTATCAGCATGCAGACCTTGTCTAGATTTGGCCGTGTGCCTTTGATTACTGTCAGCTTAAGCGTCTCGACCCTCGCTTGGATGGGTATGGGGATTGCCGACTGCTTTCCAGGAACGATTAGCGTTTGGTAAGTTGTCTGGAAATGATATGCAATAACCGAGGCTAATGGTTGTTCAGGTACACGGGAATCATACTAGTCACGGTAATCGCGGCCTGCGGTATTGGTGCATGGCCAGCATCCTACGCTGTCGGTGGAGAGGCATCGTCTCTGCGGCTTCGGGCCAAGTCCCAAGGTTTGGGCTGGTTCGTTTCCGGACTCACCAGCGTCGATTTCAACCTCATTTTACCGTACATCTTCAACCCTGATCGGGGGGCCCTACGCGGTAAGACCGGGTTTGTATGTGCGGGCTTCTCGGCCATTGCCCTCGTGGGAGCATGGCTTTACGTGCCAAAGATGAAAGATCGGACGCCTAGCGAGATTGACGATATGTTTGAAGCAGTCGTACCTGCACGGCAGTTCAGGATGTGGTCCCTACTGATTGCTGATCCACTTTCTTCGGATCGTTCCCCACAAGCATGACTAGCCGACGCAGGCAACCAATCCACCGGCGCGTCAGTCGAGTACGAAATTTGTTCAGCCCGAGCTGTTCCTGGGTGAGAGCCTTTTAGGAGCAGATCGACAGAAAGCCCACTCGATGGATCTTCTTCTCGGCTCGAGCCAGAATGCACGGCTAAGGACAGCCTTAGAGAAAGACGCGCCAAGCCATGGCAGCCTGTAGTACAGCAGTTTTAGAGGTTGGAAGAACGATCTGAAGGCCATTTGCGAAGACGTATGGAACAAAGGAATATGAAACGGTCACACAGAACCATAATCAACGGCTGTCAGAACAAACCCACTTAAGCAAAACCCGTATGATCATGAGCTACAAAATGTCATTTGACATGTGTCATTTCGTAATTTGAACTAGATACAGGAAGTCATAAATGAAATCTACTAGCCTTATTGTTTCGTATATAGCGTTTCTGTGGGCCTCACAACGGCGGCACGGAATGCGCGGGCACTGTGAAACGAGGTTTGGGGCAGAGTCCATGGACGGATAGCTTGGGCTCGTCATTCCCCGAACGAAGTCCGTGAAATCAGTGGGGTGATACTTCGCATCTTGGTGAAGCAGCGTTGGTCGGCACGCTGCTGGTAGGTCGAGCTCTGATGAAAAGGAGTCTCGGCAAGAGTGTGGGCTTTTGGTCGCGTCATAGAATGAGATTCGCGGGCAAACCGACGGGCTGCCATGGAACACAACCCATGTACAGGCACATATACCGTGTGAAGAGGCCGATCATCCCTGAGCTTCAGCAGCAGCCTGAATGGCCTTCTTCTTGCCCTTCCTGTAGACACGCTCATCGTTCGGATCGAAGCCTCCGTTACCCCACAGCGCCCAGTCCTCGGTTTCTCTCATATAGTCCTCCGGCGTGAACGAGGTACCGTCGGCCTTCTCCTTCTCCAAGAGCTGGAAGAACCTATCGTAATCGATCCGGGAATGCCACTTGCCATTGACGTGGAACCGCTCGGACGCGATGAGCGCGCAACAACTGTGAGCATGCTCGGCGGCAATACCATACTTCAGACCACGGCGCTCTAGTTCTGCGTTGAGAGAAGTGACAAACTGCTGGATTTCTTCATAGAAAGGAACATTCTGCATTGTCAGTCCAGCTCCGGCGCTGGTACTGGTACCACAGTAAGTCACGCCTTTGATTTCAATAAAGCAGGGCAGAGCCTTCTCAACCAGGTTGGCATATCCAATCACTTCATCGTCAATGTTGAATCCCTTGACCAGCGTAAGACGGAAGACCGTCCGCTGGTAATGACGCTTTTCCCGGAGGATATCCAAGCAGCGCTGAAAACGTTCCCAGAAGTCGCGGTGCAGAGGCCGATCGATCTTACGTAGGCTCTCGCGGTTGCTAGCATCGATGGAGACATAGAGTTGCGTCACCCGATGCAACGTTTCAAGCTGGTCAGGGTGTTGGGCGTTGCAGACAAGGAAACTGGAGATATGTTCGCTGTGCAACATGTCCAGGAAACGATTAATATGGGGATAGAAGATCGGCTCGCCAACCAAGCTGAGAGCACAGTGACGGATCCGCATAGCCTCGGCGAATCGCTCCGCACGCACACCCGGAACACCACGCATCATCTTGATCTTCTTGTAATGACCTTCCTTGACTCCATTGAAAATGAGTTCCGGATCATCCACCTTCCACCGCCAAGTGGTACCGACAGGATTGGTACCATGACGCCAGCAGAAGATACATTTGTTGCTGCAAGAAAGCGAAGGAGTTGCCTCCATGCACAGGTGAGAGCGAATACCGTAAAATGAGAACTTATAACAGGAGCCACGACCACGCAGGGCGGACTTGGTCCAACGACAGATCTTGACGCCAGAGTGCGAACCAACAATGGTGTATCCTTGCTTAGTCAGAGAGGCATAGGTGGGCGAGGTCTTGGGCACCATCTCTTTCTCAGTGGCGGGCGCAGGAGTCTTTCCACCCGTAGTGAAATCCACTGGAATAGGGGATCCGGATGCAGCGTCCGAGCTGAATTTGATATCTTCCAGATCGACCACCGACTGGTTCTTGTTCCTCTTCCGACCGTTTGCCTTGTCGGAGTCCGAACCTTCGTCGTCCAAATCCTCCTCATCACTTTCGAGCGGATCACCACTACCAGGGACACCTTCACCTAGGCCGCCATTTTCGACAATATCACCGAGAATATCCTGTAGGCCGCGGGACCATTCCTTCAAGGCCGAGTCTGCATCGCTCTTGACATCTCCAAAACCAAGAGGGTAGGCCCTCTTCCTGCCTGTAAGTTTCGCCATCCAGCGATCCAGTTCCTTGGCCTGTGAGCAGAAACCTTCCTCTTCGGTAGGCCATCCTTCCCTGTCGCCAAACCCGAAGACAGAATAGCCAGCGAGACCAGACAGAGGTGCAGTATCAATGCGGAAGTCATGATGAGTTTCATCGAGGTGGCCGAGGAAGGTGTTCAAAATGGTATCGATGTTGTAAGTCGGGATCAGCATGCAATAGACATAGCGTGTTCCTGGCGAAGTCGAAGGGGGCTTCGGGGCGCTGATGAAGTAGTCGTCGAAATCGACATAGGACAGGTCGTGAATCTGGGGGGGAAGGAGGCCTCGTTCCCGACTTTCAGGATCGGCCCGATCGCGCGCAGCAGCACGCAAATCTTCCAGCAAGACTTGGGCATATCTCTCGGTGTTTGCGGTCAACGAAGCGAAGAAGATGATAGGTTGAATGAAGGAGACAGGGGGTTCCTGGTCAGAACCTCTACGCCGACCAGCAACCTTTAGCGGCTTCTTTCCTGTGACCCGCTTCGGACCGGCCTGCTTTTGCGACGCGTCCTTCTCCACGACCGAGGGCTGTGAGTCGGCTTTTACATCCTTCTCCGTAGACTGGCTGATGGTCTTTTCACGTTTTTCCGGGGAATGGCTGCGAGGCGACGACGGGATGGAGGAAGCAGTAGCAATCTTGGACTTGGGCTGCAGCTTACGATAAGCGCGGACGAGAACGACAAGGGTAGCGAGAGCGAGGAGGAGAGGCAAGCGGTAGGAATGCCAAAAGGCCAAAAGACCTAAGATGAACTGTCAGTACTTGTGAGGTAGCAGAGAACGAGCAAACTACCTTCGTTTGCAGATGCGTCCATGTTGAGTGTATTAAAACGAGCAAACGAATTCCGTGGGACAGTGGAGGGATCTGAGACCCCTTGTGGCCGCGTGAAGACTCAAAGAGGCGGGCCAGATAGAGACTATGGGCGGGGGAGCACTGGGTGAACTAGTAGTAGTGAGAGGGGTTGACGAAGTCCTGGGGACACATCGCAGTAACCGACTGAATCGGTACTTGGACGAAGGCGAGTCGCAAGGACCGAAAATGATGAGACTAACACAGTCCAGACCCTTCTCTGGAGATAGAGGTCAATGCTATGTAGTAAGTAGTTCTGGGGTAGGATGGATGAACTTCCTCGGGATTTTCGAGGAAATTTTTGGCTCCAGCGGCGAGGCCTCTGATTGGCTCCCGCACTGAACTGCCTGTTAAGGAAGGTACTTTGGCAGACGGGAGTGTGTTCAAAAGTCTGAGCCAAAGAGATCCTGTAACGAGAATAGTTTAAATAATATATAATATTATTTCTAATACGATTTGATTACAGGTTTGGCTTGGTTTCAAATAAGGGTTCCAATAAGAAAGGAAGAGTAAGATGTGGTGACACCAATTTCCGGAATTCCTGTATTAGAGTAGCCGGATGGTTGCCCTTTATTAATAATATATATGTGTGTATTGGCACAAATTGTTCTTGATAGTGTCAATGTTTCTCATTCGTAGTTCTACAAGATGTGATCTTATTGGTTATTTCTGAAAACAGGAGATTCTACATACAAGTTCAATATCAATGATATGCACTGATAACTGCTAAATCATAGAATAGCTAATCCACGATAGATGGTTGGACCGCTGGATATGGTAGTAGTTCTAACCGAATTTGGCTATAGGAGGAGAAAGTGACACTATCAAACAAAGCTCGTGTTGTGGGAAAAGAGGCTGTCTAGCTACGTGACATACAAATCATCACTCAGATTGATTTGCAACCAATTCCCATTGTTACTGGGTAAGGTCGGTATCTGAAGATTCATTATCAGCAGAATATAGTGTCAATTCAAAACATCACTAAGCTATTCTCCTCAACCGGGGAAATTCGCCCCCCCCCCCCCCCCCCCCCCTCCCCATATTTCTGCCCATCGCAAGCATACCTTGCTGACAGTATTCACACAAGGTATACCAGGCTTTGTAGAGTATCAGAAGATTTCTTATCAAGTAAACCTCTTTGCAGCTATAATACATCACTCTCCATTTTCCTAGCCTCTTTAAGCTAATCTTTCTCAAGGTATATTCATATGAAACTTGCCATGCTTCGAAATATTTCCTTAGCTTTCTTCAAGCTTCCGTGCCTCGCCGGATATTCATGCAAGCATGCCCTTCAAGAAAATGAGGATGATTCTCACCAAATATTTCTCCATGCAGCTCCAAAAATAAGTGTATCAATTCCTTACCCCCCTTAGACTTGCGCGTGCGGTACCTCACCACAAGGATTGCTATGCGTTCACACACTTCGACCCATATATTCTCGGCATCTTTAAGCTTGCCTTGCTCGCGGTATACTGACACAAGATTTGCCATGTTTTGAAATACTTGGTCCAACATTTCTATGGCTTCCATATGCCTGCCTTGCTGACCGTAAATGGACCCGAGTTTCACCATACTTTGAAGAGTGCTGGGATGTTTCTCACCAAGTACTTCTTTTTGCAGCTGTAACACTTCATCTCCTAGCTTCCCAGCCTCATCTAGCCTGCGTTGCTGACAGTAAATTGACACGAGGTTTACCATGCTTTGAAGAGTACTGGGATGTTTCTCACCAAGTACTTCTTTTTGCAGCTGTAACACTTTATCTTGTAGTTTCTGAGCCTCATCGAGCATGCCTTGTCCACAGTAAATTGAAATAAGATTTACCATACTCTGAAGAGTGCTGGGATCTCTCTCATCAAGTACTTCTTGTTGCAGCTGTAACATTTTATCTTTTAGTGTCCCAGCCTCATCAAGTTTGTCTTGCTGCAAATAATTTGACATGAGGTTTGTCATGCTCTGAAGAGTACTGGGATGTTTCTCACCAAGTACTTCTTGTTGCAGCTGTAATACTTTATTCCCTAGTTTTTCAGCCTCATCAAGCCTGTTTTGCCAATGGTAAATTGACATGAGATTTGCCATGCTTTGAAGAGTGCTGGGATGTTTTTTACCAAGTACTTTTTGTTGCAGCTGTAATACTTCATCTCCTAAGTGCCCAGCCTTGATTAGTTCGGCATGCTGAGGTCGATGGGGGCTGGGATATCGACGTTCATAACGAAAACTGGAAAGTTTCTCAGCAAGTCTTTCTCCCTATATCTGCGGTACTTCAATTGCGATTGGATCAACCTACATTGGTCGACTCTGCTCACTGTATAGCTGTACGAGACTGGCCATTCCTTCAAGAACATGGGGGTGCGTTTTACCAAGCTTCTGCCGCCGTAATTCCAGTACCCTGATCGCAAAGGCATCTGCAGGTATAGGATCGCGTCCCGAAATCTGTCGTGGTCTTCTGAGGCCTTTCGGCAAACACAACATTTCCTGTAATGTATGTTCGATGGCGGAGAGCTGGTATCTGGGATTTCTCTCTTTGCATATTACCCCTAATACGTCGATATATATATCTTCCACTGATAGATTGTAGTTCGCCTGGACTGAGTTTTCTGAAGTAAGACCAAGCAGTGCATACACTCTATCCCTTATATCTGAACTTTTATGCCTTCCATATGTCATCAGCAAGTCCGAGAGGGGTAAGTGCTGGTCATTTTGAGGAAGACTGTCCCAGAGCATTTTCTGCGCGATCATCACCGAACCTGTACATTTTGAGATACCTAAAGAATCATGGTACACGACATGGGTTTTTATCTCCTGGCGAAGAGATGCTAACTGATGCCAACTAAAGCTTTTTGTGCCGCAGTAAAGCATGACATCCTTTGCAAGCATGAGCTCTTGGACAATCCATATTCGACTCCAATATGGTTGCTCTAGTAGACTTTGTAATGCTTTCTCCAAGGCTGATTTGGTTTCTTGAGCTGGTAAACCTGGATTTGCAATATATTCAATAGCGAGGTCACTGGAATCAGTGGCTTGGCCTAGCCATACCACCGTAAGTTCTGCTCCGGCATATATATCCCTCATCATGTTGACTTGGTGATTCCGCTCCGAAATACTGGACTGATCGATACATATTGCGTCAATCCAGAAGAGCTGCCATCTCCGGCATAAGTTCATGGTATTCAAAAAGTTCCAAAGATTTCCTTGCACGTGAAACTCCATATCATCCAAATCAATTAGTTGCCTGTTTTGCGAAGAACCCCAGGTATATGATAAAGCAACGTAAGATGGACAGCAGGTTCGGTCGACAACATGTAGTTTGCAGCGAACTGTTTCAGACGGTGAAGATGGCAGTAATTTAAGAAGCCTAATACATTTAGAGGACGGATCCAAAGGAGAATAGGTGAAAGCTTGCGCCATTTGACAGATGTAAAAAATCGCTTTGTAGTTCGTACTAAGCTGGTTGAACTTGTAATACTTGTGATAAATTGACCCAGCACTTGCAAGATGATTCTTCGTTAACTATTTATCCAGTCTAGTTATCTAGTTAGGCTGACAACATCCTAGCCTCACAGCCACATGATGACGTGGTCGGGCACCCACATGAACTGCAACAGTGTCAGATGGTCAGACCGAAGTCGAAAAGAGTAACCAAATCAGAGTTGAAGAAATTCTGATATTGGAAGAGAACTAATACAATATAAACTTTTATATTAGTGTCAAACAATCTAACTTATATGGCCTCTGGGCCGATACCTGTATGCATGCCCACATAGAATACCAGCGTTTGGAGGGAACTCCGGCATTCATGGGTCCGATAAGCAAATCATCCTCCGAACAGAAATAACCCCTTCGGATGGCCACAGAAGTGCTACAGTTAATGAGCCATGCTAACAAAGCCTAATTGACTATCGTTAACATCGACATACCACAGACTCCTTATTCCACTGGGCTTTGTATTATACGTGAATTGACATTCTAATCTGTGTTGCTGACATTACCAAGATATGGCCATATAGATGTGTGTCGCCAAATGCGATCCCATTACCACTGTAGTTCATGCGCTGACATTCTGGTCTTCAACTCAGAGCTTTCGCTGTTACCTCTCAATCTGCTCAATCAGAGTCTCTTTCTAGTATGACATAACTGTTATTTCTTCAACAAGTCGTCAATGTACCAAAGAAACCTCCATAATAGTACAGTATCTATGAAGCATTTAGTGTAAATCGTTGGCACATCGGGATACGCATCCTCGCTGTATGTAGCACTGAGGCTGACACTACCCAAAACCGATCCATCTTCCGACTGCGTCCAGGTGACAACTGTGTGATCAATGTCCTTTACCCAGAAACATTTACCAAGCGTTTTGCGTCGACCATCAATAATCATCAAAACCACTCCAGTAACCAAAGCACAGGTTGAGCACATTCCCAGTGACGTTCATGTTTGGCCAGCGTGGAGCCTCATTCGAGATGACCAAGTCCATTCTCATAGCTGCCTTTCTTGCCCCGTTATGGCTTGGAGGTTCGTAGTGAGAATGTACCGATTATCGCCAGACATACCGAAACTGTCATTATTCGCGACGGCGAGTAGGTAGCAGAGGAGGCGGAGGAGTAGTGTGCTTACAGTGTTCTTAATACTCTCAATCCTAGCACTTCAGAACAGTGTTGCGAACATACAGGTGGAGGAGATGAACAGTTTGCACCGGATGACGAAGCAGGTGACGGAGGTGGAGGAGGCTGACAGTGTCACCAATACTTCCAATCTTAGCACCCCATAAAAGTGCTTCCAACATACAAATAAAGAAGGCTATTGAGCGCCTGATGAAGATGTAGGGGTGACGGAGGTGGAGGCGGCCTCCATGATTTGTTCGGTAGATGCCGACAATATTGACCAACGCATATGCACTTTAGGAGTTCTAGTTGATAGGCGTATGTATGGTTCTCCCAAACCACGCACATCTCGCCTACCCTTAGCAATGATAGCATTTGACGATATCCATATGATGCTCGAGGTAGTAAAATCACTATGCTGTGCAGGGGAAAGCTTCTGCAATTTACAGATATGGTCACTTCGGGCTTGCTCATGGTAAATCATGAAGTACCCACCTATCAGTAAAGAGCGAAAAGTGCATCGAAACCGAATACATCTTAGAAATGGAAGAGTGACTGCTGGCAGGCCTTTCATCTGATGCTTCTAAGTTTCCTTTGGTATGGTATAGCTTCCGGCTGGTGACGTGAATGGGCAAGCGCCAAGAGTATGATTCAATACTGACAAGTAGTAGCAGGCCATACCCCATAAGCCCCTCTGAGATGAAATTGACTCACTTACTGTTTTTCAGGTGCGAGCTTTTCGGCATTGCAAATTCAAAATGGCACCAGCAGTGGAATCGTAAGTGGGCAGTCATTATTTGTTGATTTACTACTCGAAATTAACATACGACCTAGCTCCAACACGAAATCCCAGAATGACAGTCGAAAGACGAACAAAGAGAAACCAGTGCATGACATCCACAAGGGAGAGCATGTACGGAAGGCCTCTAAGTCATACCCATTTACTAGTAAATGTTTAACACTGATCTAGCATGAATCAGGCTCAGGCACCCCCCAACAGATCTCTAATCCCCCTGTGGTCGTCAGACCAGATGAGTTCGATTACTTGCACGGTAGGATCTCTGATTGAAGAGGTTATAGTATATACTGAATACAGCGGTAGCCGCTCCTGGCGCTTTTAAGTGCGCTTTATGTCGACAGTGGCATACGAAGCGATGTCCGTGGTTGATCAACTATTAAAGTAGCCTTATTGATACATTGCTCGCTTACGTGACGTTGGTCCTCTTGAGGGGTGCCCAGTTTGATGTCAAGGCTAGTAGTTTAATGATTGTTTGTTGTCAACTGCCATGGCAATTCCCCGGCTATCTCTACGTACAAGGGATGTTTTGTGCAATGATACAAGTAGTCCGAGAAACCCAAATTCAGGACAACTCGTCCTCAACCGGGAGCGCCCCCTCCGCCTGCATCTGAAGGGCAACCTGATCCACATCTCTCCACACCCGCAGCAGGTTCCCGCCAGCAACTTTGCCTGCATCCTCGTCACTAACTCCGCGTCTCAACAGCTCAGCGATCAAATCCGGATACTTAGACACATCCTCAAGACCGCGTGGAACAGTAGGTATACCGTCAAAATCGCTTCCCAATCCAACATGATCGAATCCAATCAAATTTCCAATGTACATGATGTGGTCCACCACGTGCTCCAGAGTTGCATGCTCTGGATCAAAATCAGGCAGGCCATTCGGATCGTCAGAAGCAGTACACGAAATAAAGTCCGGGGAAAAGTTGACCATCACAATCGAGTTACGGGTTTTGATCAGCTCCAGAACATCATCCGGGACGTTGCGGGGATGGGGGCAGACTGCGTACGCAGAGCTGTGACTGAACATCACAGGAGCACGGCTACCAGCCCAATCATCTTTTCCAGCACCCAAGACATCGCGCATAGTTTCCACACTAACGTGGGACAAGTCGACTATCATTCCGAGCCTGTTCATCTCAAAGACAAGATCCTTACCGGCCTCGCTCACTCCGTGCCAGACCGGGTCTGCCTTCTTGATGCCGCCGGGTATTTCGACGAGCGCTGCATCAGCATAGCGATTGTGGCAGTTATGAGTGAGAGTTGCATATGCCACGCCGCGATCATAGAAGTTTCGCAAGTGAGCTAGGGAATTCCCGATCGAATGAAGGCCCTCCATCCCAAGCGGGGAAATGATCTTTCCTTCCTTGAAGGCTTGAAGGGCAGTCGTCCCATTGGGTGGCTCAGAAAAGACATTGGGGTAGGCTTGTTGCAGGCGCAACATGACATCTACCTGTTCGATAGTCTGGCGGACACCTGGATAAATAATATTAGCAAGAGTAAGAAACGCACGGAGGTATCGTTACTATCGTACTCGTTGCATAGGTTGCGTCGGAGAAATCGCTCCAATTCTTCGGACACTCCACAAAGACACTCCAGAAGGTGCCGCCTACTTTGCCCTCAGCGAGGCGTGGCAGATCGACATGCCCCAGCAAATTGCCATCGGTGAAGGGGATTTTGAAATCATCGCTGTAGATGTGATTTCCGAAAATTTCGCGGATGAAGATGGGTAGATCATCGTGGCCGTCTGTGGTCGTTAGATAAGGCAATTGTAGGCATTACAAACCAAGCTACTCACCTATCAACGGGGTCTCCGAGAGAATTTTGTCCACTCGCGACTGTGCGGGTTTTGGGTGAGTGCATCGGCGCGCATTGGTCAAAGTGACCAAAAAGCACGCAAGAACAAAGGTCAGAAGCACGCGTCCCATGTTGCGCGCCAGAGAAGAGTGAGGTTTTGGCTTCGCATCTGAGGTTGCGTAGCCGCGCGACGACTCCAGATCTAGTTTGGAATCCATTGTGCGAAGGAAGGAGGGGTTGTGTAACCCGCGCTTTCCCGGCGTAGCGAGCGATATGTGTTGATATTGAAATGGCGGAAGGGGATGGAGATGGATGAAGCTCGTTGTTATCGCCGGGGAGATAACCGGACTCCGATGAGTCAACTTGCGTAGTTATAGTTAACTAACTAGCAGCTGCAGGATTCAGGCTTAGCTCACGGAATATTGATAAGCGACCGATCACATCATGTTCTGCTAGACGAACAGCAGCATATCAGAACCAATGTTTCTGCTCAACAAATTGAAGTCATTATGTTTGTGAGCATCTCAGCTGACCATTTGTCGCATCCATATGTCTCCATAGGAAGGTTTTGCGGGTACTGCAGGGTATGTCGGTCACGTGACACGTAATATTGGTCGATTCATGCTACATCTCTCCTGAAGTGACCGAGGCATTAAGGAGGTACCAAGTCAAGGCCATCTAAGAGGATCTTAAAGGAGCTATAGCTATCTAATGTGGATCTGCATTGATGACAGACCTAGGAGGTGCCGTTGCTATCTACTTGACACAAACGCCGGCTTGGCTTCAACATGAGAGCATGAGCATTCCAGGACAAAGCCAAAGAGTGCTGTCTCAAAAATTCTGCGATTATGTCAAATCTTGAGCATCTTGTGCAGCAGTCTCTTTAGTGTGCTCAACCACTGTCAGCGCCGAATAATTCCTCTCGGATAACCTCCAAATCCAGAAGCAAATCATCGGCAGAGTCGTACTCCTTGTGCCAGCATTTGCGAGTGATTTCGCTGCAAGCATGCGTATCCTCTGGGAATTGCTGCGATGCAAACCTATGCTCGACTCTTTCAAAACACGCATCTTCTCCATCAATGATGTCAGGAAACATGTCATGCCCCATCATGATAAAATAGATAGTGCATCCCAGTGCAAAAAGATCTGTCTGCACATCTGCGTCAAAGGGGTCACAACGAGGACAATAGAACCTACAAGGCTCTCCGCTCCACCCATCAAGAAGCACGGTGCCATCCTTTGACAAATGCTTCCATTGGAAGTCAGCCAGCTTGGCGCGTAGCATTCCATCAAGAAGAATATTCCTGGGTTGTATATCACAATGAATGACTCCCCGACTGTGAACCCATGCAACTGCCTCGGCTATTTCTCGGCACCAGGTTAGCCTCTGCTCGAGGGATGGCGGTGGATGTGGATGTGCTGGTCTGAGATAGTAGTCATCTAGGTTCCCGTTGATCGCACGCTCTAGATATAGCCAGCCATTGTCTGTGTATCCTTTCACTTTGATAATATGCTCGTGATGTCCGACAATCTCGAGGAGGCGTCTCTCTGTGTCGAGCCGACTCACATCCGTATCGCCAGGCGCAAGAGGATATTTCAGGACTGTAGTCTCATCAACTTCTCCTATCCATGCACTTCCACCTGACGCAATCACACGCTTGACTCCAGGAGGACAGTACTCCCGGTACTCTCTTAAATCAGGCTGGTTCATAGTTCTGTTTTGGGGTGCTTTTGGGGGGGGGGGGGGGGGGGGTTATCGCTGTTGGGTATAGACAAGAGGCAATAGACTCAGATAATTATGTTATTCCTTGAGGTAGAGCAAAGAGTGGAGTGACTCCACAAACAATAGCCACACGTGCCTTCCTCTTTCTATACATGTGGGTGCACGTGCTGATCTATATTTGCATTTGTTCACCAACTCTGTTTCAGTTATTCTTCGTATAGATTACCATTATTCGGTGTCTGTAGTAGCTACATAATAGATTCCACTACAATAGCTACAATGAAACAACGTAGACAGAAAGCGTTTTGTATTGCAAAACAATAGGGAAAAGGTCAAGCTAACAACAAACCCATAACGAGGTTGGCGGCAGCACGTCTCTTGTGAGTGAAGTCATGGGCTGTTGCTAGACAGTATTGAGTGGATCTCATAAGTGTAAGATGTCAATTTATTTGACTCAGGACCATTGGTGATGTTACAACATTCACCTGCCACAAAGACGGCATTTCATGATGGTCCCAGACTCTCATTGACACCCACAGTCACAGACTACTATTGTTCTTTCTTGTTCCTCCAAGAAAACCAATTTGTAAAGAACCTGAGTCCTCTGCTTCTATCAGGCGAGATCTTCTCATCACCATCATCTAGAGATAATTAGTCTTCGGATCTTCTACACGACTCAAGATCATTTTGCTCATACCAGGAGGATGAACACAAAGTGGACAGGCAATTTCTCGATCTTCAACTATCTCATGCGACGAAGTGGTCAAGCCATCCTTGCCATCATGTTCATTGCAACCAGGCCTATCAGGATTACTGCAGGATACCTTATTTACTTCATGGCATTTATGCTTTGGGGAAGCAGTGCAACTCTCGTATTCTTTGTAGATATGGTGAATTTCACACCCACATCCCCAGAATTCTAGACCACCAACACAGCCCTCGCTGGTATGACCCATTGGTGCAGAATGATTTTCAACGGGTGAGAGCTAACGCCGTTGATACTGTCGTGTTGTGGAGAAGATGTGTCCAAATCAAGTTAGAATCGTGGCACAGAGGCTTTATATACATCTAATCGACCTGTCTAGGAAGGTTCTGTTAGATTTCTACACTATCTGTTATTGATTTAGGTGAACCGTCAGTTTCCGTCGCTTTTCTATTGAAGACATCGAGGTGGATAATCCCTCATTTATTATCTCTAGACGCTGACGGAAGCTGCCAGTCTCTAAATGGTGGTAGAATTCGGAGAAAAAAAGTTATACGGACAGACAGCGAAGCATTCTGTAATCAATCGTTCCCGAGTCTTTTGCGGCTATTTTTATATTATACTCTTTCATATCTCTTCAAGGGGTAATGTGGCATATTCTCGATCATGTCCGTTGTCACACCCATCTTCGTTATTTAAATCAGGTGGATTTGCGTGTACACGAGACTGACTTTAGAGCATACGAAGATGTAATTCAAGGTTGGTAATAGTGGCAGATGGCGGCGCCGCTAGAATGTACACAATAATCAGGGAAGATGTATCCAGCGAATCCAAGGCACATGATTTACAGCCGGGGAAGCTCTCTTTTCGTCATCCCAGATCGACCCTTCTTTTACAAACATTTCGCGACCAAAAACCATGATCCAACTATTCGTGCCAAAAGCTTATGCAGTTTATCCAGCCCCTATTTAGCCAGTGATCATGCGACTTGATCGAGATAAGCCAGTTTCCAACTTCAGACTGAGCTTACAAGTCCTTTTCTAGCTTCAGACGACACAGCGTGAGCTATCTATAACCTGTCCCCGCCACCGACATCACGGTACCATTCCAGCCAGCATCTAGGGGTGGCGTCTTATCGCCAGACTTAAGACTACCAC